TGAGATCTGAGAGTTTCCTCTCTAAAAATCAATAGTTTTCGATTATCCAATTCAAATTAGACGTTTATCAAAATTAGGCAAATCTGATAAATTCATAGTAAAGATTGATTACACTCTCAAGAATCTCACACCATCTATCAAAGTGAATCTGAACTTTATCAGGTGATACCATTCTACTCATCAAATCCTTCAATAAGAGAGTGATCAAATCGTTTTGCAAGAGATTCTCCACAATATCCTTCCTCTCCAAATAGGTGAAATTGATCAAGATTACCAACACTTGGATTATGCACATCAACCTATCCGATGTCAGATTGATTTCTAAGGGAATGCCACTCATTCGAATTATATCAAAGAATAATTTTAAACTATTGCCATTGGTGCTAAAGTGAGTGATGAATTGATTCAGAATGGGCAGATCATTAATGTTCTACTCCTCCAACAATTTCAAGTAATTCAAATTGTATTGTTTCAACAACCGAGCTAAATGTTTGAAATCCTACTCCAAATAAGTCTGATATATGAAATTGATTATCTCGTCGGGATTGCACCGCTCCACCACTTCCCCCTCCTACCCGAGGCTCGTCTGTCTTTTCTTAGAGAAAATCTCCTCGCGAGCCTGCTTTCTGATTTGAACCATAAACTGTTCTCTCTTCATTTACAATTCCGAATTCATCTTTTACTAATATTAATATATTCTTTCATCAAAGATGTACATCAAATTAAATGACATTAAGAGGAAGATGTAAACACTATCATCCACAATATATATAGAGGAGGATTGCAATACTCAATATTGTCCCCACAAGATGCTATCAATTTGGCGGAAGTCAAAATCTTTAGAGACAAAAATTATGATAAAATGACTGGGAAGAATATTGAACATGGTCCACTTGATTTGCGTATGGGTCAAAGTTTACGAGACACTCAATGCAGCAGTTGCACGCTATTGAATGAATGTCCTGGACATTTCGGATACATCCCCTTATAATTGCCAATCTATCACCTCGGCTTTTTCACTCACGTGGTCAAGTGCTTGAAGTGTCTCTGTTATGTATGATTTGATATTGACAGTCCTAGAAATGCGGTCAAGTAAGATTAACCCCTGACGAGATCAATCAACTAACCTAAAAGATGGTACATTGCATATAAACACGATCCTACAATGCACAGTTGAAGGTATTCAAGAAGGTCCTCAAAAAATGCAGATCAAACAAACAGTGTCCCCATTGCTATTGTGAGCAGATCGGAGAAGCCAAAAAACTAGCCAAGGGGGATGCAGGCAAGATCATCCTGGACACCATGGATATTAATGCACTGTATGCCTGGAATCAATTCTCCAACATCCCTAAACAACATCAATTCCTGTTTTGCATCAACCCTTTCTTAAACGATTTGTCTGATCTCCTCACTTCCATCATACCCGCTCCACCCAACAACATAAGACCCAGCAAAATGCTAAGCAATACCACCAAGGCAGACGAAGACGATTTGACGATGAAGTTGAAAACCATCCTCTACCACAACGATCTGTTGCAGAAGTAGATAAAGGAGGGAAAGGATGGCATGTCAATCCTCAAAACGTAATTCTTGACTCAAGCACATTATTTTCATTACTTCAATAGTGAGACACCTCGTTTGCCCCAATTCTCAAGCAAAGATGGAAAGGTGGACATACGTGGCATCTATCAGAGACTCAAGGGTAAGAGAGGAAGACTAAGGGGTAATCTATCCGGTAAGAGAGCAGAATTCACTGCACGTTCAGTCATCTCTCCAGATCCTAATTTGGCTATTGATTAGGTCACCATTCCATAGCATATTGCGTGCATCTTGACAGTACCTGAAACTGTCACCGCCTTGAATATTAAGAAGATGAGAGACTACGTATAAAATGGACCCTCCATCTATCCAGGAGCCAAATTCGTTAAATTGGGAGGAGTCAATTACAATTTGTAATTTGCAAGAAGGGCGCATTTAGCCTATAAGTTAAAGATTGGAGATGTGGTGGATAGACACTTGTTATCAGAGGACATTGTCATTTTTAATCGTTAGCCGTCATTGCATAGAATTTCTATGATGGCCTTCAGAGCTAGGGTGGATAAGTGGCACACTCTTCGATTCAATGAATGTGTGTGTACTCCATTCAATGCTGATTTTGACGGAGACGAAATGAACATACATTTACCATAAACCTACGAAGCAAGATCAGAAGCATTAATTTTGATGGATGTCAAGAAGAATCTCAAAACTATTAAAAGTGGTGAATCGCTCGTTTGTTTACTGTAAGATTTTCTTACCACTGCCTGGTTGATAACAAATAAGGATGTCTTTTATTCCAGAGAATAATTTATGTAATTTTGTGCGGCCTTCTCTGATTCCAATGAACAAATAGATTTGCCAGCCCCAACGATACTAAAACCAAAATAATTATGGACAGGAAAATAAGTAATCAATGCATTACTTGTACCTAACAGAAAGACTAGACTAGTGTTGAATTTAGAAGCAAAAGAAAGTAACGCATTTAAAGGAAAGTTGGACTATTTGTGGATGGACCCTGGTGATGGCTATGTCGTATTTGATAAATGCGAATTGGTTTGTGGAAATATAGGTAAGAAAGTGCTGGGAGCATCGAAATTAGGGTTGTTCTACGCACTCATAAGAGATAATTCTACTTAGATAGCAGCATCAGTAATGCAGAGATTCGCAAAATTGTCTTCCAGATGGATATCGCATTATGGAATGACTATTGGAATTGGTGATGTGATGGCACCCAAATCTTTAATTGAATAGATCCATTAGAGCACTGAATAGAGTTACTTGCAATGCAAACACTATTAACGAAGTCTAATTGATGCTGATCCTGGGTTGACAGTTGAGTAGACCTTGGAAGCTAAGGTGAATAAGACTCTATCAGATGTGAGAGAGTAAGTGGGTTCAAAGTGCCAGGAGTAATTGAAGAGTGATAATAAGGTGTTGATTATGTATCTGTGTGGTGCCAAGGGTAGTAATGTCAATGTGGCCCAGATGATTGGTTGTGTTGGACAATAAGTCATATCAGGAAAGAGAGTCCCAGAAGGATTCACAGGAAGGACACTCCCACACTTCAAAGATTGTGGCGATCGCTATCCCAATTTAGACATCTTGCACCCGAAAGCCAAAGGGTTTGTCAAGAATAGTTTTTATACGGGAATGGATGCAATTGAGTTCTATTTCCATAATATGGCTGGAAGAGAAGGGTTGACAGATACCGCAGTCAAGACAGCCACTACTGGATATATGCAACGTAGGCTGGTTAAGATGCTTGAAGATTTACATATTGCTTATGATCTTACAGTTCGATCTTGTGACACCAAAGAGATAGTTCAATTTAGGTATGGAGAAGATGGATTGGATCCTCTGGCAGTAGAAGATGCAAATGAGGTTATCAAGCTATAGAACCTTTTGACTAATTCATTTACTGTCCTCAGGAAGAATCAAATATTGTTGAATAAAGAACACATGCTGATCAAATTGGATGAACTATTTATGATAATTGAGGAGAGACACAAGAAATTCTTGGAAAACTATGAAGCCACTTACGAGAAAGAGAAGAAGAGAGTCTAGGCATTGTTTAAGAGTACCAACCAATAGGTTTCTGAAAAATAATTGTAATGGTTCATCAGAAGTTGGATGGAAAGATTCTTAACCATGGTTATGGCACCTGGTACTAGTGTGGGACCCATCACATCTCAATCCATTGGTGAACCTGCTACTCAAATGACTTTGAAGACTTTCCACTCTGCTGGTGTTGCAGGAATGTCCATCACTTAGGGTGTTCCTCGTCTAAATGAAATCATCAATGCAAGTAAGGAAATCAAAACACCCTAAATTAATGTGAAATTGATCAATCGCCAGGTCATGGATCATGCCAAGTAGTTCGCCAAGTCTGGGGATCCTCAATATGAGTATGCTCATCGTGCAGTCATCCATTCTGCTTAGTAAGCCTAAGATGTCAACATACAAATAGAGTAAACCAAATTGATGTAAATACTGAAGAAGATGGATGAAATCTACACAGCAGATAATTGCTATATAGAATTAGAATTAGATTGTCATTGTCTAGCTAGATTGAAACTAGAATTTGTGACTCCCAAATACGTGTGTGCTCTGATTTTAAAAGAGTTGAAATTGTCACCTGATGATGTCAAATATGATCTCAAAATTATTAGAATTACAGTTAAAAAGAGTTCTAAGAAGAAACAATCAGAAAACCTGCTGTTTTTGATCAAAGAGCTATAACGAAAACTATTGAGGTTGCACATTTATGGTTGTGCAAATATCAAGTAAACTGTTATCTAGGTTACAGATAAGGATGATAAGGAGAATGTCAAGGGAGAAGCCAGGTTGTTTGCATCTGGTATTGGATTCAAAGAAATTCTACGATTGGACAACATTGATTGGAAACGAACAGTCAGTAATCACATCATGGAAATTCAAAGTGCTCTTGGAATTGAAGCTGCCAGATAGAGTATTGTCAATGAAGTGTACACTACCATGTAAAGTCACAGCATTTCCATTGATATAAGACACATCCTATTGTTAGCAGAATTGATGACATTCAAAGGTATTTATTCAATTTTTACTCAATTAAGGAAGAATCCTTGGGTTCACCAGACAAGGAATAGATTAACTAAAGAATTCAGCCTTGATGCTTGCTTCCTTTGAAAAAACAATGGACGTCTTTTTTAATGCTGCCATCCAAGGGAAGTAAGATTCGATGAATGGTGCATCTCAACGAGTAATCATTGGATAGAATGTGCCTCAAGGAACAGGAATGTTTGATCTGATGTTCCCTGTTAAAGAAAATACAATCTTGGAGAGCACAATCAATCAATAGAAGTTTTTGTTTGCTTCTAAATGATACAAATTATAAAATCGCATTTATCAATATTATATTATTCTGTAGTTTTGTGAAGCCAGATTATTTTCTACATGAATTCAAATTTAACCAAATTCATAGATTCTGGGAATGTTGTCCCAAAATGTTAATAATTCATATATATTAATGATCTGGTAAAATTGTCCAATTAATACTTTTATTAATTTTACAATAATAAATATACTGCCAAAAAAAATGATATTTATAACAGAGATCAATTAAATCTATTTTTTAAGTCATTTAATATTTAATTCTATTCATTCTCATCTTCCTCCTATAAAAAAGTGTCAGCTAAATTAAATTCATAACCATCCTCTAAAGCCTACAAACTATTTTATTTTAAATCTCTCAATAATTGCTCTTTTTTTGTATCATTACCAACAAAGATGATGTCTTATGCATTCAAATACTAAAAACTTCTCTTTAGTTATTCCTTATCTCTTTCAACGTTTTCGCTGAAATGAAACTTAGTCACTATTATGGTATACAAGTTCTTGAATTTTTGAAATAGTTTATTAATATTTTAGACTTTTTTCTTCATTAAATCCGTTCTCTCAAAATTAACAGCTATCAAAATTGATCTCACTCTATTCGGGTATTTATTGAACAATTCTTTGTAATTATTAATCTGCTCTTCTCTTGAATCATAATCTGAATCAATATCAAAGGACGAAGTATCAACAAAGTAATATTTCAATTATTTTTATAATATAGGCTAAAACAGTTCTATTTTGGTATCCTCATCAAAAATCTTTCTCATTATAAATGTTTTCCCATTATCTACCTAACCGATTATTAGAGCCAATGGAATTTTCTCCTCGCACAAACTCTCAGAACTAATCATTGATGTTTCACTTGAACTAGAAACAGATTCATTGGGAATTGTTATCGAAGGTGGCATTGATGGCGTATCTTATGGAGGTATCGAGGGAGTTAATTGAGATGTTAATTCATAATTCCGAGTGATACATAATTCTTTTGGTTCTTAAGTTTTTTTGATACTAAGTGCATTGGGTGAAATAGAACCAAATTTATTCTCCAAACTAAATGTTGAAGAATAATTAAAAGCGCTGCTTATATTTGTTGCGCAGGTTGATACGTTTGATCTGAAATTCGAATATTGATTAGATTGAGTCCCCATGATATCCCAAGAAGGCTTCTTACTTTAAAATACTTCATATCCAATCCAATTTTGCACCTTTAACTTCCTCATCCTTTAGATAACTTATTTAATCTAATCCAAAAAGTAATAGAACCCATAATATATTTAAGTCTAATAGAATTAGAATTATATAATGATAAAGGTAATAAACTTTTTGAGGTAGAAAAATATTGTATTTGAATGTTCATAATTAAATACATGTCTGCTCTTATTGTAGTAGCGTTTTTCATAACATTTTAATATTGTTATTCATATTGCATTATGAACTCGCAATATAGATTCAAATTCTATTTTAATAATTTTTATTTAATTTTTTTAATAATAAACTTTTAAGATTTAACATCTCTTTGTTTGTTTTTGAAAATAATTACTTGTAATTCATCATTATTTAGAGGAAATAGTTCATCGACTAAGATAGGGATTTAATAATTCGTTTTCTCAATTCAAAAAGATCTAAATATTTGTATGCATTCCTGGTATAAATTCTGTTCTTTAAAAAAAATTTTTTCCCATTTATAACAATTATTGGATTACTCTCAATTAGATAGCATTTACACGCTACTTCAATTTTTTAATTAAAAAGCCTATAGAGTTCAGTAAATTACTAAATAACAATTAGATTCAATTATTAAGAGATCCTTGCTTTAAAAATTAAACAAAAAGAAATTATTTAATATAACATAATAATTTATAAGCACAAATCAATAATAAACTCACGATCTTACAGTCATCTGTTATAAAGCATTCATCATTTCCTATCCTTCTTACTCATTATGCTTTTCAAATATCGTATCAGTTAAATCAAATTAATAGCCTTCTTCAATAGGAATTAAACAATCTGAAGCCCTTATTTGATCAATTAATTCTTCTTTAGTTGCCTCTTGATCAACAAATAGAATTGACTTTGCTTTAAACATTTTGAATGCTCTTTATAAATCGATTTTATCTTATTCCTAGTCATCACTTAAATCAAAATGAGTAACCACAAGGGTTATTTAACTCTAAAACTTCTTAAAGTAGGGATAAATATTCAGTATAGACCTTTTCATTAAATCAGTTCTTTCAAACTTTACAACAAAGAATAATGTAGCCACTTTATTTGGTTTGCTATCAAATATACTTTAAAATTCTGATATTTGCTACTCCCTGTATTCAATATCATTCTTAAAATCAAATGAGATTGTATCTACAATTTCATATTACAAGGCTTCCGTATCATTTATTTTATTATAGAATTTTGTTTTACCAACCCCAGCTTCTCCAATTATTAAGGCAATAGGGTATTCTTTAGGTTGAGCAGGTTGGGGTGGTTGCACAGGTTCTGCAGGTTGTACAGGTTCAGCAGTTTGTACAAGTAGTTTTTTTAGATGCCAAAAGAATTTCATAATTCTTATGAATATCCTAATAACAAGGGAGCAACTTATTACTTGTATTACAATGAAGTAACAAAGCATGCGCAAGGTAATAAATGGAATATATAAAACTCTATTGAAAAAAATCTTAAGAATAGTTATGAAGAAATTATAAGTAGCCTAAATTGCCGTTCTTAAAGAAGCAATACATTTGTTAAATAAAGTAGCAATACATTTGTTAAATAAAAGTAGCAATACTTTTCAAAGTTAAAATAACATATTTCTGAAAACCAACTTCCTAAATAATCCTTATTCTTAGAGTAATTTAGTATTATTAAGGTTCTATTTATTGGATTATTGTTTTAATTTTTCCTCTTTGATGCAGATCGAAAATTTAATTATGACAAAAGCAGGTAAATTCACACATTTTTTAAAACTTAATTATGAAAAAGTTCTTAATATATTAATACGAGGATACTATTTTTGTTGTAGCCTTTATCTTCAAAGTCGATAATATAGTATAAAAAAAGGATAAAACTAAATAAATAATGAAGAATGGGTTTAATATCCTTTTAAGATAATTGAACTAATGAGAAATTTCGTTTTTTGTTTTTAGATATTTGGCTTGCAAACTATTAAAGTAATGGCATGTATTGTTTTATTTTTGATTGGATACAAACAATTATTGAGATTATTCTATTTCAATATTTTAAGAATCATTTTCTTAAGCAAAATAGACATATTACGAATTAACATTACTCTATTCATCCTATTCTTCTTAAGTTTTTTATTTAACCTAGTTTTCTGGTGATTCATTTTTGTTTTTCATTTCAATCATTTGGTTTAATTAAATATCCTATTATGTTTATTCAAACATAGGATCTGATTATAAAACTTCTTATTTCATATCATCTTATTCTTCTGGTTGATTAACTTCATTATTCATATCATCTTATTCTTCTGGTTGATTAACTTCATTATTCATATCATCTTATTCTTCTGGTTGATTAACTTCATTATTCATACAAGCTTATTCTTCTGGTTAATTAACATCGTTATTCATATCATCTTATTCTTCTGGTTGATTAACTTCATTATTCATACAAGCTTATTCTTCTGGTTAATTAACATCGTTATTCATATCATCTTATTCTTCTGGTTGATTAACTTCATTGTTCATACAAGCTTATTCTTCTGGTTGATTAAATTCATTATTCATATCATCTTATTCTTCTGGTTGATTAACTTCATTATTCATATCATCTTATTCTTCTGGTTGATTAACTTCATTATTCATACAAGCTTATTCTTCTGGTTGATTAACATCATTATTCATATCATCTTATTCTTCTGGTTGATTAACTTCATTATTCATACAAGCTTATTCTTCTGGTTGATTAACTTCATTATTCATACAAGCTTATTCTTCTGGTTAATTAACATCGTTATTCATATCATCTTATTCTTCTGGTTGATTAACTTCATTATTCATACAAGCTTATTCTTCTGGTTAATTAACATCGTTATTCATATCATCTTATTCTTCTGGTTGATTAACTTCATTATTCATATCATCGTATTCTTCTGGTTGATTAACTTCATTATTCATACAAGCTTATTCTTCTGGTTGATTAACTTCATTATTCATACAAGCTTATTCTTCTGGTTGATTAACTTCATTATTCATACAAGCTTATTCTTCTGGTTAATTAACATCGTTATTCATATCATCTTATTCTTCTGGTTGATTAACTTCATTATTCATATCATCTTATTCTTCTGGTTGATTAACTTCATTATTCATATCATCGTATTCTTCTGGTTGATTAACTTCATTATTCATACAAGCTTATTCTTCTGGTTGATTAACTTCATTATTCATACAAGCTTATTCTTCTGGTTGATTAACTTCATTATTCATACAAGCTTATTCTTCTGGTTGATTAACTTCATTGTTCATACAAGCTTATTCTTCTGGTTGATTAACTTCATTATTCATATCATCTTATTCTTCTGGTTGATTAACATCATTATTCATATCATCTTATTCTTCTGGTTGATTAACTTCATTGTTCATACAAGCTTATTCTTCTGGTTGATTAAATTCATTATTCATATCATCTTATTCTTCTGGTTGATTAACTTCATTATTCATATCATCTTATTCTTCTGGTTGATTAACTTCATTATTCATACAAGCTTATTCTTCTGGTTGATTAACTTCATTATTCATACAAGCTTATTCTTCTGGTTAATTAACATCGTTATTCATATCATCTTATTCTTCTGGTTGATTAACTTCATTGTTCATACAAGCTTATTCTTCTGGTTGATTAAATTCATTATTCATATCATCTTATTCTTCTGGTTGATTAACTTCATTATTCATATCATCTTATTCTTCTGGTTGATTAACTTCATTATTCATACAAGCTTATTCTTCTGGTTGATTAACATCATTATTCATATCATCTTATTCTTCTGGTTGATTAACTTCATTATTCATACAAGCTTATTCTTCTGGTTGATTAACTTCATTATTCATACAAGCTTATTCTTCTGGTTGATTAACTTCATTATTCATATCATCTTATTCTTCTGGTTGATTAACTTCATTATTCATACAAGCTTATTCTTCTGGTTAATTAACATCGTTATTCATATCATCTTATTCTTCTGGTTGATTAACTTCATTGTTCATACAAGCTTATTCTTCTGGTTGATTAACTTCATTATTCATATCATCTTATTCTTCTGGTTGATTAACATCATTATTCATATCATCTTATTCTTCTGGTTGATTAACTTCATTGTTCATACAAGCTTATTCTTCTGGTTGATTAAATTCATTATTCATATCATCTTATTCTTCTGGTTGATTAACTTCATTATTCATATCATCTTATTCTTCTGGTTGATTAACTTCATTATTCATACAAGCTTATTCTTCTGGTTGATTAACATCATTATTCATATCATCTTATTCTTCTGGTTGATTAACTTCATTATTCATACAAGCTTATTCTTCTGGTTGATTAACTTCATTATTCATACAAGCTTATTCTTCTGGTTAATTAACATCATTATTCATATCATCTTATTCTTCTGGTTGATTATATTCATTGTTCATACAAGCTTATTCTTCTGGTTGATTAACTTCATTATTCATACAAGCTTATTCTTCTGGTTGATTAACATCATTATTCATATCATCTTATTCTTCTGGTTGATTAACTTCATTATTCATATCATCTTATTCTTCTGGTTGATTAACTTCATTATTCATACAAGCTTATTCTTCTGGTTTATTAACTTCATTATTCATATCAACCTATAATCCTGATTTCTCTTCTACTTAATAGTTTTCAAATAATTATTTATATAAATTAATAACATTTTCCTAATTTTATAATTATTCTACAACATTTTGTACTTGATTCTATTTTGTCAATACTTTATTATTCATTTCCTCTTTCATAATTTAGTTGGTTTGATCGTTACTTAATACTTCGATTTTTTCAGCATTATACCTCATTAATTTATCTTCCATCCCATTATCAATATTTTCACTTATTTGATAATCATTTATTATCTATACTTCTTTTTCTATTAGTTTATTTTCGTTTTTAGTCTTATAATTTTATTACCTAATAGAATTATTACAAATATTTGATAACTCCTAATTAATTACTTCAAAACTCTTTCTATTCTAAAAGTTCATTTCTTAATAAGTTTCTATATCCACCTACATCTATTTCTTATAATTGTCATCAAATTCATCAACTTTCACATTTTATTATAAATCACTCATTATCGTCTGATCTTAATGTATTGGATCAGACTCATCATCTTGCATTTCACTTGAATCATTATGTTTGCTTTATTCTCCTTATGTATCAACAACTTCTGAACCTGATTCAGTTGAATCCTTTTCCATTATACTCTTCTACAATCCTTCATAGATATAATCTTAAGAATTATTTTATGCTTCTTACATCTTTTTTTATATTATTATCATCAAATTACCTTGCATCAATATTAATAGCCTGCTTTGATAATAGAATTTGTCTATGTTATATTTAGGTCTAATAATATTGACTTAATAGAATTTTCATCCAAATAATCTCAAAAATCACATAACCATTCTATTAAAAATTAATCAAATTCATAAATTTTGTAGAAGGGAAGTTAATCATATCATATTAAAAAAGTATAATTTAAAAAATTTTCTTAATCACTCTTAATATTATTATAATTTATCATATACTTCTCTTTAGACCGCTTCTAATGTGGCTTTATCTAATTCTTTTAGAAGAGATAGGATGGCGCATAATATGTTTGAATTTCTTTCTTCATCAGCATAATCTGATTTCACGACTTATCTTGATATTTGTTATTGTTATTATTATTGTTATAGAAATAATTGTGATTATTGTTATTGCTACAGTTATTATTGATATTATTATTGTTGCAAATATTATTATTCTCTTTCTCTTTATAATTGCTATTATTGTTATTGATAGAACTGTTACTATTATTGTGGCTACTGATATGATTGCTATAATGATTGTCGTTATTGATTTGATTATTATTCTCGTTAATTTGAATATCTCCCTCCGCCATTATTTGGAGAGTATTGATTTGGTTTAATAACTTCAACATATTGTGGCATTTCCTCCTCTACTTTTTGAATCTTTGTTGGTGGGCTTTACGAAATTCCATATTACAATTATTACTAAGCATTTGCTCTGTCTTGTTGACTAATAACAACATCATCCAATTTTTCAAGTGTTTAAGAATTGCAAATTACAGCATCTCTATAATTTGGATGATCAGCAATTGGATTTTCTATTATTTAATTAAATTATACCTTGAAGCCATAAAACTTTCAATTTCGGTAAATGTTATAGGAATTGCAATTCTGTAATACTTGAAATATTGTTCTTTCTCAAGTAGAGTTCTTTTATATTCTTGCATTTTGCGATATCAGCAAGAGTAGTAATCCTATTCACGGACAAGGAAAGAACTTCAAGATTAGGGAGTCTTTCAATAATGGAGATGTCGTCAAGATCGTTGCCCCATAAGTTCAGTGATTTGATGCTGTACAAAGCTTCTGTCTTAGCTTTCTAAGCAATCAATGTTTAAGTTAGAGGTTTGGACATAATTTGTGATGGTTATATTAATTTTAATAATCAATTTTATAGTTTGTCAATTATTTATTATAAAGATATTCCTTCCTTTTCTTACTCAATGTAGTTCTCTAGGTTAGAAATCTAATCTTGCTCATTTTGATCAAGCAGTTATTTAATTGATTTTATTGTTTCTTCAATTAATATGCAAAGTGCATAGGCATCGTTTAATTAGTGAAATTTCTTTGATTGTTTGATCTGAGGGTCAATTGATTGGCAATCAAGATCATATAAATAGTTTTAATCAATTTTAAGATTCTATGAATAATCCAAACAGTTCAATTTAATCTTTCCATTCATTTCGTATATTTATGATAACGGTATATGTAATAGGCAAATTTAAGAAAAGTGGATTTATTCTAGGATAGTGGCTATCTCTTTGAAAAAGGGTTTCCATTAAGAGAGTTTGTTTTATTCTATTTTTTATGCATCTTCGACCCAAAAATGAAAAGTGACTGTCGCTTCATCTTGATTGATTTGGTTAATATCTATTGTGAAATCTATAAGTCTCAATATGAAATCATGCTTATTCAATATTTTCCAGTTTATAAATTGTTTCATTCTTTATATTATTTCTGAAAAGCTTTTACCAGAATCATTAGAAATTACTATTATGTAAGATTAAAGAACTTTATTTTCTATTTTTAATGGTTCGAAATAATTTGTGTGCTTGATAAATCTTTTCATTATTTTCAGGTAAGCATAGAGATTTTTAATTTTCCTCTTATTTTGTTAGATTTCAATTAGATCAAACATCATTTCAATTAATTATTTTATTTTAGGATTATTTATCTATTGCAAATAAAAAAATAGTCTTTTCAAAACCAATATAAACGTAATTCTTTATTGGAAAGGTTTTGTACAATCTAAAATTAGATTTTTTATAAGATCATTTTTAATTTCAGAAATAATATTTTTATGATGCGATTGAAATTCTCTAATTTTTCCTTGAACTTGTTGATAATTAAGTTCTTTAAATGGTATGCTTCCAGAGAAATATTAAAATAATGAAACCCCAAAAGAATAAACATCGTTTTTCCTACTTTAATAGCTTTTGTCAACCAAATCCGGATCTATGTATTTTATAGTCATTTATTTTACTCCCGTAGTAAGATAATAAGAGGCTTAAGAATACTATGATAACCCAAAATCAGCTAATACAGGATTTTTTTTTATTGGATCTACTAAAACATTGTCTGGTTTTAAATCGAGATGGAGTAATTCTTTGTCAAATTGTAAAGTAGCAAGGCCTAAAGATAACTTATAAACATATTTGATTTTATCAATTTCTTCCCATTTTAATACCTAATGATAATTATTGTAGAATTTTGTTATAAGGATTATTTTATATACTTTAATCTATCCTTACAATTTTTCAAATTTGAATCCTAAGTGTTCAATTCTTAAACAATACTTAATCTTTGAAATAGTGACGTCACAAACTATACAGATTTCCAGGAGTTTATTTTAAATTTCCAATTTCTCATCATCATTTATGGTTTCTCCTTATCCTTTATACTCAAACTATATAATTTTGGCTGCGTATTCTTACCCCTGAAAATAGAATTTGTAAACTTCACTATTTCCTCCTTTACCAATATTTTCCCTTAAATTATTATCGTTAAATAACTCAGAGCTTTCATATTTCAAAAACTAAGTTTTTTTTACAAATTCATCTAATGTTTTTTCTAAATGTCCATCTTCTTAAGATATAATATCACTCTTCAAATTGAGATAAAAAAATTCGATATCCTTTCGTACAGGAAAGTTAAAATTCACTTACATTCTCAATAAAATATTCTCTTCATTTGATAATTATTCAAGAACACTACTTGTTTCACTTTCAATATTATCTGCTATTTATGATTAAACTATCTTACACTACCCAGTGATTCTAGAATTTTCACTTCTAAATTTTGTAGAATATTCACCTGATTAAATGCTTTGATCCTCTAATTAATCTTATTTTGAATTTGAATTCATCAATTTAGTTGATTATGTCAATCTCGGGTCTAAATCAATTGTGTTGACATATTCTAATTCCCCTTCCATATTTTCAGTTACTTGGTATTAATTTTGTCGTCTTAATAGCACTTGTTAAAACATTTAAGCGATCATTCTATACTAATTTTGGGATTGTGCTAAATTTCTAAAACTGTTTATCGCATTTTATTATGCTTGCTATTGTTGAACTTTCTCAAAACCGCTTTTATCTAACGAACCTCTCTCTAATGAACTTTTATCAGATTGGATTTTCTACAACATTGCACAATTAAAAAAGCAGCTTGGACTAATATCCTTCTTATAATTTTCAATAGCGTCTGAATATTGACACCAATATTCTAAAACCTACCCAATCATTTTGTGGTTATTGGTTTCAATTGCAATTTTATAGGCTTGTTTGAAATCATGAATAAAAAAATAGATCTATGATTTCAATTATCTATTGAAGAAGTCTTTTTCTCCTAGAAATATTCTTAATAAAGGATAAAAGTTAGGATTTAAGTATTACAAAATGTAAATTTCTCTATGGCGAACCAATACATTGATAATCAGAAACTCCTCTATTGCTCTATAGTAGCAATCAATTTCAATTAATTTACTAGTTTTTTTATTTGTTGAATCAAAAATTGATATTAAATTATTTAACAGACTCTACTTTTTCGATTCAATATTGTGTCTTTACTTACAACATTTTTACATCACTTGTAAAATGTGTTCCAACTAATTTATCCCCTCTTTCTCCTAAAATATCACTCCTTACTGTTAAACAAGCCTAAAGAATTCATACTATAACAAATTAAAAGGTCTTTTCTAAGAATGTTGATGATTGCTTACTAAGTGAAGTGTAGAAATCTTTATTGTAATATGTTTTAATTTATCTATCTATTTTGTATATGCACTAATTAATAATTGTAAAAATAGACAAGAATTATAGAGATTCCTGTTGCTTGGTTAATAGAACTCTACATTCTTTTCTTGATATTATTGCATTAGGTCGCCTAAGTAGATAAATTTTTTCAACAATCCTTAAATCTACCCTTGCAAGAATTGAATTTTGCACATCTTAAAATAAATATAGACTCTAAATTTTTCTTTGTGCAAATGATTTGATATTTATTTGTACAATTTGTGAAAAAAGTCTAATGCATATTCCCAAAGTCTTAATTTGGACAAGCATTTTCCAACTAAGATTAAATTGAAAAAGAATTTATCAGTACTTCCTGCGATGATCATAATTTGATCCAACAATTACTCTTACAAAGAAGGATGTTTCAAGCTAAAGAAATTTTGAAATTACTTATAGTCCAATTATATTAAGCTAAAAATGAGGATACCTGCTTGCAAATGATCAAATTTTACTGTTAAGTAATCATAATTGTAGTCGTTGGTTAAGAAAGAGATTGCAACTTTCATTTTTGATTCTTCTATTGTATTTTCAATCTCCTTCTAATGTTTAAGTTAGATAAATTCAAAAGTATTGATAATGATTTCAAATTTTTTTTAGGCTTAAAACCTCACGTAATGATCTTAGCTCTTCTATGAGCTAACTGCAAATATAGAGCAATCTTAATAAAACATTAAGTTCAATAATTTGAGCAATTTCTCCCCTTTTGTGTAACTACCAATTAAATTCATCGTTTTTTCCAGATCAAAGGCGAGAGATTATTTTGACTACATTTCTAATTTTTAATGAAACATTTCTAAATATTCATAGGCTCGATCTTCCTCATGATTAATTGTTTTAGCTACAGCTGTTAAAAAGAAATCCCACTCATTTTCACATTCCAACTTAATGCAATAATTTATATTCAACTTTTACCCTATTACAAACATTAAAAATAATGGAATCAAAGAAATTACCTAATTTGTGTTCTTTATTTGAATCCCATCTATTGGATACAACAACATTTTTGCAATTGCATAATTCAACTCAACTTCAGAATATTTAGCTATTCTAGTAAGTTGATAATAAGTCTTATCAAAAATTATTTTATAGAAAAAATTAATGATTCCAAAATCTTGCTTTTTGTATATGTATATTATTTCTCCAAAAAGCTGTGAAAAATAACTATTCTTTAGCTCTTCTATTGATAAAGTCTACTCTTAAAGCATTTGATGAAATTTTATTTATAATAAATAATAGTGTAGAATATATATAGAATACGTCAACTCAAAGTAGGTATGAAGGAGGCATCCAAACTGGAGGATACAGAAACTGTTTAATTTCATTAACGACCTTAAATATTTAATACATATACTTCTTGGTTCCATAATCTACAATATTTTGCAGGACTTAATTTTAACTTACTCATCTTGATAGCCCATACATTTTATTCTTTTGTTGATAATAAAATTGGTTTATGTCTCTTCCTTCCATATTAAATAGATCGATTTACATTTTTCTTTGCCTACCCCTGTATTCCCTCTGTTTAATGAAAACTACCATTCCCATTAACCTAAGGTGATCCTTACGACACATCATATTGTAAATGAGCACTTTTTCTATTTCTCTGCTCCTAGAACGAGTGATTAATATTGAATTGAGTTGGATGTTACTTTTTCATGCTTAATTTAGGCAAGAATTTCTTTTTCGATTCTGTCTAGATAGCAACACTTGATTTATGCTACCTTTTTGAGCTTTCTAAAGATTGAAATTAGAGACTTTCATCCAAAAGACTCAACAAATCAAATTATTTTTGAAGAATAGGCTGCTTTGGATGAAAGTACATATCATGGTGACTGGTATTGTGAGATATGTTTTAGATCACAGTTTCTGCTTTGGATTCTTATATCTCATTTTAGAATTGGTCTCCAATTTGATCTAAATCTGGTTCATCTGCGATTTCAGATTAAATTTCTTAATTCTCTTAGATTTCTTTAATTTACTGTTACTAAGGAAATTCATTTAATGAAATCCTAACCTTATCAAAAGTTTAAAGCTAATTCTATTTCCAATTACCTTTCAATATCAACTAGTCATACTAATACACACCTTCTCCATCCATTAAACCATCTCTCCAATATCCTTTATAGATGGCTTTATCACTCCAAACAATCTCACCATAACCACATCGTTTATCTTCCATAAAATTACCCACATACACAGTTCCATTTGAGTATTCGAATCTTCCCTCACCGCATTTTTTATCATTTGTATAATATCCTTTATAACAATTTGTTCCATTTTAAGTCTTACTTTACCAAATCCCATAACCATTTCTCAGTCCATTTTCAAATTCTCCTTAATAGCAATTTCCATTACTCCAAATATACTCTCCCTTACCATTAGGCTTCCCATTTCGAAATTCACCACTATAAAAATCCCCATTCTCCAAATACTTCTTACCTACTCCAAAATTCAGATCATTAGTTACTTCCCCTACAAATCTAATATATTGTAAATATTTGAATTACATGAATCCATTAACATGCAAGCAGGAACCACAGCATTTTCCATTATCCCATTAACCCATATAGTAATCTTGATGAATTCCTTAATACAATCCAATACCATGCTAACATATTAAATTTCATTCATTACCTTCTTCCCTTAATGCCATTACCCTATGTATTTCTGACTTTTTGACCAAAATATTCCTTCACCTTGTGGTAATCCATTTACATAATTCCCATAATAATATTAATTGCTTTTCAGTATTTCGAACCCTATTCCTTCCTTTTTATCCTTCTCAAACTAGCCCTCATATAGGTGCAGAGTCTATTTTATTAAAATTCCCTTTCCTTATCGATATCCATCAACTATATTTCCAAAATATGCTGCATTTTTATATAATTTTATTTTGACATCTTTAACTTAACTCATTTAGAGGGTCATGGGCTTATAGTTTTAAAAAAATTGAACTGCATTTTCTTGAGTTGGAAATTCAACCTCATTTATTCTATTGGGTATAGGAAATTTAGTTTTAATTTGTAAAATTAACATGTGATATTATTGTAGAATGGGGGTCTAATACACTTCTGACAATTTTGAGTAATGCCATTCATCTAAATTAGAGAATAATTGCTAAATATTTAATTAATTTATCATTAATAAATGTTATAGCAATCAAGAATGTCTTAATGAAATTCTAACCATATTTGATGTTGTCATAAGATAATAAATAATAATGTTAATAAATTCTAAAATATAACTAGTTCACATCATTTTTTAGGACAAGTAAGTTTTCAGTTTGGGTTGTGACTCCTGAATATTCGTATTCATGTTGCAATTTTCCTTGTCATTGTTAATGATATCGTTTAACTTCTTATCGAGAGCTGTTAACAACTTGTGATAAATCTATTGCTCACAAGGAACCGATTCTTTATTTCTTAATTGCTCATAGGTTTTCTAGATTTGGCCAATCAAATTTAATGCTTGTTTATTCGGTATCAAGAGCTTCATCTTATTGACTAAATATTCCAAGCCTTGAAGATCTTATAGTAAAGAGACACAAAGCTAAGTTTGCTCTTAATTTTCACTTTATTAATACAACTACTCCTCCAATTCACTTATCTTAGATACACTTCCCTCGTACTTCTCTTGCAAATCAAGAAATTGCTCTTATTAGCATTAGAAATAATGCTTTTGTTATTAATATAATTCCTTGAATTTCTATAACTAAATTTATAATTCGCGATTCTCCCTTTCTAAGCTATTCTGATCCATGGATGTCTTAGGGCGTTCAATTTCAATCGATTCATATCTGTTTAATCTATTATCTGATTTAATCTGAAACATTTTCAGTTAATTTTATTTATATAAAAAAATTAGAAATAAATTTCTATTATATTTTAATATTTCCTCAAGCCATAATACTTTAAAGGAAGCTCAATAAATTTGATCAAAATTTAAGTTTATAATAAAGATTTAAGAGGATAAAATGATTACAAATATAATTATTAATAGATTGAACTTAGTGTCTAATTTGAGTAGAAAAGGCAGTTTTTTTAAAATATAACAAAAAATTAATTGAATGAATTGAATATATAATAGCGGTTTAATAATTTTCTGGTTCAAATTTAATTCTTTGATTAAGAGATCATTTATTTATCATCTTTTGAATCCATAACTATTAGATTAAATGATAATCTCTTGTATTTCCAAATATATTTGTAATTAGTAAGTTAATCAATAATAATTATTTAAATTTATATTTCTCCAATATATAAATGAGTCAATCAGATTTAGATAGATAAATAGCTTAACTTAGAAATTGTGAAAACATAACAGAAGGGGAAGTTAAAGCCTTATGTACGAAGGCAAGGGAAATTCTTGTAGAAGAGAGCAATGTACAGAGAGTTGACGCTCCAGTGACAGTATTAATATTATAATATTAGATCTGCGGAGATATTCATGGCTAGTTCTTTGATTTAATGGAGTTATTTAAGGTAGGTGGGGATTGTCCTGACACTAACTATTTATTCTTGGGTGACTTTGTGGACAGGGGATTCAATAGCGTGGAAACATTTTTATTATTATTGGCTTTGAAAGTGCGCTATCCGGACAGGATAACATTGTATATTAATAAGTTATGTAGGATACGTGGGAATCATGAATCTAGACAAATTACTTAAGTTTATGGTTTCTATGATGAGTGTCTCAGAAAGTATGGGTCATTAAATGTTTGGAGATATTGCACAGACATTTTTGATTATTTGAGTTTGGCTGCAGTAATTGAAGAGAAGATATTTTGTGTACATGGTGGATTATCCCCTTCAATAAAGACAATGGATGATGTTTTAGAAATTTAATTATGTAGATACGAGCAATCGATCGTAAATAGGAAGTACCTCATGATGGAGCAATGTGTGATTTGATGTGGAGTGATCCAGATGGTATCTAGAATTTAGGATTATTATAGAAATTGAGGGATGGAATTTATCTCCAAGAGGTGCTGGATATTTATTTGGAGGAGATGTTGTGGATGATTTCAATAGGAAAAATAACATTGAATTAATATGCAGAGCTCATCAATTGGTCATGGAAGGTTATCGAGTGATGTTCAATGAATAACTAGTCACAGTCTGGAGTGCTCCAAACTATTGTTACAGGTATATTTTCACATTGAATTAGATGCGGTAATGTGGCCTCAATTCTAGAGTTGGATGAAAACCTTACTAAACAATACAAGATATTCGAAGCAGCTTAGGAAAACAAAGGATTACCAGCCAAGAAACCAATTCCTGATTATTTTTTATGAATAAATATTTATGAGTGATTTAGATTAATGGATTGCTAAATTAAAGAATTGCCAATTTCTAACCGAGTAGGAAGTGATTTCGTTGTGTACTAAAGCAAAAGAAATTCTCATCTCAGAAAGCAACGTCGAAATTGTTCACACTCCAGTCACTGTATACATTATCATCACAATAGGTTTGTGGCGATATTCACGGATAATTTCATGATCTGATTGAGTTATTTAAAGTGGGAGGAGATTGTCCTGACACTAATTATCTTTTTTTGGGGGATTTGGTTGACCGCGGATTCAATAGTGTAGAAACCTTTCTTTTATTATTGGCATTCAAAGTTCGTTTTCCAGATAGAATCACCATGTAATTGTTACATTTCATTTTAAGAATAAGAGGAAATCATGAGTCAAGATAAACAACCTAAGTTTATGGATTCTATGATGAATGCCAACGTAAATATGGTTCTGCAAATATTTGGAGGCATTGCACAGATGTTTTTGATTATCTGACGATTAGTGCAGTCATAGAAAATAGAGTATTTTGTGTACATGGAGGATTATCTCCAAATATAGTTGAAATTGATGATGTACCAATCTTTCGTAATATTTTATAGGTCAAATCTTTGGATAGAAAGTAAGAAGTTCCTCATGAAGGAGCAATGTGCGATCTTTTATGGAGTGATCCTGAAGACATCATTGGCTGGGGAGTGTCCCCCAGAGGAGCTGGATATATATTTGGAGGAGATATTACTAAAGAATTCAATAGGACTAATAATTACGATTTTATATGTCGCGCTCATTAACTTGTATTAGAAGGATATAAAACAATGTTTGATGATTAACTGATAACAGTCTGGAGTGCTCCAAATTACTGTTATCGCGTAGGAAATTAAGCTTCAATATTGGAGTTAGATGATAATCTAGAAAAAAAATTCAAAATTTTCTTAGCAGCTAATGTGGAATAACGAGGATTGATTGGAAGACATCCTGTACCTGATTATTTTCTGTGATATAGCTATTATCGATACAATTTTTGATTTCATTATGAAGCATACAGCTTACTCAATAAAAAAGTTTTAATGCCTTAAAAAATATTAATTTGATCTTTCCCTTTAATAATCACCTTCTTTACGATCGTTTTTTCTCAATATACTTTCTCGCTGCTATTGCCACACTTAGATTCCTTAATTTATTGTTTAATTTTCTTTAAAATATTATAATTACTGTTTTAGCAGCAGTAATACATCTTATTGCCAATTTAATTACTTATCAACTACTCATTCAGTTACATTATAGAAGTAGAGATACTACATTTTCTTAAAATCTTTTATTGATGCTTTGTATTAATAGATAATATAAATAGACAGCAATATACTTTATATAATATATTAATAAAAATATGGGGAGCTGCAATTGTATTCCGAAAAATCTAGGAGAAGAAGAATTGTAAACTCAAAAAGGTAGTAATGAACATTAAATTATCGATAAAGAGAAACAATAAGAAACAGAATCATTAACTCATGGTTGATTTTATTCTTCTTATTCAGAGGACAATAAACCAGCTAATGATGAATATCAAGATCTTGTTTAGAAAACAAAAGGAATTCGATAAAAACTTCCTAGAATCAACATGGCTAATGGAGGTTATTATGAAGGCGAATGGTTCAATTGTAAAAGGGATGGCTTCGGCTTGCATGTAAGCTTAATAAATTCATAGAAGTTTTGGGCTGATGGTGGCTATTACGAAGGGGAATGGAAAAATGATAAAGCAGAGGGCAAAGGGAAATTAGGTATTTAGATTATCTTCTACAACAATAGTTCATGGAGATGGAGATACTTATGAGGGATAATGGATAAATGACACGGCTAATGGAGAAGGAATTTATGTCCATTCTGGAGGTGCAAGATATGAGGGAGAATGGATGAATGATCTCTTACATGGCAAGGGAGTTGAAAGTTGGCCTGATGGTTCCAAATATGAAGTAAATAATCCACTAATTCTAAAGGGTATGTATACTTTTGGGAAAAAGAATGGAAAGGGAAAACTCTAATTCGCAGACAACAGTATTTATGAAGGAGATTTTATGGATAATGAAATAAATGGATTTGGTAAATACACTTGGTATGATGGAAAAATCTATAATGGAAATTGGTTAAATAATAAGATTAATGGTTATGGCGAAACAATTTGGCCTGATGGAAAGAGTTATAAAGGATAGTATTTAGATGATAAAAAACACGGTTAAGGAGTTTTTTATTGGAATAACGGTAGAACATATGATGGAGAGTGGGTGATGGGAAAATAACATGGAAAAGGTGTAGTCATTACTGAAACTGGAGAAAGAATGCTTGGGATCTGGGAAAATGGTCGAAAAATTAAAATTGACTCAAGATAATTATTAAACAGCCGACAGCAGACACTCGCCCCCACCGCCCCCCTATCATATTCTTTCCCTTACTTTTGACTCAATTTCCGTCATCATCTATTACAAACTCACTATCATCTCTATTAAAAGTAATCCTTTATCATATCAAAAATAAGTATTTGTGGTATCTCAGAAATAGTAAAATCTATTTCATAAGCAAAATGATTAATCATCATGCTTTAGTTTTGCTCTAAGTTTAAGGCCTTACTGATTTTGTGGCTTAAGAATATCAATTCTTTGATTTATTAACTTAATCATTAGATATTAAAGCATTTATTTGATAATTGGAGAGGAGAAATGGATATATTTAAGTACATTATGAAGTTGAGGGTACACTTTATAGAATGGGTATTAAGGTTGCTAGTATTTTTAGATAAATTTATTTTAAAATCTTTTCCAAAAATAGCACAAATTCGTATATTCTACTTATTTTATATATTAAAAAATGGCCCTTTTCCTTTTTACTGAACATAAATTCATTTTTTCTTATTACTTAAGCCAAAATTGTTCAAATCGATTAGCTTTATATACTTATTCTTAAGTGCTGCATGTATTTGCTCCTTATCTTTAATACTATAAATTACAAGAGCCCCTATTAACATTAATATTCTTCTTAATCTTTTTAAGTTATAATTACGTCACTTTATTCTTCGATTAGATTATTGGTTTAACTAAAAGAAGATAATAAATTTTTTAGAATCAGAAAAATATAGAAATATTGAACGATTTGGATTTGAAAATTCTATTTGATTTATCCTGTGGAGGTAAGTTTTTGATCAAATATCTGTGAATTCTACAGTATTTAAATTGAAAATTAGCTTTTGTCTTAACATGTTTTTGTTTGTTTTTTAAATAGAATTAGAGCTAATTTTTGGATTTTAAAAAGAAAAATTTAGCAGAAAATACATTAATTTAATAATGAAAACAATCTCCATAATCGCAATCATAGTTGTACTCTAATTAGGGTAGGTATCAAGCTTGTCATTCAATGATCCCGAATGTAGTTCTAAATATTTGAACAAATTTGGAACTGCAAATAATGCTGATGGATCAGGTGCTTCAAAAATTGCATTCACAGGAGATGTCGCATTTGTCTCAGGAACTGCTAACGTAAAAGTTAACTTGAGATACTCTGATGTTGAACTTTATAATGATACAACATACTTTGGTCTTGTGAAGGAAGATGGTAAAAGCAGCTGAGCTAGGTTTGTCTTGATCTTAAAGTATGGAAATATTACATCCAATTCATATGCCGATCCAGTTTAAGTCACTGATTTAACAATAACACCATCAAACAACTTCTAAAAATAATGGAGATATTATACATTCACAATTCCAGGAACTGAATTAAAAACTAGATTGGTTGAAACATCTAATTCCAATTAATTCATTTACAAAGGTTATTATGCACTTGCTTATTATGCAGCTGGAACAGATTAACTCTAATATACATTCTTTTTTGAATTTTCTGTTACAATTGAGAAAGGAACAGGTGCTGCACTTGACACTTCATTCAAGCCTTTAAGTTACTAATCCACTTTGGGTTGCACAACAAGTAGTGGTTGTAACGTCAAACCAGATACAACATTAAAGTGGTGCACTGATTTAACATGCACTGCATTTGGAACCCCAGATCTTCATCTAAATGATTAGTTTGTTCTCTAATAAGTTATTAAAACTAGTGGAATGAGTGGTTATTATTTGACTGGAACTGAAGTTTGGTACACAGGAAGTGGATTGAATAAGAAAGCCTCTCAAATTACTTTAAATAATTCAACTCCAGGATAGGTAATTATTTAATTGAAGGCTGAAATTGCATGGAGAGCAGTTACAATTAAAGTCACTTCTACTTTGTCAACATCTTAAGCAGGAGGAAGAAGAATGTTGGTTTAAACTGAATTTGATCCAGTCTCTGGAGAAACTGAATAAATTGAGTGTATTAAGGATGAAGGATCCGAAAAATGTGCAGATTGTACATAAGAATGCGATGCAAATGGATTTGCTCATGATGGATGTCCAAGCTGTTCAGTTTTCCCAATAATTAGCATTTGTTTTCTTGGCCTTATTGTTAGTTTTCACAATTTGATTCATTCATTTATATCATATTGAATTATACAAATTTTTAAATTATTTATCCTACCAATAATAACCTTTTCTACTTCAAAAAATTAAATTTCACCAAAATAAATTATAACTTAGTATTAAATTTTTTTTAATTTTTTAAATTGAAGGGATAAATTATTTAGTGCCCAAGATTCTGCTTTATTGCAAAAGCAGCTGAATTATATTTTCGACATGAAGGTTTCTATTATAGTAACTTTGATAATTGCTAGATTCAAGATTATATTCCTATCTACTATCAGCCATTTAAGTAACCAAAAATTTGTAAAGTTTAGTTCATCATATGAATCTATATAATCTTATTTTATTAACACTTTTATATTAATGATTATTATCGATACATTTGAGTCAATTTTCTGAATTATGTAAGAAAATTTACATACAATCAAGATAAGTTTATTTATAAAAGTCTGAGAATGATAGGATGAATGAATATAGAGGATTGAATTTATATTTAAATAAGAAAATAAGATTGATTGTATTTTTGAAAATAAAGATTATACTAATTAATAGTAATCTAAATTCTTAGCTATTCTATTTGGATATATTAACACAAATTATTCATAATATGTATGATTTAATTTCGGATAAATTAAGGAATATTATTATCAAAATTAAAACTATACCCCAGAAAGCAAATCCTATCTATTCCTAAGATTAGGGAAATTAACATCCATCATGAGCAAACCCATTAATTTCTAATTCTTATTCACATGTTGCACATGAATCTGATCCTTATGCTTTTATACACTCAATTTATTAACTTTCTCCAGAAACTTTGTCAAATTCAGTTTAACCCCTCACTCTTTTTCTTTCTGATTATAATATTGACAAAGTGGAAATAACTTTAATTGTGACTTCAGTCCATACAATTTCAGCCTTCAATGAAATAATGACTTATCCTCGAATTTTATTATTTATAGAAATTGGTGATGCTTTCTTTAATAATCCTTTTCCTGTGTACCAAACTTCTGTTTTAGTCAAATAATAACCCTATATTCCGGGAGTAGTAGTAACTTATTATAGAATAAACTCATCTTTGAAATGAAGATCTGGGGTAGCATATGCAGTACATTTCAAATCGGTGCACCACTTTAATTATGTATCAGATTTGACATTGCAACCGCTACTTATTGTGCAACCTGCAGTTGACTTTTGGCTCAAAGTTTTGAAAAAAGTGTCGATTGCGAGCCCTTTTTCTTTACCAATAACATAAGAAAATTCAAAAAAGAATGTATAATAGAGTTAATCTATACCAGCTCCGTAAAATGTAAGTGCATAATATCCTGTGTAAATGAATTAATCAGAATTAGATGTTTCAACTAATTTAATTTTGAATTCATTTTAAGGAATAATGAATGAATAAAATCTCCATTATTTTTCCGAATTGTTTGATGGTATTATTGTTAAATCAGTGACTTTCAATGGATCAGAGTATTTATTAGATGTATATCTCCATAATTTAAGACCAATACGTATTTAATCATTAAAAAAATCGGCATCACTATATCTCAAATTAACCTTTGCATTAACAGTTCCTGTAACAAAGGAGACATCACCTGTGAAAACTAATTTTGAAGCACCTGATCCATCAACATGATCTGGTAATCCAAATTTTTCCAAATAATCATTAACGGCTTAACATTAGAAACACTAACCAGATTTTAACCTTAATGAGAATACAACTATGATATTGATTATGAATATAGTTTTCATTGATAATTTTAATGATTGTTTTGCTTAAATTATCATTTTTAAATATATTCGAATTTATTCTATTTACTATATTTCAATGCTATTAATATAACTGAAATGCTATTTTAAATTCAAAGAAAAGTTGAATTATTTTATATATATTAATTTTATTCATTTAAATAAGTTGATATTTCTCTAAGTTGCATAGTTTAATTTAATTCTATTCTATTTTCGATTTAATATCTCCAATTTTGTTATTGTTTATAATTATTCAATCATTTTTCTATTAAATTACTGTCATAATCCTAAGGATATCTTAATAAACCCACAAAAATTTAATTTGACTTAAATTTGAGTTATGAGATGAAATGAAATAAAGAATTCAACCCATTAATTCAATTTTTGAGTTAATTGACTTTGATAGATTGCTCAGCGGATTTGATGATGAGATATAATTATGCTGACAATAAAATAAAGGGTAATTTTCCTTTTCTAATTGTTTCTAAAATCTGAAAAAATTGGTAGAATAATTCTAGGTAATTATCATTCATCGGATATTTAAACTTCCGATGTGGATATTCAAAATTTTTGATTTCATTGTGAATTGCAATACTTCAAGATATATTGAAGAGAAAAAGCAAGCCTTATTAAGCTTCTTAAGATTTTATAATATCATTTTTTTTCAAGTCCAAAGTTTTATACAGATTCTATAATAATTTCATCAAAATTTAGTAGTTTTTAGAATAATTTTGGTCTATTTATGCTACTAAATTTACTAGAACAATCGATAAAATCCATTTTGTATATATTTAATAAAGATTTCTAATATTTTGGCTAATTTTTGTATAAGGCTAATTTAGAGATAAGAGGTTTTTTTTATTTTTAAGATTATATGAGGAATTTTAATAAGCTCATATATAACTGTGTATAGTCAAAACAAATTTCAACCATCATTTAATCTGAGTTTTAAAATTAAATTTTATTTAGCTTTCGCAAAGCAGTGTGCACTTTATTATATCGCCCCAAATATTTTTTTAGGATAATTAATTATTTTGAAAAACATGTGTTAATATTTTGGTATTTTTTTTTTTATTTTCTCAAAATTTCTAAAAAAGTACTTAACAATTACTTAACTAACTAATATTGATAGCATGATAAAGTTTGGGTAATTGAACATCAATACCCATTGTGTTATTTGTATTAAAGAAAATGAAAAAATTGAAAGTAGAATTAAATGTGGCTAAGGAAAAAATAAGCAAAGGGGAAAAAAGTTTAAAGTAAAAAGCAATGAAAGGAGGTTTAGCAAACTTTTACTAACGCGAAATCAAGAAATTAAGTTCATAAGCATAGGAAAAACACTTAGATTTAAAAATTACTAACTGCTATATCCAGCAATATCAAATAGAAAAATAAGCTGAAGAAATAGTATCAAAAATAAAGCAAGAGAAAAAACAGAACTTTATTTTGATGAAGTATAGAGAATAGCTGAGAAATGGAAGTACTAAAATTGCAAAAATGAATTCATAAGGGAGTAGGATGGATATCGATATATTTTGATCATTTTCTTAAGATTGTATTGAACATGAAAAAGTTGTATAATTAGATATAAATATAAATATATTTGCTTTTTTTTCCTTTTAAAAATTATTCAATTTCTTCTTTATAATGACTATGCTTATTACCTCAATTAATTTGTTCCAACTTTTCTGTTTACTTTGATAATTTTGGTAATTTTTTGCTTAAACGGGCTCTTTGCTAACCCGCCTTTTTTTGCCTTTAGTTAATTTCTCAACTTGCTCTTTCGTTCTGCGAAAATATTTCAACTTTTTATTTCTTACAATAGATGTATCTAATTAATGAAATAAACTTTTAATTGAATAACTTTACATTAAATTATTTGTGTAAGATTATAATAATCCTACACTTTGGGTTTTTGAATAAAGAATGATTGAGATCATTTAAAAAACATTTACTGCCCATGTTTAATCAGGCCGTCATCAAAGCTGGCTCTTAGCCACTTAGTTTCTTTTTTATCTCATGTAAAATTCTCTCTTTAGTTGTTGATCCAGCAATAATCCTATTTGAACTTTTCTAATTCTAGCAAATACTAAGCTTTTACATCTAAAGAACTGATTGCACGCAAATAAACTGCTAGATTCAATAGAATAAGTTGGTTAATCTGTTTTTTAATTAGAAATCTTAAAGAATTGTTAATATTTGCTCAATTAATTAAAAATTTAATCAAATTGAAATTAATTTATCCCATAATTGAGTATAAAAAAAAGGTAATGATTGTTATTAAGATAAAAATATAAATAGCATTTTTATTGGATGTTTTTTTCATAAAATGAGAAAATATTTTTATTCAATTTTTATAATATGAGTTTTAGAATATCAATCTTAATTAATTCAAATAATTTTCATATTTAAGCAATTATGTAATAGGAAACATAAGCTTCTTTTTGTCTGTAAATATATTATTCTCTATATGGGCCTTACAAAAAAACTACATTATGTATTATGTAGACAAATATATAATGAAGAATGTTAATAATTTTATTAAACTTATTTTTATGAAAAACATTTCATTAAATTCATATAAAAAATGCAAGAATTGCTTACTTTAGATGCACATAAAATTATAACAAGTAGGTATGAAAAGAAAAATTAACAAACTATAAGAGAGTAGAAGTATTTGACTCTTAACTAACTTTCAAGTAAAAGAAAATAGCTTCAGAATTAGAAATTGTATTAGCAACATTTTTTAGAATTTTTAGTGACATGTATAAAAGCAAGTTATTGAGTGCCCTGATTTTCTGAGTCAAAATCATTTGCTTTTATTTGAGGAAAAGCATAAGTTATGGATTGAAAAATTTGCAGCTTAAGATAATGTCGTACACTTAAGCACTGTAAGATAAATATCTTAAGTTTATAATAAATTTCTTAATATTAGTCCACATCGATAAATTTAGCTTTTGGAGAAATTTAAAAGTTGCATTAAACTAACAATTTAAATAGTTTTCATTCCTGTAAATAAAATTGAATTGGTGCTATATGTTTGATGGGTTTATTGCTATAAATTTTTATCGGAAATGTAAATCAGTATGTATTTGAAGAATTTTTAATTAACTTTTAAGGTTGCTTTAACAGAATATTGACGAAAATATTTTTTTCTTAGTGCTGAATAATACCTCCATTGAAAAGATGTGAAGAATTGTAAATTGATTGATGTTGCAACAACTTACTAATAATTTCATAATATCCATTTTGTGCTTAATCAAATTATATCAACTCAAGTTCAAAAAATCTACACTTTAATTTAATACCTTCAAGCTTCTTGTTACAACAATAACCTGGATGCTATTATATAAGATTCATATTTATAATATCATATATGTATCAAAAATAAATGAGGGAAAATTCTCTGATCCTTTCGAATAGATACGATTTAGCAATTGCAAATTGCTATTCTGGAATACTTTAACACTTTCAAGCAGATATTAGTCTAGAATTGGAATAGAAAGAGAACTAAATTACTCGCTCCTTAAATTAAATTACAATAACAATAATATCAAGAAGTCTGAAAAATTAGATAAATCTGTATTCGTCTATAAAATCCTCTAATTCTTATTATAATGATATGTTTGATTTCTTAATAAATTTTATTTTTAGTAAATTTCTTTTTTTTAAATTAATTAACTTAGTAGCCAAATCTGAAGAGATATTTGAAGAAATTCAAGATAATATTTATTTAATATTATACAAACAAAGTATGTATTGGTTTGCTTAGATTTTGGATACTTATTCCTTCATAAAGCTAATGTTGTGGCCATATTTAGCTTTGACTATTAGATGGCTGAAATGATAATTATTTAAAGTAATTTAGTAAAAAATTATTGAATAATTATAAGTAATAACAAAACAGGAGATAATTAATCAAAATTATGATAAAATTAAATTACATAACAAAGAAAATTATAAATGTTGTTTAAATGAATAAAATGAATATAGATAATATAATTCAACTTGGCTTGGTTTAAAATATAATTTCATTTAAATTATTAACATATATTCACCACAAGATTGGGAATGTTATATCTTTTAAATTCAAAATATTAATAGAATTAATTCTAATATCCATAAAAATGATAATTTAAGAAGAACACTCATTAATAAAATAAATGAAAACAAAGTTCATAATCACTATTATAGCTGTACTCTAATTAGAGATAGTATCAGGTTTGTCAATCAATGATCCAGACTGTATGAAATATTTGTGGAAGTTTGGATATTTCAATTATAGTGAGGGATTAGGTCCTTTAAAAGTTGCTTTCACAGGTGATGTCTCCTTTATCACAGGAACTAATAATGCAAAGGTTAGCTTGAGATATAGTGATGCTGATCTTTTTAATGATCCAATCTATTTTGGTCTTACTAAAGAGGATGGTAAAACAGAGGATTAGGTTTGTCTTGATCTTAAATTATGGAGATATACATCTAATAAATACTCTGATCCATTGAAAGTCACTGATTTAACAATAATACCATCAAACAATTCGGAAAAATAATGGAGATATTATTCATTCATTATTCCTTAAAATGAATTCAAAATCAAATTAGTTGAAACATCTAATTCTGATTAATTCATTTACACAGGATATTATGCACTTACATTTTATGCAACTGGAACAGATTAACTCTAATATACATTCTTTTTTGAACTTTCTCTTTCTATTGATAGAACAAAAGGCACTGCATTTGAATCTTTATTTAAACCTTTGAGTATTTTTTATTAAGCATGTCATGGAAGGAGTGACTGCATCCAGCATGATACATAATTAAAGTGGTGCACCGATTTGAAATGTACTGCATATGCTACCCCAGATCTTCATTTCAAAGATGAGTTTATTCTATAATAAGTTACTACTACTCCCGGAATATAGGGTTATTATTTGACTAAAACAGAAGTTTGGTACACAGGAAAAGGATTATTAAAGAAAGCATCACCAATTTCTATAAATAATAAAATTCGAGGATAAGTCATTATTTCATTGAAGGCTGAAATTGTATGGACTGAAGTCACAATTAAAGTTATTTCCACTTTGTCAATATTATAATCAGAAAGAAAAAGAGTGAGGGGTTAAACTGAATTTGACAAAGTTTCTGGAGAAAGTTAATAAATTGAGTGTATAAAAGCATAAGGATCAGATACATGTGTAACATGTGAATAAGAATTAGAAATTAATGGGTTTGCTCATGATGGATGTTAACTTCCCTAATCTTAGGAATAGATGGGATTTATTTTCTGGGGGATAGTTTTAATTTTGATAATAATATTCCTTAATTTATCCGAAATTAAATCATACATATTATGAATAATTTGTGTTAATATATCCAAATAGAATAGCTAAGAATTTAGATTACTATTAATTAGTATAATCTTTATTTTCAAAAATACAATCAATCTTATTTTCTTATTTAAATATAAATTCAATCCTCTATATTCATTCATCCTATCATTCTCAGACTTTAAAAATAAATATTAAATTCAACAAAATAATTTTGCAAATAAAGAATCATTTCATAAATCATATAATAGCAGGAACACATAATAAATACAACTCCTTTTAATACAGTAAAAAGAAATTCCATAACATTATTGGTTGGAAAAGAATAATACTTAATTTAATTTTAATAAATTTCATGTAATGGTGAATTAATCCTTTTTCTGTTGCTTCTCAATTAGTTATAGAATCGATAATTTAGGATATTGATTTAGTAAAGATTGATAACGTATATATGGAAAACAAATATTTTCTAGATTTTTTAATCTTCTTAACTATGGCCTAAAAGAGATAATTGTTAGAGTGAATTCTTATTTATTATTAATAAATAAAAATAATGCATTCCAATCCAATTTTTGAATTTATGGCATCAAAAGGATTATCCGATAAGTTAAAAAAGAAGGTCAAAGGCAAGATTTGCTTTAAAGTAATTAGAGGATCTGAACATAAACTTTGGCTAATTGATATTGATGGCAAAAAAGTAATACCTGATACAAGTAAAGATGCTGATACCATTTTCAATATTTAAGATGATGACATGGTTTGCTTTTCTAAGGGATAAACGAACTTAAGAACATTGTTTATGAGAAAAAAGTTAGTCATAGAAGGAGAGTATTGATTTGTAAATAATTTTAGTTTTTCAAATGCTATTCGATTCACTAGCGATTTATTACCAAAAATGCCTTTACTATGATTTTTAATTAATCTGATTCATCATCATGAAAATGATTGTTTATTTAGTAAAATAAAAAATATTTTAATATGATTTCAAGATGGATTTGATTGTAATTAATAAAAGAATTCAATCAACAAAAGATATGTCTATTCTCATCTAATTTAAGATTAATAAATGCAAAATTGAAACATTATTTAATTAAAAAGAGTTATAACATAAAAATTTCCAAATTAAATCACTCTCTATTCATATGGTATTCTAATAGTATTGGATATAAACATCATGAATACAATTTTAATAAAGGTTCTTATGGAATCGATCTTGAATAGCCTACAGTTATATCTCTTAATTGATTGTAGTTTTTAGCAAGCTAGAATTTTTCTCTTAAGTAATTTTGTTTGCCTTTGGAAGCTCCAAATTATTTATTATCAATAATCTTTTGATATTAAAAATCTAAGTTTCTTAACATACAATTCTGCAGTTAAATCAATGAATTTATCAATAGTTAGGTTTATCTTAGACATAAATAATCTTTTTTGGTCTTTATAAACTTTTTTTATTTAAGATAGTCCCATACACCTTTTTATTGAATAATAAATCATAACTGATTAAATCTATAAATTTCCATAGAAATTATTGAATTATTTAGAAATAAGTTTCATAAGGTGATTAATCCAGAAAAATGAAAATGTTGTCATAAATTATGAACTTATTTATATTTATACAAAAAATATATATTTGGAAATTTATTATTATAATAAAAATGGTTCAATAAAGAAAATATTATCACTATAAAAATATTTCTATCCATACAAATCCATAGGCATATAATTTATACTCTAATGAGTTGTGTAAATCAGGTGCTAAATAGCGACCGAATGTAAAAACTACTCTATTGCAACCTATTAACAGTATCATATTTTTTAAAGTAAGAAATATTTATAGAAATTGGTGATGCTTTCTTTAATAATCCATTTCCTGTGTACCAAACTTCAGTTTCTGTCAAATAAAAGCCCTCCATTCCAGCTGTTGTAACAAATTATTAAAGAACAAATTCATCATTTAAATGAAGATCTGGATTGGCAAATGTAGAGCATTTCAAATCAGTGCACCAGTTTACTTTTGTATCGGGTCTAAAATAGCCACATCCTTAAGATGGTATAATTTCTCCTAAACTCTAAGGATTGAAAACAATTTCACTTACAACACCTGTTACTTCATCGATAATAATAAAAAAGGAAAAATAATTTGTGTATTAGAGTGAATCTGTACCAGCTGCATAATAAGCGATTGAATAATATCCTGTGTAAATGAATTAATTAGAATTAGATGTTTCAACTAATCTAGTTTTGAACTTATATGAATGAATAATATCTCCATTATTTTTCCGAATTGTTTGATGGTATTATTGTTAAATCAGTGATTTTCAATGGATCAGAGTATTTATTAGATGTATATTACCATAATTTAAGTTTTAGACAAACCTAATCATCTGTTTTACCATCCTCCTTAATAAAACCAAAATAGATTGGATCATTAAAAAGATCAGCATCAATAAATCTCAAGCTAATTTTTGCATTATTAGAGTTGGTGACAAGGTATATATCTCCTGTGAAAGCTAATTTTTGAAGTACCTAATCCGTCATTAGGATTTAATTTGTTAAATTTGTTCAAATATTTCATACAGTTTGGATCATCGAAATTCAGACTTGATAAATACTATAATTAAAGTAAAACCAGGATTGCGAAGATAGAGAATTTTTCATTTTAAATGGATGTCTATTCTGCCTAATTTTTCATTTTTCAACCCAAAATTAGAACAAATTCTACCAGAAAAATATTAAAAGATAATGATTTGGTATAAACTCATTTTCAAATGTAAATCTAAGACAAATATATTTAATTCATAAAAAATTCTAAGAGCATTGAGTAGTTAATGATGGATAAAATTATTAAATATTTAATATTAACCAATTGGACATTATTAAAAAAAAGTAATAGAATGAATTCTAATGAGGTAAAAAGAAGTATGCCTTGCTAAAGAAGAAATTTATTTGATTGTTAGTATGAGGATAATGGTATCATCATATTTTTGAATGCTACAAATTTTCAATCAAAAAAATATGAATTTTGTTCAATATTGTTTCATATAGAATTTATTGTAATTTTTGGTTGAAAAAAGAAAAATTCAGCAGCGAAAGCATTAATTTAATATATGAAAACAATATTCGTAAATACAATCCTGGTTGTAATCTATTTAGGGCAAGTATCAGGTCTGTCTTTCGATGATCCAAACTGTATGAAATATTTGAACAAATTTGGAACTGTTTCTAATGCTGAAAGAACAGCTACTTCAAAATTAGCTTTCACAGGATATGTTTCCTTTGTCTAAGGAAATACTATTGCATAGGTTAATTTGAGATATAATGATGATGATCTCTTTACTGATGTAACATATTTTGGTCTTGTTAAGGAGGATGGTAAATCAGCTGACGAGGTTTGTCTCGATCTTAAATTATGGTAATATACATCCAATAAATACTCTGATCCAGTTTAAGTCACTGATTTAACAATAACATCATCAACCAACTTCTCAAAATTTTGGAGATATTATGTATTCACAATTCCAAGAACTGAATTGAAAACTAGATTGGTTGAAACATCTAATACTGAATAATTCATTTACACAGGATATTTTGCACTTGCTTATTATGCAACTGGTACAGATTCACTCCAATATACATTCTTTTTTGAATTTTCAATTATTATTAATAAGGCAACAGATCCTTTATATGACCCTTTTTTCAAACCTTTGAGTTAGAGATCAACATTCAATTGTACAATTACTAGCGCTTGCAATGCAATCTATGATACAAAAGTAAACTGGTGCACTGATTTGAAATGCTCTACATTTGCCATTCCAGATCTTCATTTAAATGATGAATTTGTTCTTTAATAATTTGTTACAACAGCTGGAATGGAGGGCTTTTATTTGACAGAAACTGAAGTTTGGTACACAGGAAATGGATTATTAAAGAAAGCATCACCAATTTCTATAAATAATACAATACTAGGATAAGTAATTATTTAATTGAAAGCTGAAATTGCATGGACTGAAGTCACAATTAAAGTTACTTCCACTTTATCAGCCTTCTAAACAGGAAGAAGAAGAATATTGTTTTAAACTTAGTTTGATCCAGTCTTTGGAGAAACTTAATAAATTTAGTGTATTAAAGCAGAAGGATCAGATTCATGTCCAACATGCATATAAGAATGGGAAGCTAATGGATTTGCTCATGATGGTTGTCCAAGCTGTTGTTTTTCCCATAAGATTGCATTTGTTTTCTTTGCAATATTATTATTAATTTTCACAATTTGATTCAATTATGTATATCATATCAAATCATACTATTATCTTCATTATTCTTCCTAACTTATAGAAGCCTTTCTTACTTCAAAAAATTCAATATCATTAAATTAAAGTAGCTGAAGATTCAATTTCAAATCAAAATAAGGGTGAACTATTTAGTAAATATATTCTGGTTTTAATATTCAAAATAAAGCTGAATAAGTCATTCTCTATAGTAAAATCTATTGAGTTAATTTTATAAATTTGCAAAATATAGATGACATTGTTACAGGATAGTAGCCATTTCAAGAAAGCAAGAATTGTTATAATTTTATCTACCTTATAATGTATTGTATCTTAAACATAATTATTTTTTATTATTCATAATTCTTATTGCATTTACAACCATATGTATAAATGAATGTATATTATGTTATAAATCTATATATTTCAATGAAATTTCTCTATTATTTAAATGAATTAAAAATTACTAAAGATTTAATCTTTATATCCTCGTTTTTAAGTACTTAGTCCATTTTATGATCTCAAAAGCATCTTTTAACACATTTTGGCAAGCATTTTAAAAACTTCAATAGTACCTTTCAAAGTAGAATTTTATTTTTATAATTTATTCAACAATAAACTGATAAATGATTATTTGCAAATATTTGTTTTTAATATATAAAATTTAGATAAAACCAATCAAATCATTATGAATAAAAATGTAACCAATAATAGCAATACAGTTAAATTTGATTGGTTGCAAGGTTCACATCCATCATGAGCAAATCCATTAACCATGCACTCTTATTCACAATTGGGGCATGTTTATGCTCCTTCAGCTTTGATACAATTTATATCTTGTAGAAGTCCTGTATATGTGTCATAGGTCACTTAGGCTAACAATCTTCTTCCTCCAGTTTAACTAGTCGATAAGATAGAAGAAACTTAAATAGAAAGATTATTCCAAGCTATATCAGCTTATAATTAAATGATGGCCTATCCTTTAATTGAGTTATTCACAACAATTGGTGTAGCTTTTTAAAGGATTCCATCACCAGTGAACCAAACTTCAGTATCAATTAAATAATAGTCATTCTTATCAGCTGTGTTCATTATCTATAATATTACAAAAAGATCATTTTGATGGAGGTCTTGTTATCCGAATGCAGTACAAGTTAAATCTGTGCACCATTTTAAAATGCTATCTCCCTAATTCTCACAAGGTTCATTAGGCTTACATGATGCAGTTGCTTTTCGACTCAGAGGAGTAAAAGCTGTTTCTGCTTAATTGGTCGTTCTATCAACAACGACTGCGAAATCAAAATAGAATGTGTATTAGAGTTCGTCGGTACCAGCAGCATAATAAGCAATTGCGTAATATCCTTTGTAAATATATTAGTTAGAATTAGACGTCTTCACTAATCTTGTCTCGAATTGTTCACCTGGAATTATGAATGTATAATATCTCCATTATTTTTAGAAATTGTTTGATGGTGTTATTGTTAAATCAGTAACTTCTATGCCATCAGCATATTAGTTTGATGTGAATTTATATAGTTTAAGGTCAAGGCATGTTTCATTCGCTTTCTTCCCATCTTCTTAAACAAGACCGTAGTATTATAGATCATTAAAGCGATCAACATCAGAATATCTTAAGTTTACCCTCAAATTAGAAGTACCTGGGACGTAGGAAACATCTCCTGAGAAAGCAAGCTTTGTAGCACCAGATCCATCTTCATTATTAGCAGTTCCAAATTTTTCCAAATATATGTTACATTCTGCACCTTCTATAGGGAGTCTTGTTAATCCAATAACAAAAAAGATAAATAGAAATACTAGCATTTTCATTGAGATTAATTAATCTTAACTTTATTACTATCACTCTTTAGAAATACTAAATTTCTAGTAATTATTCTATTTAGTTTACTATAACAATTATTTCAATACGTTGAAAGGTAAACTTAATGAAACAAAAAACAAACGAAAAATAGAAGATTCAAATAAAAATTGATTATAATACTTGCATGAAAGAATTTATTTTTATATACTTAAATATATATATTCGTGATTTACTAGTTGGTATTCTTTGTAACTTTTATAGGTATTCCAGCATTAATTATGCTTATAATGTTTGCCATTTATTAATTTCTTTATTTTCAAGCTCAATTAAACTTTTTTTATTTATTTTACTTAAACAAATAATTTGATTTGCTATTGTTCAATAATTAAATTTATCCAACATTCCAAGTGATAGAGTGAATATAATTTTCAGATTTAAAACAATTTGAAGTTTGTTTTCTTTTTATTTTACAGAATGATTAATTAAAGATCATCACATTATTTTATCAAAGTGTTTTTATGAATTTGATTCTTAATTTAGGTTCATACACCCTTTTATCAAAAAGAAAAGCTAAGTCGCAATTCTAAATAGACATCATAGACATCTGTAAAATTATTAATATAAAAATGATTGTTAATCAATTAAAATAATAATTCTGTGAATAGAAAATATAATTTAAAAATTTCTTAAAAGTTAAATGATATAATTGATTCATTAGGCTTTACTTTTGAAGATGAATAATATAGTGATATATAGATAGATCAAATAGTTAAGGCAAACAATAATATCATGTTTAAAAATGTTAAGAATCCATAACTATTGCAAAATCCGCAAGTATCATCGGAATACCCATTTATGTTGCATTATTCTTCGCAAGTTGCACAAACCTCCTTTCCTTCAGGTTTTGTACATTCGATTTCAAGGGTGGCTTATAAAGAGTCAAGTAAGTTTGACCCTTCGTCTTCATCTTGATCTGAGGTTTCACTTAAAAATGAAGTAACTTTAATTGAAACTTTATTCCAAACTACATCAATTTTTAATTTCATATTAACTTATCCTTTGGTATTATTAATAATTTCAACTAAATTTGTTTTTTTATTTAATCCACCATTGGCAAACCATACTTCAGTATGAGTCAAAAAGTAGTTTTGACAGGCTGAGCAATTAACTAATTATTAAATATAAACAAAATCATTAATGTGCAAACTCGGAGTTTATTCCAAAATTTTTTAACATGTAATATCAGAGCACCATCTTAATTCAGAGTCAACTGATTTAATTTGAGTTCCATCAACACAGGACTAATCAAGAGAATTAAAGCTAGTATCAATAGTATTTTCAAAACCATAAATAAAAGGTTTTCCTGATATTGCTGAAGTAACCTTGATACTTACATTTTTCCAATATATTGGTACTTTCAATTAAATTATAACTTATCCTGGAGTTTTATTATTCAAATTCATTGGTTTTTCTTTCCGATAAAGTGATTTACCTATAATTTCAACTTTAATATTTTCTATTATTTAATTACTAATTTGACTATCTACGATTACTTATTTTATAGCAAATAAATCATTCAATTTGAGAAATGGAGATTCATTCAAATGAGTTTCACAAGCAAGGTCAGCACACCATAATAGTTTAGATACAGGAAGTATGATAAGTGATTAATTAATTTCAATTTAAGTTTAAAACTTGGTATCGATAAGGAGCTCAGTTTGACTATCGACAGTGATAATGAAATTAAAGATAAATACATATTTAAAATCTCTTTGCTGAGTTGATTCAAAATTAATTGAATAGGATCCATTATATGCACGAATTTTTTAATTTTTGGTGGAAACATCTTGATTATTTAATTTTGGTAATGGTAATTTAAACGAATAATGTCTCCATTAATTAATGATATTATTTGAAGTTATAATAGATAAACTTTATATTATTTAAGGAGTATTATCTAAGCGATGAACTGCGAGTTTTAGACATGTTGTTTCTGGAGGCTTTCCATCTTCTTCAATAAAACCAAAATAAATTGGATCTTCAAATAGAACATCAGTATATTTCGCATTAATTTAGACCTGCTGAGATTCCTAAATATAAACTACATCTCCACTAAAAACAAGAGGTGACTCAGTAGTTCCAAATTTATAGAAATATTTATTGCAATCGATTGAATTATTAGTTTAGCTTAAGGCAGTTACGATGAATTAGATTAATACTATGATTATTCCCATTTATGTAAATTAAATTTATTTTCTTTTTTCCATTTTATGAGTCTCAATTTAGAAATAAATTCTACTTAGCACTTTCATTCCAAAACACTGGTTAGTTCAACTGAATGTTACAACTTTAGAAGTCCACACTTTTAATGTGGTTAATTTGATGGAAAATAATTATCTTTTAACAGTATTTTTCTCCTTGTAATTTCTATAACAAATTTAATATCAGTATCAAATATTTAGAAAATAAATGAAAAAGTGATCAATTAATTAATTTTTTTGAAATCCAGTTAGTTTATGCATTGATAGATGATAAAGAGAACTATTGGGATAATGTCTGTTTGTTCTACTTTCACACATGTTTATATTTGAACAATGTATGATGAACTTGGATGGGAATTTCGGTGAAATCATTAAGTAATGTGAAATTTGATTAAAAAAAGAACCTAATTTCTAAATTCAGACTAAGTATATAATAAATCGATACATTTGTGATTTATAATAATATAATAAATGGGATCAAGTTGTAAGTCGAAACCAATGCGTAATCATATTCATTACAATACTTATTTGTGTGCATCTACACAACTAGAGAAGCCGATAGTGTAACAGTAATATTCGGAGGATGAGATAGTGTAGGATTCCGTTTCTTCGTGTGATTACGAAAAAGAGAGAAGTGACACTAAATCCTTCGTTCTACGTTCTCCGGATGTTTCTTTGAATTCACCCACTTAAAACAATTCTGTTGTAATATCGAAATTGCACATCACATCAGATGACTTTGTGAAACTTCGAAACCACAACTATTTGGATTATTATTCAAATGAAAGGTTGTTGGGAGTAGGCAGTTATGGTAAAGTGTATTTGGTGAGGAACAAATTGACAAGTAGAGTTGAGTTTAAAATGTTAGATTAATTGAGAGCAATGAAATAAGTGAAGAGGAAACAGAGTGTGGCATCCAGGAAGTGTTTGAGAGAGATGGAGATATTGGAGAAACTGGACCATCCCTTTATAGTGAAGGCTTTGGAAGTGTTTCAAGACGATCAAAATTACAATATGATTATTGAGTAACATTAATTATCAAATTTAGATTCATATCAGGAATGGATTTGTAAGAGGATATATCCAATGGGAAATTTACAGAAGAGAAGGCATCCAAAATTATGAATCAGTTATTATTAGCTATTAGTTACATACACCATTAGGGAGTGGTACATAGAGACATCAAACCAGAAAATATCTTGTATCAATACAACAATGGAAATGACTGGATTAAATTGATAGACTTCGGAATATCAGCCAAAATAAGAAAAAATAAAAAGTTAAGTTCTTAATTGGGATCGGTAAGCTATTCATGTATATTTAGATGTACTTTATGGCTCCAGAGATATTTCAGAAGGATTACGGCAAGTAAATAGACATTTGGGCATGTGGAGTGACTCTCTTTTACATGGTTCAGAAACGCTATCCTTTTATGGGCAAAACGGATCAAGAAATGAAGAGTGCCATAATGAGTGGTCACTACACTTTGGACCAAGGCATCAGTCCGGAGTTGAAAAGTCTCTTGGGCAAAATGTTATAAGTGAATCCCAACAAACGAATTACAGCTGAGTAAGCCTTGCATGAAGATTGGTTTGCCAAATATAATTAAGGCTTTCAATTAAATTAATCAGTATTTGTTTATTTAAATTCCATAGGTAATTCAAAAATTACTGAATTACAACAGCACCTCCCTCTTTGAAGAACTCATTTTTTCTCTGATTACTTACTATGGTTAAAATTCAGATGACTCAGGATAAGCCCTCTAAACATTTCTATGTTTGGATAGGGATTAGGATGGGTAGATCTCCAAATAAGAACTAAAACAAACTATTAAAAGTTACAACCTGAATATAGAAAATCAATCTAAACTTATCGACAATCTATACTCCAGTCTTAACAAATAATAGGATGATACATTAACTTATAAAGGTTTGTATTTTATATATTTAATAGAATTTTTGGCTGCTTCAGTGGCAAGTGACAAAATCCAGACTAGAAAATGCTAGAAATTGTGTTTTTAATTGATTGATGCAGATTAGGATGGCAAATTTTCAGAATCTGATTTTTGTCATCTTATGGGAAGAAAATAAGCAAATTTGTGGCATTTGTTGAATCAAACAGATAAAACCTACATCACAGAGGAAGAATTTTATGGCATGTTCAAATAATGAATTACTCTTTATATACTTTAGTATGTCATTTTTTGTTTTGCTTCTCCTGTTTCGGGTTATTCGCAAAATAAATCTTGAGGCCTGTCTTGTCATTTTTATCGAAACGATATCCCTAAGAAATGTAAGAAGGTTTAAGTTCACTTGAAGAGTTTGCATCACAATAGTAGCTTGCAAGGCATCATCGAAATCCACGAAACAGAGCAAATATTCTCTTCCCTTTTGAGTTTGCTTTTTAATCAGACGGACTCTTTGAAACCCGGGATAAGGACGAAATATATCTACAGTATATGAAGTCTTTAATACGTGCCACTTCTCGTTCTTGTGCATCGTTTGGAATTCCTATTGCATTTATTATCGAAGATCTTACCGTCGACGTAGAGAGAGTGCGTAGACTCCTTTTGGGGCTGGAATTGCTGGTTGTCTCTGATCAATTCGAAATACTGATTATTGAACATGGGGTTTGGGTATGGGTTATTGAACATTAAATATATAAAAATTATTAATATATTAAATGGATAAGTCATAACCTATCAAGAGATCTTCGAAACAAAGAGACACTGACTACCAAGAGAAACCTCAAGTAAGACAACCATTCTAATATAGTCCAAAATAATGCAGGATACTCAACAGAGCAGTCAATAATACATCATAACAGATGCCACTTTCGAATTAATCATAAGAGAGAGAGATGCCTTGATAGAAAGGTTGGAATACGACCAAAGATAATTGAAATATCAACTGGAACAAAAGAAAATTGAATTATATGAACTCTCTTAAAGATTTACATCCCAAAGAGGGAACCACCTCCTCAAACTCCAACAGTCAGGTGTCTAACTAAAGCAAATTCAGCCAGATGCAGACGCTTATAAATGACTTACTTAATTAATTATAATTTTTATATTAAGGTATCATGCAAATTCTTAATAATTCCAATTAAACAATAACCTCCCCTATAATTGATCTGAGTTATGTTGTATCTTCACTTTTCATTCCCAATCTTGTATTTAGCAAATAACCAATTATTAAATTTATTTAATTTTATCTTTTTTGTTTTATAAATATTAAATCCAATAGCAACCAATTGCTTTTATTAAACACATTTATGTATGATAAAAGACTTTGAAAATCCAATCCAATCCAAATCTACAACTATGTCGTTATTCTAATGCTTACTAAACCTACAGAATTAACTGTCCACTATATAGTTGTTTCTTATTTTATAAGGGTTTATTCACAAGTTTCGATTACGAAGTTAATTTATATTTCAGAAGAATTATTAACATAGCATCTCTGAAACAACCTAGAGTAAATATTTCATTATTTTTTGTATTTAATTTGGTTAGCTATTTTATAGAACACTACTTTCGTTATTCCAGAAAGTGTAAAGGAACTTTAGACTCCTTAAGAACAATCCAAATTTGCTAAGATTTTTGAATGTATGCTCAAAAGAGTTACAAAAGATATGGAGGTAGGATAAATATTTTTAGAACTTGATGTGATTCAACACATTTCATTACATTATCATTAGAAGTAATCATGAAACATCATTTCTTGATAGATTTTAATGAGATATGTGTATAAATACTATAAATACTCAGATAGAGCGAAATTAAACTTTTATTAGAAAATGGTATAGAGTTCTTGCAATATCATAAGATATATCGATAGATTTATAAATATTTCCATTAAAAGAGTGAGTTGGGAATCATATAAAAATGATATAACATGAGATTTTTCAGAATATAAGAATGAAAAGCATTTTAATGAATATTAAACTGTGTAACTAAAGTAACAACCATTAGTTGATGGTCATTATCACTTTATGCAGAGATATCTCTAAATGAAAAGTTTCAGGGACTAAAAATTATTTTGCTGTTAAGGTATCAGCCAATCACCTTAATGGTTATACTAAATAATGGAGGTTGAACATTGATTAAATAAACGAAGAGTAAGATGTGCATAACTTTAACTTCAAGAAGGGGGGGGGGGGAGATGGTAATTCATAATCAGAGCGCTATTCTGAGAATAGAGATCTGATTATGAATCTACATGAAAATATGAAAATTTTTAATTATAACAGTTAATTTAAATATTAATGAAGCAGAACAACGAGAACAATTATGTGAGAGTGTCATATAATAACTTTATGACTACACGTAATAGATAGTTTGGAAATGAACTCACAAACATTTAAAGAATACCTACTCGTTCTGCTTCTCAATTCATATGTTCGAAGCCTCTTCTTAAAATGGAGGAGGAGACTATGCCTCCAGAATTGGTCAATCCTTATGTGGGTGATATATTTGATTACTTATGTGTCAATCAACATAAGTTCATGTGTTAGACTCCATTTTATATGAATTTATAATTGGATATCACTAATCAGATGCGTTCAATATTAATAGATTGGCTGGTGGATGTACATCTTAAATTTAAGTTGCAACCAGAAACCCTTTATTTGACAATCAACCTAATCGATCGCTACTTGTCAAAGAATACAATCATGCGAAACAAACTACAATTGGTTGGGATTGCATCTTTATTCATAGCATCCAAATTCGAAGAGATCTATGCACCTGAATTGAAGGATTTCGTGCATGTTTGTGACAATGCCTACACCAAAGAAGAAATCTTAGGTATTTGTACAGCCCCTATCAACAATTTAGAAATGGAGAGCAAAATCCTCTTGACCGTCCAATTCAACCTCACCTACACCTCCCCACTCAAGTTCCTAGAACGATAGATCCAAGGAGCCAACCTTTGTGACAAAATCAACCATGCCTCCCGCATGATTCTGGAATTGTCCCTATTGGATATCAAATGCTTGAAGTAACCATAATGATCTAAAACTCATTAGGTTCTCCTCCTCATTATTAGCCACCACTTCCATATTACTAGCTATCAACTTGCTCAGATCTCCTTAGGTATTGCCCTCGTCCTTGCATTACATTGAAGACCAAGAGGAATTGAGGGAGTGTCTATCCGAATTCCTGCCAGTGATTTCACTTTTGAAGAGTTTCAACATGACAGCAATCAGGAGAAAGTACCAATTGGAAAAGTTCAATAAGATTGCAGATGTGATTCTGACCATCCTACCTAATTAATAATGATTTCCATATATAATTTAAATAATTATCAATTGGTTTTATCGAGCTATTGTTGTAATTCCTACAGAGTTACGAAACCCTGTTTCTTTCTATCCAGAAATTCAAAAGAACTCTTAATCCAAGAATCAAAAATTTGATTATTGCAACGCCTACATAAGTATGCTTATCATTACAAAATGAATTATTTAAACTCCTCAAACTTTAGTTTTCCATCCTTAGCCTAGTTAAATTTATCGAAGTATTGATCCAAGGTTTGATTGTAATTCTTCATCGTTTATTTAATTACTCTAAAACATTCAATTGGATTCTGTCGATAAGATTGAAAAGGGATCTAAAGGTTTAAATTGTTATCGTCTCTACCTAGAACTTGTCCAACCATTGTTAGAACTCCTACAAGGTTAGATATTGATTGTTTGCTTTTTAGATATTATTAAAGATATGCTCTATTTGAATTCTTTGCAACTGAGGATCCACCCTTGAAAAAAGATTTTCTATGTCCTTTATTGTCACTTGAGGACCCCAATTCAATTTGATAACTAACTAATCAAGCGAAAGATCTTTTCTGACAATCTCATTTCTAAGTGTTTAGGCTATCATTTTCTCTTTGTTCTAATGTCATTTTCATTTTTACATTGCAAATTTCCTCCAAATTAGCAATGTCCTTAAATTGATAGGCGAACAAGGGATGCTTGTACAGATCATACCAACCAATCCTCTCATCTGATCGTAATAATTACATAGTAAATACCCTCGTTGATGACCAGACACCTTCTTACGACATCCTTCACATATTCACTTACTTGCTTTATCTTGTCTGGGAACAAAAGTGGCTTCTCATTAATGTTCTTAATTAGTTCTGGAATGGAATTGGCACTCCATGGAGCTAGATAGAGGTGATTGAAGTACTTCGCCCAAATAGTACCTCATAGAATATGAATCCCAATGACCATATGTCGCATTTGGTTGAATATCTACGTGATGAGAGTTATAAGTTACTGTAGATTTTGCAGCAATTGTGGACTCATATACAGAGGAGTACCTAGGACAGTCACAAACAACTATTGAGCATAATTATCGACGAGTCTCGCAAAACCGAAATCTGCCAGTTTGTACGTTCCCTTAGAGATTAGGATATTGGCTGGTTTGACATCCCTGTGTATGATGCCATTCTAAATCAATTCCAAGAATCCTCTCAAGAGATCTATCATCATGTTGATTGCTTCTTGTTCGGTCAGGAATGTCTACTTATCAAGCAATCTAAAAATAGGTATGTTGTGTCATACTGCTTTAAATCTCCATCGCAGAGATCGATGATCTAATAATAATTGTTTTGAGTCATCAAGGTTTCATGCAGTCTGACAATGTTATCTCCTTTCAATTTGGCCAAGATTCTGAGCTCAAAACTCAATGCTTCAGCGTCATAGACTTTCTATCTGGGAATCACTTTAATGGCAATTGGTTATTGAGTCAAAGTGTTGATGCCCTTATACACAGTGCCATATGATCCATCTCCCAAAATATTTGAAGTGTTGTATTGATATTTTTCCACCTTTTTTTCTAGTCCTTAGTTCTGTTTCATTTTGGTAAATTTGTAATTTAATGTATGAATATAAATCCATGTATTTTGCACAAAAAAATTGAATATAAATAAATATATCGATGTAATAAGTCAAATAGTTTGCCATTCGAAGACCAAATGTAGTGCAGAAGCCCAAGGCTGAAACAAGTAAAATAGAATATTTCATTCAAGTCCCATTGAAACCTGTTGGGAAGGTTCTTCAACAAATTCCTCTATTACACTCGTAAGTACCAGAGAATAATTCAATTCTATTTACGTATTGATTGGGATTTAAGTATTTTTAGTCAAGAAGAATTTAAAAAATTATAGTAAGAAAATGAACAATTAAGACACTAGCTTAATAATAAGTTTTAGGATTATGATAAGAAAATTTAAATCATGAACGAGGTATTGATATTCTTATCCAAGTTAGTTTACAAATTTGAAGAATAAATAAAGAGAAGAGAAAGTGATATTCATTATTATATTCATAAGATCGAATATAATATTAAGGAAATCAAATAATAGAAGGAAGTCATTGCCAAATTGAGAAACAAGAAGAAGGATTACAAGATGAAATTCTTAGCTCTATAATAATAGAACCCGCAACAGCAGCAAGATCCCTTTCAATCCTTAGTAGAAATGAGGGAACTTCTGCTGCAATTCAGATTGACAGCCCAAGTGTTGCCACTTCTATAACAATAGTGGAGATTGAGACAATATCAAAATCAAATTATCGATGTGGACAATATGAATTATGAAGAATTGCTATCCCTGGGAGAATAGATAGGGTAAGCTCTAATTAATAATTCTTAGCAATGTGTCCAATGGGATAGCTAGGGAAGACATCAGGAGAATTCGTAAGCAAGTGATTTAGGCGAGTGACAACATCCAAGGAGTCTGTCCAGTCTGTCAATGCAACATGGAAATAGGGGAGAAGTATCGACGCTTGGGTTGCAATCATCATTACCATGCAAAATGCATCAAGACGTGGTTATTGTAGCATAATAATTGTCCTGTTTGCAAACAGAATGTTGTAATTGCTATTTGATTAATAAATAAAATGGCTGATTAATTATTCTTTTACCCACTATGTTCTCTAGAGCGTAAATTTCCATATCTCTACGTGCTTGAGATTGCAGGAGTAAGGTTATGCTAATACCTTCTTAGATCAAGGTGATGTGGAGCCAGGGATTCCCTCTTCATGATCTGATGTATTTGACGATTCAATAGAAACTAAAGAAGGTGAAGTTGAATGAATCTAAAGACTACTCATCCAAGGAAGGGGAATACTTGTTCATGAACAATACAGTGAGGTTCGATTTGCAATTCATCAATCACATCATCTTCAATGAAATTGATGTTTTTCTGGTATGCACTTAGATGGATCTGTGTTTGCTGAATTACTTGGTTAGATTGAAGCAATTCAAGCCTTAAATCATATGCACCAATGCCACGTACCTTTTGGGTTAGCATTTCATCAAAGAACTTTATCAGTGGTCTGAGATAAGGAATCGTCACTTCTATTCCTTCCAGGAAAACTACAGCAAGGAAGAGGAATCTTTCAGATGTTTCGAAGAACTCTATCACACCAATTTCTAGGAATTCACAGAGGCATTCCCATTCAAAGAGCTGGATTGCACCCTCGTCAATTACGGATAGATCGTCAAGATTCCCTTGCTCTAAGTATTATTGCAATGATACCAAGATCTAAGAAGCCATATCCATCGAAGCCCAATCCAGTGGAACCGGCATTGGAGATTCAGCATATATAATATCCCTGGGTGATTACTTCAAACTTGTTGTTGCCACCAATCTCAACAACACCAATATGACCTACGCTCACAAGGAAATATCCATGAAACTCAAGGCGGCTGATTATCTCATCTATGGTATGCCGTAAAGCAGAATCAACCATTCCTTCCTGTCTAAGACCTACGAATTCTTAAAGTAGAGCCAAAATGTTGTCATCCCCTTCAACTCATACTAGACAATACTAGACTTGCAAGATGAGATGTAAATGTCACGATTATCTAAATTAGAGATGACCATTTATAACATTAATGCTTTAAGATATTCATCATAAGTTCAGAATTCCACAATTACACTCTAATTGCTAATTCCTTAGTGGAATACCTCAACAATAAGTTGTAAGCAAGCATCATGAAAGAAAACCCACAGAACCCTTTCAACAAAATCCTCTATCTAATTAAAACCCAAAAGATTATTGTGGTTCCTTCCATTGAAAAAATCAAATTCGAAGGATTCTCTCTCAACGAAACTCTCAAAGGCATCACTCCAAGTGTTTTCTTCATCTTTGACAGTAGTCTTCGATTGGCTCAGGCTGTATTTCTATTTGATCTACTTGAACAAATCGGTTAAATGGTGACTATCTACACTCAAAAAGTCAGCAATGCAGACCTTTCCTTTGGCTTACAATTGATTGATCCAGAATTCTACGACGAAAAACTATTGCATCAAATCAAGTCCTCATACAAATTTTGCATTGCTAAAACACCAATCAACAATCAACCTGATTTCATCCCTTGGCCTGATTCCTCTATTAAAACATTCCTTATTCCAGAATCCTCCACTATCCAAACCAAATCCTTAGTACTCAATTACAAGATGCTCTAAAAAATTGCCTTGAGAATCAATTAAATCACCGTCCCAATCTAACCAAAATTATCAGGATCTGGAAAGAACATCCTTGGCAACATTGAACTCAGCAACGTCAAAGTGAATATCGCTGACAATAACGAGGCTGAACTACAGAAGTCTTCTCCTCCTGATGTCTAGTACATAGTAGGATACATCCAGGAGGAAACCATCAGGAGAATTTCAGAAGAAATACAAAAACAATTCGGTCTCTTCCCACAATACTAGTCCTTGCAACATATTGAATTCATCAATGTGGACAACTAAATCTGTGCCAAGGTGGAGATCTTATAAAATGAGACCAAGGTCTATGCTAAAACTCAAGATGATATTAAGAGAATATCTGATATTGTATATAGATGTTTAACAATACGCAAATTATGATCAATGATATCATTATATTAAATTTAATTTATTAACTCTTCTTTAATGATTTGGAGTTGTTTTGGTGTCAAATTCTACCTGTGATAAACCCTATGCAAAATGTACAGCCACATTCTAGGCGATATTGTCCAATGGTATAATAATCACATTGGCATCATTATGCTATAATATATTGTATTGACTCTACCTCTCTGCACATTTACACAAAGTATTAATTGTAACAAATAGCTGCTCTTATTTTATCAAACTTATTAAATATTATTTAAGATTTCAAACTATTCTCTGTGACAAATACACATTGAGTGTCTTTGCTCAATACTTCATTCACTATCTGTTTGTAATTTGCCTCAATGACCTATACATTGAAGTACTTTTCGAAACTGCTTAACAGACACTCGACCTTTCCACAATCTGAAGCAAACAGAAGCAATCTATTCATTTATTAATTAAATATTTTATTTAATGTTTGTGCTCATTTAATAATAATATATGTTATTGCTTAATATGAATTAACAGAAGTAATAGATTATTCTGAGTGACATTATGATAGATAAGTAAGTGATTAACTAGAAATTTGACATTAATAAGAATCTTGAGTCAGCGAGGTTCTTTTAGATTGAAATATTATTAAATGCGAGAGTTTTAATTCTGTATTTGAAATAAGTTTAAGGAATGGAAATTAATATAAACTGAATTCCATTTATTCTTTAATTTAATGGTATACTATCTCAAAAACTACACCACCCCAAGTAGAAATTATTTCAATGTTGAAAAAGAATTATATATAATCAAAACTATAATATAATTCATAATTATTTTAAAAAATTTAATTGAATTCCAAATTATTTCCTTAAAAATAGAATAATTTTATTAAATAATTTAGAACACTATGCCTATATGAGAAGGTTAATTTAATAACCTTGTTTTTTAATATGACATTCACAAATTGATGAAGGAAACAACAATTTTATCTATTGTATTAATACTGCTATATTGCTATATTGCTATACTGGCTAAAATTGAAGAATGAAGCAATAAGATTATTTATACAACATTTAAATAAGTTTGCCAAAATTCTTAAAGTTTCATATACGATTGAAATGATTTAGGTATATCAATAGCATAAAAAATAGGTAAAGAAGAATACTAATTAAATCTGCTTTCAATTCACAAGGCCTTTATATGTAAAACCAGAAGGATGCACTTAATTGATTAATTATATGATGCAATATTATATTGTAAATATATGTATTAAGTGTGTATTATTAGAAAATAATTCTAATTCTATTATTAGTTTCTTAGTTATAATAATAATTTTATTGATGTATGTATTTTATATCTTATGAATTTGATTAAAATAGAATGTAATTTATCAAATTTTGTTACAACTTTAGATATATCTCTACAAATGATATCAAGCCAAAAACACAAATTACTTTTCTGATTTTGCTTCTAAAATTATAAATCCCTCACTTTTAGTTCTTAGAGAATTCCACCTTTCAGCAATGAAATTTACATGGAATTGCAAAAGTGCAATTGATGTTCTCCTAATTCAGTAGTAGATAATATCAAAAAATAAATCCTAATCTTTTGGAATATCGAATATATAATATTAAATTAACCATTTATTTTGGTATGATGAATCGGAGTAATTTAATTAAAAAATGGGTAAAATATCATTTCAATTAAATAACAATAATATTATTACAAATGAACTCATAATGGCAATTAAACAAACCATTCAAACCCCAAGGAGATATTGAAGATGTGCAAATTCGAGATTTTTCAGTTTAGTTTAAACCCCAAAACTTAGTTTGTAAATTTAAGATGACACAGAGGGTGGATTTCATCTCAACGTTTTACACTGGCAATATACCTTCATCACAGAAGGCTCCTGTCAAAGGAATACTCAAATACTGATTTTGATACTATGCTTTATAAAGTTTTTCAGTCTCATATGTTTCATTTGAGCTTTCTTCATTTGTATTTCTAAGATTTCTTGGAGAACACTTAGAGTATTGCACAACTCGGCCCTGTTTTTAGATGACTGCTAAAGTCATCCAAATTTAAAGTTATAACAAATGAATTCCAAGGTGGCGAGCTTATATTCTTCATTTAAATTGACAAATGATAAAATGAAATATAGGAATTCAGATATGGTTATGTGTGGTTTAATATACACAAATAATTATAATTGAATTGATAGTGAACAAACGAATTCAAATTATTTCATCTTTTGTTTTATCCACTTGAATTGAAGGAATCATAGCAACAATAGGTTTAACATATAAAGGGACATTTCATAGTAAGGGAGGAATTACTCTAATTTAGAGTATGAAATATATTAGTAAATAGCTAAATAATATTATAATTAAATTGAGTAATTATAGTCCTGAGATAAAATTTTATTCAACTTGAGACAACTACCATTAATCAAATACAAAATGATCAACTATGAATTCGTATAATTGTATTAACGTATGGAAATTGTGAATTTGGGTGGAGAAAGTGCATTACCTGACTGAAATATTGATGTATTTGAAATGAAAGCAAAGAAATGACATAGGATATATCTACATACAAGCCAGAAATTCCAAAAGGATTAATAAGAATAGGAATTAAGTTGAACGTTTGGGAAGTTGGTTTGGACAAATAGAATAAAATTTGAAATGACTTTGCAAATTACTGATGAATACAGGAATATGATATAGTGATTTCAACTTGACTGATAGTTGATGGGAAAGTTGAAAAATATTTTGGAGTTGTAAAGTATGATACTAAATGAACCGGAAAATATTTATTTATAGTAGAATTAGAGCAGAATGGGATGATACAAATTTATAATTATAATTAATATTCTTAACTTTATACATATAAGTGAATGTATGATATAATTAAGATATAGTTTCATATCTAGCTAGTTGATGTATTACTCGCAATAAAAATTTGAGGGGTACATTCTCATATTTCTTCTGTAGAATATATTATTAATAAAATTATGATTTTGTTCATTGTATTCTTAGATTATGCAATGGGTATTTGCGACAACACTTGTAAGATATGTGTGGCAAGCAATTGTAATTAATGCCAACCGACCAGATATTTAGTAGATGGACTGTGTTAATGTTCAAGTTCAAACAAAGAGCTAACTAGAATTGAATCAAGCCAATGCTATGAATGTAATAGAAATTGCAAGGATTGTAAGTTTAATGAAAGAAATTATTGCTTAAGCTGTTATAGCGAGAATCATAGAGTTCTCAAAGATGGAAAATGCGTTTGCGATGTGTCCTATTAAGAAATAAAACAGTCCTAAGAGTGTATGCTTAGCGTATATGATGTAGACTTAGCTACAGTGTTTGTAAAATCTCGGTAATAGGATGGGCCTATTAAATATATGAGTAATATTCTACCTTTCTAAAATACTCAAATAACAAATTTTGATACCAATATCATGAACACAGTAACCATACAATTTTAGGATAATATAAAAACTCCCCTTAAGGTTGAATAACACAATTAGTAGTTTTTTGACTCTGAGGGTCGACACATCATTTAAATTAAAGTAGACAACGTGCTGGTAATTGGCACTCGGATTGAGGAGAGTGTGATAGTTGTATTTGATTTTGCCAAATACAATGATAAAACATACGATAAATATATGAGTATTAAGACATTTGGTAATAATAAATATACGGTTGATGTTTATTAATATATAAGATAAAATACCTTAGTTATATTAATGGGGATCAAAAGAACCCTATTAAACGTGTAAAATCAGAAGGATTTAGCAATATCCTTCATTTTGACTTTTGAAAGCAATAACTTCGTTGCCATTAATATTATAGAAACATTGGTAGACTATGCAATTCGATTAATTGGGTTTTGCAAGGACCCACTTTGCTCAATTTGTAGTTTCTACAACAATATTGAAACATGTAAAGTGTGTAAACCACACACAGAATGGGATTCAACAACCAAAACTTGTGTTTGCAAGGGTGACCTCAGTACTGAAAATCAATGCTACTATAAAGGCAAGAATCAAAACGCTATTGGTTGTACTGAGGAAGTTTGTCTATTGTGTCAGCCTGATAATTCTACATGCACCAGTATTGTTGAAGTTTGCGATGATGGATATTATGAATCTAATAAAAAGTGTTTCAAATGTCCTCTGTCCTGTGCAACCTGTACGAGTGATACTTAATGCCAGAGTTGCATTGGAAATTACTACAAAGATAACTTCACATGTAAGGAATGTATTTCTCCATGCAAAACATGCTAAAGTGAAACTCAATGTTCTAGTTGTTTGGATGGTTACTTTCTGACCAATTCTGAATGTCGATCATGCACTTCCATACCGGGCTGTAAATTATGTGAAAATGCAAGCAAATGTTTGGAAAGCCAGAAAGGATATTATGTAAATTCGAGTTACGGATGTACATAATGTAAAAACTAATGCAGTAGTTGTACTTCAGAGTCTTTTTGCACTGGATGTATTGATGAATTTTATGAATCAATTGGATAATGCAATAAATGCATCGGAAATTGTTAGACTTGTCCAAATTCATCTCAATGTCATGTTTGCAACACAGGTTATTTTGTTGATAAAATGAATTGTATAGCATGTAATTCTCAATGCACATCTTGCTCTGGATCAGCGTCTGAATGTTATAGTTGTAAACCTGGGTTCTCCTTAATTCAAAATAAATGCGTATCATGCTAAACACCTTGTTATACTTGTGTGAATACAACTAGTACATGTTCATCATGTATCAATGATTCCTATTATTTGGATTCAAACACATGTGTTTTATGTGAAGCTCCATGTAAGAAATGCACTTCAAAGAAGCTTTGTCTGGAATGTCAAGTAGGCTATGTATTAGATAATCTAACAGGATTATGTAAGATATGTGAAACATCTTGTCCATCATGTTGTACTCAATGTTAACAAAAACTAGTATAGAATGTCACCTGTTAATATTGTTAAGGTTCATGTAATTAATGTACAAACACACATACTTGTTAATCATGTTTAGATGGATACTTCATGAATGGATCAAACTGTTCATTATGTTCCAGTAATTGCTAAACATGTAAAGATAATTAGTTTACTTGCATGAGTTGTTATTCAGGATACTATTTGTCTAGTGGATAATGTGCACAATGTCGTTCAAATTGTGCAGAATGTGAAAGCTAAGATAAATGCACGAAATGTAAATCCACTTACGTTTTAAATTACGAATCGAAATGCCAATCATAAAGTTGCAAAGTTGAATAATGTGTCACTTGTTACGAATAGGACACATGCGACAAATGTGGTATTAGTAAGTATTTAAACAACAATAAATGCCATCCATGTTCAAAAACATGCAAATCTTGTGAAAATGGTCGTGATGAATGCACAGACTGCTTCTTAGGCTTCTATTTAACTCAGAAATAATGCTAGTAATGCGATTTAAAGTGTGCTACTTGCACAACTACATCTTCAAATTGCATTGAATGTGCATTAGGTTACTTTAGGAAGGATGGAGATTGTTTAAAGTGCAGTAATAATTGTAAGACATGTTAGAACTCTCCTGAAATCTGCATTAGTTGTTAAGATAGTTCTTATTTGTCCAATAGTTAATGTGTTAACTGTTCACTGAATATTGAATATTGTACTTAATGCAGTAATAGCACTACTTGTCTAAAATGTTAAAGTGAATACTACTTATAAAACAATTCATGTTTAGTTTGTCCTTTTGGATGCAGTCAATGTATTTCACATGAATATTGTACTGAATGTAAGAACAATGCATACAGTCCTTCTCCAAACAAATGCGAATAATGTCCTAAATATTGTAAAGGCACTTGTAAATTCATTAATTAGAAAATTACATGTCCTGATGGATGTGCAGATGGTTACTTTTATAAAGATGGGCAATGTCTCGAATGTAAATCTCCCTGTAGAACCTGCAGAGACTCCGAAACACAATGTCTCAGTTGTAAAGATGGCCATTATTACGAAATTAGTTTTGGTAATGTTGACATCGTGAATTGTTATAAATGCACAACAACAGAAAATTGTAAAAGTTGTGAAAATCCAGATCATTCATGTAAAACGTGTGTAAATGAATACATCTTTTAATTAATTCAGGCAACATAGATATGCATACTTTGTAAGGATTGCACTTGTCCCAAAGGTCAATACTATGATTGGGAGTAACTTAAATGCTTATGGTGCAATCCTAATTGTAAAAGTTGTGATGAATAGTCAGATATTTGTACTGAATGTGCGGCCAATCAATACTTGGACAAACACAGACACAGATGTTTTAATTGTGTATCACCGTGCAAATAATGTTCAGACTTTGATAAATGTCTGACTTGTATTGAAGGTTAAGCCTCTCCAAATGGTATTTGTCAAACTTGTCAACTCGATAATTGCATAAAGTGTTTGAATAATTAATGTTCTCAATGTTAAGCAGGATACTTCATCAATTAAAATCAATTGTGTGAACCTTGTTCCACCAATTGTCTAGAATGCAATTCAAAAGACTCTTGTCAAAAATGCGTATCAACTACATAAGTGTATTTATCCTCAGGCATTTGTAAATCATGCAATCAACCCTGTTAAGCATGTAATCAATCTGGGTGCTAATCATGTCCTTTAGGTACCTATATTGAAAATCATGATTGCAAGCGTTGTTAAGACAATTGCAATATGTGCTCCTCATCAAGTGATTGTCAATCCTGCAACGTTTCTTATTACTTTGATGGCATAACTTGTAATTCTTGTTCTACCAAATGGGAAAATTGTTAGTAGTGCACAGACTCTTAATGCAATATATGTTAAGACAAATATTATTTGGATCAAAATGGTAATTGTTAGCTATGTTAAAACTAATATTGTTAATTCAATTGCAATTTTGAGACTTGTTAGACTTGTGGCGAAGGTTGTATTAGATGTAATCTTGAATAAGCCTGTGTCCAATGTTTAGCTAATTACTATCTCAATTAAGGGAAATGCATAGCATGTAACTAAAATTGTTTGAGATGCAATTATTAGGAATGTTTGTAATGTAAATCAGGGTATTATCAAGAGGGCATTAACTGTTTATAATGCAAACCTAATTGCTAAACTTGCGATAAAGAATTTTGTTATTAGTGTCCAGATAAATATTACATTGATAAATAAGAATGTAAGTAATGTCAACCCAATTGCTCTCTTTGCACTTCTGATTAATGTGAATCCTGTATTGATGACACCTTTTATCTAAATTAAAACCAATGCTCGAAGTGTTAATCCCCATGCTTAACCTGCAGGAGTAAAGATCAATGCACTAAATGCTAACCTACTCGCTTTTACCTTGACAACTTCGAATGCAAATAGTGTAAATAGGGATGTCAAACATGCACAAAGGACTCATGCACCTAATGCGATTAGTATGGATATTATTTAGATAATGGAGAGTGTTTCAAGTGTCAATAAAAGCATTGTTTAATATGTTAGAAGGACAAATGCCTCTAATGTGAAGAAATGGAGTACTTCTTAACTAAAGATTCTACTTGTAAGCCATGTCCAGAGAATTGCAAAAAGTGTTAAAGTTAAGATCTATGCAATGTCTGCAAAAATGGCTTAACTCTTTATGATTCGAAATGTGTAACAGATTGTCCTAAAGGGAAATATTTAGATGAACAAACTTGCTCTGATTGTTCGATAGGATGTTTGGAGTGCTCATCTCTAGAAAATTGCACAAAATGCTAAGATTCTTTATTTTTAAGTAAAGATGGCATGATTTGCAAATCAGAAATTGATTCACCAATCAACTAAAATATCATTTTGATGATTGCTGTTCCTTTTATTGCCATTACTGTTGTATTTAATGCAATTTTACTGAACGCGATTATTTAATTCCTTTATTGCATATCTACTCCTATTAGATGCTTATTTTACTTTTATGAATATGGATGATCAGGCTGATGTAAAATTATTCTGTATTTATATATAAACTACATTATTATTGTTATCTTGTTTCTATTAATCTTTTATCCATATTAAATGATATCTACTAATTTATCAAAAATTCTAGTTCTATATCGTGTATATTCAATGACTAAATCAATAGTTATATTTTTCTCATTAATTGAATTCTGTACTTTGATTAATTTAAGGAATCTAAAATATAAAGATATTCTTGTCCTTGCCAATTTGAATGATGAGCGCTGTTTTCTTATTAATTCAATATTTGAATAGTATCAAACTTTATTTCACTAAATCTATTTAATATCTTGATTAAATGATCATTTAACATTCAATTAATGGGAATGTAAAGCTAAGATACAATATTATTATGAAAATTCAATCCTATTATTTGGTATTTTATTGTTATAATTTTTATGTATCAGTTATTTTATTTAAATGATTAAATGATCCTCTAAGTTATATTTTCGATTTAATGATTTTAATTCTTTAATTTCAATTGTTGATTTAAGGAAACAGCTCAATATTTTGATATATAAAAATATATGTTTAATTTGAATAATTATAATAAGTTATTATTTATATAATTAAATTGCTGAGAAGATGGACTAATTATTTTAAATATCATTAAAAAATTATAAGAAGGAGAGTATTAAATTATTAATAATTATTATTGAACAACTAAGTAATTGGAGTAATATAGATTATCTCAATTGTGAAGTATCACCAATATTAAAAAGGGATGAAACAAAATCATTATTTATTTTAATTGATTCTCTTCTTCTATATATTTTAGTTTCTTGCTGTCTATTGCTATTGCTCAAAGTATGGGCTGTTTTATTGATTGTTGTATCTGAATTTTTCTGAATATGGCTTAATTGAAATTGGTACTAGACGCTTGTTGGATTTGTAACGATCATATCGTTCCAATAAACCATCCTGTGAGAGATCTCTTTCCATATGATTGACCCAACTGAAATCCAAATTGAGCTTGGATACATTTTACAGTTGAGGAGGTGTTTACTCTTAGCGTTCTATTACTTTCTTTTTCAACTCCTCAATTTATTGTTTGAGTTACACTTCAGCAATTAGATATGTCTCATACAAGAGTGTTTATCTTTACACCTCCTCTTTTAATGAAGCAATCTGATTGTCTCTCTCATTAATTTGGTCTGTTAAATATTGATTTTTTTTCTGCAACTCTACAATTTCTTCCCTTAACTAAGTGATAATCTCAGAATCTAAATTGATTTGAACTGATTCATCCTAAATCTGATTGGTTTCAGTCAATCTACTAACCAATATTTGCTTCTCTTCCACACTCTCCTATTATTAGGCAATGGATTGATATAAAAATTGAGATTCAATATCTGATTCTTACATAAATATATATAAAACTTATTTTGTTTTAACCAACCAATATGCTTTGTATGCGGCAACAAAAATTTATATATTAAATTAATTAATTCAGGATTGTTCAAGATTGTTGTTACTTTAGATCTCCTCGAAAGCACTCTACAATGTAGTATAATCCCCTTTCATGGCCATCATAAATGCAGATGCCCCTGCATTCATGCTCATTCTCTTTATCATCTTCCTCTTCTCTTCAGTCGATGGAGGTTTGCCATCTTAAGATTTGAATGAGTTTACAGTGAATGGTTAAATAAATTTGTCAATCACCGCCATTGCCTTTTCTGTCTGACTGGTAGATTTTGGGAGATTCACTAATGATAGTAGAATGAAATACCAGAATGAGTCACTTTGTCATTTCTAAGAAATTCTTTGTGTTGCTTTGATAATTGAATTTACATTTCATCGTTTTATGCTTGCAAACTATTAACCTTACTTTAAAGAGTTAACATGGCCTCTTTAAGTTCGTAGATTTTACATTATTTCTATTACAATTTTTCTTGTAAATTAGGGGTCGAATCGTTTTCATCAGCCAAAGTTGAGAAATTAGAATCAGTAGAAGCTACAGAAACCTTAGATTCTGATAATTTCTTAGGAGTCTCTGCTTGATATAATTAGATCCTCAGTAGTTCTATACTTTTTTTATAGTAATTGCATCGCTTTTAAAGAAATCGAGACCTGCATTATAACCTTTCGATAAAAACCTATTGATACCCCTCACATAAAACTTAAGGCTTTGGATTTAGACTCATATAGTTTAGCTAATATAAATTTTATTGTTTTTTTAATCAATATCAACTCCTATTTTTAACCCACACCCCCTTAGTTCACTATTAAAATAATTTTAATTCCTAAAATAAGAGATCCATAACTGATATAACTTTAAGAATTGAGTTCTGCCTTGTATAGAATTCAAAATGGAGAGAATTCTTTTCCCTATTTATGCTGTGATTCTTAAAATAGAATAAAAATTTAATTATTAGAGTACAGAAAATTTAAGAATCGGATGAATCCCTTAAAATATTAAGTGATGTAATGCAGTTGTATAAGATTTAATGAATAATTTTATGTTTTACAAATATTATTAATTTCACATAGTCTCTCATAACTAACTTTCACAATAAAAAAAGTACTTAGAAATAGGGATCACTTCTTATTCAGGTTCATCATTATCCTCTATACAGTGTCTTACATAAGCAAAATACTCATCATCGTAATTACATGATACTTAATTTAATGCACCCCCTATTTGATTGTATATTATTTTTAACGTTAGATATCTCTAGATTAGTATTCTTACCAATTTATATGGTTAGCCTGTTTATTAAGCCACTTTAATCAATTCGTAAAATTCTGGAAGTACCATACATTTTATATATTCAACCAAGTTAGGTAAAAATTGATTCATATGTTATTTGAATTTGTGGAAGTTTTAATCCTACAGAATCATTAGCTTATTTGAAAGATATTCAGAATTTAAATCAAGATATTTCCTATCATCTGCGTTTAAATGACTTATTTCCCATTTAAATAGAGTTTACATATCTATGCCTTCTGGCCATTATATACCTTCTTCCTCTTGAATGTATCTTGCATAATAGAATCTCAAATTCGAAGATGGCAACAAGTTAATGCAATCTGGAAAACGATCTTAAGCTGCTAATAAATATCTCTACTTCGTTATTTAAATTTTAATCTAAATAGATGATGATGCACTATTAATTAGTGAAAGACACAATCATTTTTCACGATGTCCAAGGCTTTTTAATTATATAGCTCTGCCTTTTTAAACTCATTTCTATATGTGAGATGTTGAGAATATAAATCGAAAATAACCCAATTGAAATAATAACCTTAGAGGTTCTCTTCTATAAACTGTATGAAATCCTCAATATTATTTCTAAACCCCTCACCATAAACATCAACCCCCTCCAGATATGTCCAATTATAATAGAAGATTGAATAATTATCATAATTCATATAGTCTTTCATTAACGACACTTATGTAAGGGGTTTCTTCAATTAACTTATAAAATTCTTATACTTTTGATCTTCATTATCGACAAGTGGCTTTTCACCAAATTTAACTAGATTTATGACCTGAAATGTTTCCTTGATTGAATCGCTATCAGTGTTTTATTCTAAAATATCTTTCTTTATTCGATAATATTTTTTGTAAATTTTATTAACCTTACCCTTATATCTGTCCATCCAAATAGAATCTATCAATAGGAATTTCCATTCAAATAGGATTTAAAAGGTTTCTTTATAATTTCTTAAGTACTTAATAATATCATCATGATTTTCAACCCATAAATTGTTTAAACGAGCCTTAAGACAACAATATTTTAGGATTGCTTCGTCACTCTCTAACAATGATGGATCTTTAATGCTGTTAATTATGGATTTTGCATCATCCCAAAGACACATGATATAAAGAATTTCTGCCTCTTAGAGAAGCAAGTTGCTGTTATTGTTACCCAAAATCTATTAATATCGTTGACAAAGCATTAACTGAAGGATTTTTGAGCCTCTTCTTCCAAAAACATCGTAATATAAATCATATTCTAATTTAGATAACTTTTCAAATTAGATTTGATCAAAGATTTCTTAAACTGTTTTGAATTAATAATAATTTAAAACAAAACTCTTCATTAGATAAGCCGTGCGAATAGTATCCTGCTTCTCCTGTTGATATTCTTCAAAATAGAGTTTTAGGAATATGCTTTGAAAAACACTTAATTATTTGGCAAATGAAAAAAAACTAAAAGCGAATTATGCCAGCGGATCTAATCTAGTATCTTAGGCTGCTTTATCAAAGTGTATATTAAGATCATCATCTAAGATTGTTGATTATCTAGTGTATTTAATTTTACTGAAATCTCTCTTAATTATAAAATAATCTTTATCGTAAAGTTAATTAATTCTTGGATGCACCATTTTCTTCTCATCTAGAATAGTATTCAATTCTATCATAGATTTCTCAGGATAAATAATTTAGAGCATCACTAATTAGAATGCGTAAATATCATTTTTAAATAAATTCATTTTACATTTTCTTTGATTTTAAGCATAAGTCTATCTAATTGATTTTTTGTAGTACTGAATAGTGCCAAGAATTGGATATTCTCCATAAGGTGTTTAATATTGAGTTGAGCACCCGAAATCTGATAGGACCCACCCATTTTCTTTTGTCTTTAGAATGTTATCTAATTTGATGTCTCGATGAGCAATTTTGATTGAATGAATTTTGATAATACTATCTAGAATGCAATTGAAAACATTATCAATTTCAACCTCAGATAATCTATTTGTATAACTTCTCAAATTCCCCGTTCCTAATTCCAAATAAGTGTGCATTTTGTAACTATCAACATAATTTTGAGAAATAAAAACCTTTCCTTAAACCTTGATGATGCACTCCGGGTAAATTTCCTCAATTATTTTTTGGATTTTGAATTCCTCTGCATATTGAAGGACAGCTTAAAAAGAGCAATCCTTTTACACCTTTAGAGCAGCCTTTTGTTGTGTTTAAGGATTATAAGTGTAATAAACATCGCCATGTCCCCCTGACCCTATCAATACTCCATTTTCTAGCATAACTGCTCTACTCCCACTTTTGATGTCATAAATTTCAAAATCATTAAAGGTGAATACATCGGAATGATTTTTTAGTATTTAGAAAATGGTTGTCTCTAAGAAGGAATGTACAAAATTTGGGTTAGGATCCTTGACTTAAAGGAGATGAGAGTAATCAACAGTGACTGTTTGATTTGAGTCCAAAGAAAGATCCATATAATTATTTTTAGAAAATATTAGATATTTATCAAAGTTAAGGTGGGTTTTAAATTAAAATATAGAAAGCTTTTTGATTAACGGAAAATAGACTTTAGGGGATATTTCTACTAATCTTAAATTCTTATGAAATATGTTGTATTGCTTCAAGTAGGTTTTATTTTAACTGATTTAATAGATATATCAAATTATAAAAGGTTAATATAAAATATTTGTAATGTCTCAAATTCTTTAATAGTATTTAAATTAAATAATAAAAATTTGATCTTGTTTAAAGAGTTTTATGGAAGAAACAATTGAAAAATTTAGAAGAACGACGGAGTAGCAAATTCAAGTAGCTGAACATTCTTGCGAGTAAGTAGTTGAGCGATTATTATTTAGTTATTGTTTATAATCTGATGTAAATGCTGTTGCACAATGTTTAACATGCAAGAGATGGTACTGCAACAGTGCAACAAAGAGCGGATCACACATAATACTTCACTTGATTAAGAATAAGCACAGTTAAATCAGTTTGCATAGCAAAAACAAGGTGGAAATAACAACTATTGAGTGCTATGGTTGTGAATAGAAAAATTTGTTCACTCTTGGACAAGTGAATGGTACAAATAGTATTTGAGTATTTTTAGTGAGGGTGGAAGAAGAAGAAAACATTTTGATTCTTTGCCGAGGCTGTCTCCCATTGAGACAATTGGGAGAGATCACTTGGGACTCAAATGATTATTAGCCACTAATCAAGGACAAGAGTATTTAGGAATGGTTATTGGGTTAGGGAGATAAAATAAATGTAATTCATTATAGAGATGATCTTAGTCACGTATGGTTACTTTGGAACGTATAAATCAGTATGAGGAGGAAAGGAAGAAAAAGGAGGGATTGAAATTTGACGATTTGGATAGAAAAGGTCCAAATCAATAACTAAAGGAAGTGTAGTTGCGATACAAAGACGCTAATCACTATCAGCAAGTATTTTCACCACTAGTCAAATTGGAAGAAGAGCAAGATAAGTAAGTGAAGGAAGGACAAGTAGTATAAAGTGTGAAAGTGAAATGGGATTTGAGTTTGAAGAAGAAGAGATTGGCCTACTTTTTATATGGAGGCAGAGAAGAGTTTGACACAAATACTCTGTTGGGAAGTGAGATGTAGTTGAGTTTAAAAAATGGGAATTACAATTGGTAATCAAAAGGAACTGTGATCAAAGTAATTAATAATGAGGAAATCTGTTTGGAATTACATCAGAATGATCCTCCTCCTAATAATATAGAGGAAGGGTATACAGTTGAATGCATCTGGGTGTCTACAACCTTTAAAAGAATGCAAATAGGATTAAAGACATTTCTTACACAAAGTAGTTCCACTAGTAATTATCTGTATAAGATGATCTTGGGAAGAATCGATACTTTAGCTCCTCCAACAGCAGTGGAGAGTATTCCACAGAAGCTATCTGCTCCAAATCTACCGGATTTAAATGTTTATCAAGCAGATGCAGTTAAGAAAGCTTTGAAGTCTCCATTGTCATTGATATAAGGTCCACCTGGAACTGGTAAGACTGTTACCAGTGCCACTATTGTTTATCAATTAGTGAAGGCTATGGAAAAACAAAAACAAAGAGGATAGATCTTGGTTTGTGCACCAAGTAACATTGTTGTTGATTAATTGGCTGAAAAGATTAACAAAACAGGTGTCAAAGTTGTCAGACTCTGTAGTAAAACAAGAGAAAGTGTTAGTACAAATATTGAATTTCTGACATTGCACAGTTAGGTGCGAAGTTTGGATATACCATAATATCATCAATTATAAGCATTTTATGAATTGTTAGATTAACAAGGAGAATTAGATTAAAAGGATGAATAAGTATTCATTAGAATGAGAGATGAGGCAGAGAAGGAAATTATTGAGTAAGCTGATATCATATGTACTACGTGTATTGGATCAGCTGATAAAAGACTTAAAGAAATGAGATTCTTATTTGTTTTGATTGATGAAGCAACTCAAGCTATAGAGCCAGAGTGCTTATTACCAATGTTAAAGGGAGCCAAACATGTAATCTTGGTAGGAGATCATAGACAATTGGGTCCTGTTGTTTAGAGTAGAGAAGCAGCTTCGGTTGGCTTGGACAGAAGTTTGTTTGAAAGATTAGTACAATTAGGAATAAGACCTGTTAGATTGTAAGTTCAATATCGTATGCACCCTGAATTAACTGTCTTCCCATCCAACACATTTTATGAAGGTACCTTGCAGAATGGAGTCACTATAAGTGATAGAACTCATTCTGGCAACTTCCCTTGGCCAAATAAGCAAAAGCCTATGATATTCATTAATGTAACTGGCCAAGAGTAACTATCTGCATCAGGCACCTCATATCTTAACACCCAAGAAGCAGTTGCTGTAGAATAGGCAGTTTATTACCTTTATCAGAACACCGTTAAATTAAACAAAATTGGAATCATCACTCCCTATAAAGGACAACGCACATACATACTTTCATATCTATAAAGGAATGGACAATTACCTTACAATCAATATAGAGACATCGAAGTTGCTTCTGTGGATGGCTTCTAAGGTAGAGAGAAGGATTTCATTATCATTTCTTGTGTCCGTTCAAATGACACTCAAGGCATTGGTTTCTTGACCAACCCAAGAAGATTGAATGTCACCATCACCAGAGCCAGATATGGATTGATCGTCATTGGAAATGCTAGAGTATTGAGTAAAGTATGTTTATGTGATCTATTTGATAGGATAATCTTTGGAACAACATGTTAAATCACTTTAAGGATCTGGACTTGTTGATGGAGGGTTCATTGCCTAATCTTAAATCCAGTCAGATGAAATTTAGACCACCTTAAAAGTTTATCCCAGAAAGACGTAATAACACTATGAATGGTAACAACGATGAAAAGAGTGTGTATTCTTATGCTCAGACGGGTATCCATATTTTGTTTATTCTCTTGTAGATAACCTTAATCAATTTGATCATGATTTGGGAGAGTTCCCATTAACAAAGGGAGTTAGGAACAGTGAATTTGGATTCAATTTTATACCTGATACTCAGGCATTCATAAAGGTTGCCGATTAGAATGAAATTAGGAGAAATTAAGATTTACAAGAGATTGACCAATCCAATGTTATCAATATCGGATAACCTCCTTCGTCAATCATGTAAATTGGAACATTCCAAAATGATTTACAATTAGATGTTTGAACAATGAATATTTGGTGCAGAGGGTTGAAACGAATTACATCATATATATCATATTATATTAATAGTCATCATTGTTATTCTATTTTCTTCGTTCCCCTTGAACTGAGTTTGAGACTTATGTAAGGCACAAACTTGAATTAAGCTTTGAATTGTTTCTCCAAAAAATGTTACTCTGGGTAGAGGGATGCATCATACACCAGATATTGGCTCTTTGGCATTTCTTATTAAATTATTGTTATCTTCATCTACTCGTCTTCTGATAAGGCTTGTTTCTATTCATTTTTCTTTTTAATTGACAGTTCATGTAATTGATTCGATTCGATCTCCATTATCTTTTCGAAAATTTTAGAGAATTCTTCATAGAGGGGCAAGGATCTCTCTTCTAATTTAATAATGGCTGGTCTCTTAGTTTACAATTATATTTCATTGACAATTGCTCCTCCCAATCCATCAATATAATTCATGTCCAATATCAAAATTTCAAATCTGAATTCCTTCTTTACTCTCAAGAAATCGATCTAATTCAATACTACTAAAGCTCCCTTATATTTTGATTGAAATTACTCTCAGCATCTTTAATTCATTTTTCACATTCTTATTAATTTTATCACAGCATTATTGCAATACAAACTTGTATATTTTGGCAGGGAAAATACATTTCGAGTCTGAAATCAACAATTCAAAAATGTCATCAGCTGTTTACCTAATGTTGAAGATTTGACATATAATGCTTTATTATCTCGTTGAAATGTTTTTTTTTTCAAACTATTATAAATACCATTCTTGAAAGAGCTATGAAATTATTTAAGGCATTTTAGAATTTGCTAGAGTTTTAATCATTAATATAAATAATATCATTTTAAAGACTTTGATTTTATTAAGAAATAATTATCTAAATTTTGAGGATAATGATCATACTATCAGTCTTGAAAAGATTGGTATATCTAAATCTAGAATTCTACCTTCTAAATGGGTATTTTCAACTTAAATTGGCCATAGAAAAAAGAAAGCAAACTAGATTTGTATTTTACAAGTTATAGTAATTCTTTTATGCAAAATATAAATGTATTTTAAAATTCTTCATTCTTTAAAAGATATAAATTTATAAGCATTCAATCCCATAATCTTATCTTCATATCATCTATCTTTTTAATTATTGAATCATTTCCTTATGACCTAAAGATTTGATTAAACTAGCTCTTTGTTTCTGATAAGGTTATTTCATCAGATTCAAAATCAAAAAAAGGGATATCAATAAATTATCTAAAGTGAGGGTTCTCACAAACTAATGGATTCTTTATCAATTCATTCAGATATTAGAGGAGCAGTCCACTTCTTTGATTTGGATTAATATTCTGTTACAATGCACTTAACTTTTATGGTAATAAAGGCAAGAATTGAACCCTATTATAGTTTAATAGATATATAAGTTTACCTCTTTTTTAAAATCCTGTGTAATTCATGAAATTAAGAGTATCTTTTAGAAATGATGTGATATTAATTAAAGATATTATGGTTGATAATCTAAAATTGATATTTATAATATTTATCTCCATTTTGATCCTAAGCATCGTCATATTATAAGAATTTGACTGTAGATTAAGATACTTACTCTACATCTCTTTGCATACGAGAATATTATTTCTTTAAAAAGGGATCTTAATTTGCAGATAAGCCTACAAATTTGAATAATGGCAAACAACTATGGTTCTTTCTGTCGTTTAATAATACTTTTAAATAGATTTCTAAATCTTTTTGACGTTCCTCTAAATCCACTTCAGTTAGCTTTCCAATACTCTTTTGTGGGAATAAGGATGAGTACTTGATTCCTTATTATTTTAATTATTCATTCAAATCATGAAACTCTCTAAATCTCTTCTATGACATTAGAGTTTCTTAATTAATTGTGATCACTATTGAATACTAGATGTAGGAATCTCCATGTTGCTTGATTGTTTGATGTTCCTTGATTTTCACATTCATGTAGGGAATATAGGGTTTGTGCAATTCCCATTTCTTATAAGGGAGACTGGTTTATTGCTTCTTAATCAGAGATGACTTATGAAGTTGTCGGTGTTATAATTTGATATCATTCAACAATTCTCTTTCTTGCTAAGGAAATTCAATGAAGTCCAAAAATGTATTGGATAATAAATCAACCTTGCTAATCAGAACATTGAAGTATTTTTGTATGTAGTTAATTAATTGCGAGTCTGTATTATCTGAGATCTACCGAATCAAATATTCTAATTAGAGTAAATCATTATTGTGCATTTCAAAATAGGCTTAACATTCTATGATTAATTGATGGTGCATTTCAAATAATTGAGAGACTCTCTTCTTCAATTTTATACTCTTTTCTTAATCAATCAAATGACTAAATTAATAAATTCTTAATTACATGTTCATTTTAATTTCAATATCATTGTCCACAATGTTCCAAATCTTTTAGAGTTCCACTGAAAAAAATTGAGTTTGAAAATCTTAAAATTATCATAAAATCATACTATTTAAAGTTGAAATCCTCAGTTTCTATTCCAATGAGGAAATGTCGACATCTGGTAATTCGCTATTAAAAAATCCCAAATCTTCAAATTCTGCTAAGTCTTACTTTCTAACAAAGAGAGTGTAAATCAAAAGAATTGATATAAAGATTATTCTACCAAAAATTAGATAAGGCATGTTGGTTAAATAGCCATAATAATATAAGATCAAGCTGGTTATAATAAGAAGCACAATCCAACTCGCTATCCAATAAATTTTATGAGCAAAATATAATGGAACTCGTTTCTTATACTCAAAGATCTAAATTTCATTGTTTTTGTACCATCAGGAATATTTAGAGCAATTAAGTAATCATAGTAATTAGGAGTACCATCAAAATGTAATCTTGATATTCCTCACAATATTTGCATAGAAAAATCATTCCAAATTGAGTACCTTAAATGCCTAGACTGTTTATTAATATGTGATTGTATACCTATATCACAAATCAATAAAAACACGCGAAACTTGAGAGAACAATTTAATCTAATCTCATTAGCAACTATGTCCGATTTCAAGTAACAATAGCGTCGAATCATCATAAGCATATAGATAATTGAAATAGAGGATGGAACAATAATTGCATATGAAAATAACTACATAATTAAATTAATTTAACATGAATTTAATTGATTACCTCAAGTAATGCAAAGAAAAACAAATCAAAAAAGTTGAGGCTGACATCCATCACTTTAACAAAAAGATCAATGATGCATCAAGTCAGAAAATGTTCGAAAAACTAAGTGCTGGTGTAAATACACTGCCATATCTCAGTTAATAATAGAAGACTGAAATGTAAAGAGAACTAAAAAAACTATAAAAGATAATGGACGATATCTCCTCTAAACAATGCGCATTCAATATTCACATCAATAAATATGCTGACACTTAATGCAAGAAGACTTTTACCTCTGCTTTAGAATTATAACATGCTGGTTAATAACTACTATTGAGTACTTTTTGTAATCACAAAACTCAGCTGCAAACCTTTCTTACCAAGTACAATAATTTGATAACCTATATTCCTTTTTGGGAATATGCTCAACAGTTAGAATCCAAATATAATCTAATAGATATAGATTTCAATCTGATCCAATCTATGTTGGATGAATTGCAATTGAATTATACAAATATGAAGAAAGAACAAGAGAAAAACAAAAAACTGCATAAAGTTGCCTCAATTCAAACTAATCCAAATTAACAGGAAGTTATTTATAAGGAGAAGGAAGTTATTAAGGAAATTTATAAAGATAATCCATAACAACAGTTACAAATTGATGAATTGAAAAAATAGATTACTAAATTAAAAGAGGAGATTTCCAATTTAAAGACTTAAAACTAATTGCTACAAGCTCATGAATTGACTTATGGTCTCAACTGTATGTAGGACATATAAGAAGGAATTCAAATGTATATCTAAATTGGTACTGCAGATTCCAAAAATGCTTTAGCTCAATTATATTAATAAGGTAAGTTGGTAGCCTAAAACATCAAATAAGCCAGATAAATTTATAAATCTAACATCAAATCTAATAATTTACAATCAGTCTTTTAATATGGTAAAATAGAATTAATAAACAAAAAAAAAATCCAAAAAGGAATCTAGTATATTAAACAAGCAGCTGATCAAGGTCACATTGAAGCATGCCTTGACTTGGCCATTTTATATTATTAAGGAGTTTCGTAAAATAACGAATTCCTATTTCAAAAGAATTAATAATTGGCTAAACAATATGCTACTAAAGGCTAACATACTTGCAGAGGAATGTGTGATCTAGGTATAATTGAAACTGACAGCCTGAAAAGCATCAATTACTTAAATGAGGCTATCAAAAAGGAATACACTCCTGCTTATTATTACCTTGGATTGCACTATTTGGAAGATCATGAAAAAGAAAAGGGATTGTCTTTATTGTTATAAGGAGCATTAAATCAAGACTTAAGATGTGTGGAAGAACTATATCAATATTTATATGAAGACTCTTTGCATGCTAATTCTTTAAATAAGTTTTAAGACTATCTGCAACTTCTCGCTGTCACAAAATAAAGTAGTGAAGCTTATTATTATTTGGGTTTATGCAATAATAATAATCTTTTACTTCAGCAAACCTATTATCAATTGGGTTCAAAGTTAAATAATCAAAAATGTCTTGATAAATTATCAGAAATCAACAAGGACGTTTAAATTTATTCTTAGATTGTTGAAATGGGATAAAATTAAGCTCTTTTTCAATTAGGATAGCATTATGAATAATAAGGTAAATATCTTAATGCAATCGATTATTATAAGCAATCTAAATCACAATAGTCTTACAATCGCATTAGTCAGATTTACTAAAGTCAATTAAAAAATGATGCATTGGCTAAAGAGTACGAATAACTGGCATTTGTAAGTCCTCGTTTTGATAGTGAGAGTGAAATAGCTTAATCATTGATAATTACATAGAGTAAAAATTGATTATTAAAAAGATATATGTTGAATATACATTATTTTATATAAATTCCTGTTCTTTAATAGAATTGTTATATTTGATTATTAATTAATATTGAAATATCCTGACATTTTATAATAAAACTGATATGACAGATGAATACTTAAATTATCCTTTTGAATTGCATCGAGGTCTGAAGGCAGAAATGAAGGGAAATGATATCTAATTTGAATTATACCCAATGAATAGGCAATTTAACAAGAATTTTAATAGAGTATTAACCTTGGATCGATGTAATATGAAAAATTGTAGAAATAATAGATTAGATGACAAGAGCTTAATAATTTGCTAAAATTAATTATAAACCAAGAAATAAACCAAAATAAATTAAGCTTATTTAAAACAGTTTTTTCCTTTTTAATTCTGAAATATTCAAAATTTAATTCGTTTGTAAAATTTACTATTTGAAAATTCTTATGAGAAGGTCCATAAATAATTTCTAAATGAAACAAGAAATACTTGTAATACTTGTATGAAAAAGGGTAATACATTATTTAGTAAAGCGATTACATAAATATACATTTATAGTTTCAAACCATCTACTAAGCCACTATTTTATTCTTAAAAAGAATGAAAAAAATAAATTTTTCTTATTAAAGGATGGCTATTATTGCTGCTATTGAGATTCTATTTTTTTTTGTTACTTTTTCTTATTTTTAAAGAACTCTTCTTAATTGTCAAGTAAATTAGAAAAGTCCTCCATGTCTTAACCGATCTAATATGAAAATGAGAATAATAGCTGCTTGTTTAGGTCCAACCAAATTTAGAATTTAGAATTTGTCATTTTTTTTTTACTCAAATGCAACCACAATTTTGGATTCAAGTTTAGTTATACTCAACACCATAGTACCTACTCTTTCAACTTACCATTCTACAGCCTACTGAGTTTGATTAAGGAGAGGAATTTCTAAATAGAATTAAGTTAAGATGTTATTCTAATCAGACTCAGCATATATTGATAATTTTTCATTGAGATATTTAATTTGATGATTCTTAACGCTAATGTAAGCAGGAGCATCAATCCTATGGGCAAATTTAACTTTGATCAAAATGTTAGCTCTTGATTATGCCCATAGGATTATATGTTTAATGAGGACATGACTGTCATGATTATTGAATCTCTTTTTTAGTTATTCTAATTCCGATAAATCATTTTATATAGATTGTTTTGCACATTACAAATGGGATTCCAGTATGATTTATTCTTCTGTTACCAAATTGAGAATCTGCTATCCAAATCCTCAGAGATTAGCAATTATATAGTTTAGCAATCCAATTAATTTTCATCTATCATTAGAAGCAGTTACTATTTAATGCCATCTCCATTTAATGATAAATGTGCTATTTATGATTATATAATAGTGAATAGAGTAAAAATAATCATTAAACAAAATAAAATTACAATATTTTCTTATATTCAAACTAATCCTTTTAATGTGGTTGCTGTATTCTTTCTTTAATGAAATTAGTGTTTTTAAGTAAGTAATTCAGATTAAATGCTCTTGGTTACTGGTCTGGGTGTTTTACTGAAGGATGATTAAATGAAGGTCTCAATAGGGTTTCTAGAGGTCAAGTGATTCAAGTAAGGAGAATTTTAGACTGCACAAGGACTGTGTTCTGTGTGATGGGATATCTTTAATTGTGTGGAACACCTAGGAGACTTCTGGTCTTCTGTCTTTTGGAATCTCAGTGGCTGAATATTGCAATAGGAACTCTGACTATACTTGTGGATCTTGGGTAATGTAATTTACGAATCTAAGGAGTTAATGGCTATGATTACCCTTATCATGTAATTTTTATTACAAATATACTCTTACTGATTATCTTTATTTATGTCTTTAATCAATAATTTTAGCCTAAATAGATTGAGAATGTATATTGACTGGATGTTTCTCATCATGCACATTAACTTAATGTTATAGTTATTGTGGCGGCAAGAGAGGAGAGCCATCGAAGAATACTTTGGTTTTGTATCTAAACATCTTCTTCTGTTTTTCTAACAATCTTTGTTTCCTTCGCTTATTAATCAAGTAGAGAATGCAATAAACTGCATTTTAAAATCTTATGTGCAACCTCTGCTACTTAACTATTGACATCTGCGTTCGAAACAAAACGAATTTCTTTTATAGACATTTCATTTTCTTATTGGGCTTGCTGCAATCGAAGCAGCAACAGCTTTTATTGTCTTCAATCAAAGCCTCTTGTGAATACTCTGAACTACCCATATGTCTGAGGAATACCTTTCTGATGACACAAAATCTAAGTTTTTTTAAGACATGGCCTTAGTGTGCAAATTCAACGGGTGAATAGCTTTTGAGTATGTCTTTTTTGGTGACCTCTTTCTTGTCTATTGTTTGTTCGTTATCAGGATTCCAGTTCTCTAACGATGATAGGATTGTGGTTTTCTGCGATTATCCATTCTGGCTTTGATTTTGTTACTAAATTTATATATTTTATATATATAAATATATTTGTCTGATATGTACGTATAATTAATTTGAATTCTATAAAGGAGACTTCATAATATAAATGTTATTAAGATAAAATCATTTGTTTTCATTTAATTAAAATTATTATATCATCAATGGGCGTATGTACTTCTCAGCAACCAAAAAAACCTAAACCTCTAATCAGACTAATCAAAATCAGAATGGATGCAAACAACAAATCAAAGGAGATCGAAGAAGCCATTCAAATATGGAACAAAATCAATCGAGTAATTTCATAATTGAAATCTACAACTAAAATCCCTGATGATTTGAAAGAGGATGCAAACAAAATCAATAAATTCCTGAAATCACAAAGAAATTCAAAGTTTCTTGACACCTTCTTTTCCTTTTATGACAAATTTCAATATAAACTAAATGAGCAAATCACTAAAAATTAAGAATTATGGATTCAATTTGAAAGTATCTTCAGCAACTTGGACTTGCTCAATGACAAATTCACTGAGTTAGGATATACATCTCGACTCGGATGCACTCAATCCTTAACTAAATATAATTGATCTATTTATTTATATATACCATAATATATTTATAATAATATAACTTGTTCCTTTGTTCCCTAATCAATATGTATTAAGAATAATTCTAAATGATTGTCATCAAACTTATGTATGAATGTCTATAAAATATCAGAAAATTGTGAAAGAAACACGAAATGTCTATCTCGCATCATTTAGTATGTGTGTCACAAATCATCAATACTAATTTATAAAACAACAAAAGAAGTTATTAATTTTATCGATTAAATGCTTTTAAGATTTATTTAATATTATTATATTAATTAAAAATAGATAATCTTATATAGTAATTAAAAATCATATATTTGAAATCATCCCTAAGATAATCCTTTATGATGAAAATGTAGCCCATTACTATTTGACCCACTAAACACATTCTTGACACCAAAGGTTTAAAGAGTCAATTTCACTTATTCAATTTTATCTGATTTAATTTCAATAGCTGATTTATGATGACTACTCATTCCTTGATTCCAAATATTTTCAACATTCTTTTATTTCTAATACCTCCTGAAGAAGTCTTCATTGTTAGTCTATTTCAATAGACTTCCTACACTTCCTTGTTTAAAAAAACTTTTCAAATTATTATTATTGTTATTATTATTATTATTATTATTAATCTATTTCGCACTCCCATTCACATAAAATTGGCTTACTGAAGGACTTTCAGCTTCTCTTCTTAGATCCTTCTAACCAGAGGACATTCTATCCAAAAAAGATGGTTTTGCACTGTGCAAGGATCCTTTGCTAGCAGATGTAACTGATCCTCTAGGGTTAGAATGAAACGAGGATCCATTTCTTGTTCCTTGATGGGAATTGAGATTGTGTTTGTATTCATAGTCTTATAATTGTTTCATAAAACCTATATTATAATATAGTGATTAATACCCGAATTGGGTTCAACAATTGATCTTGCCCCTTTGACTTTCTTGAGTGCCTCTTTGAGAGAGTAGCCTAGATGCTTGATCATATACGCTATAACAATTGAAGCTGATCTAGAAATGCCTGCATAACAATGTACAAACACATTGGTATTCTTAATGTGATCTCTGATAAAGTTAGCACATTCATCAAAGTAACGATAGAGATCGAAATTCTCTGCATCTTCAGCCATGATCCACTAAAAATGATAACATTTTGATACCAATCTAGTCATTGATGGATCAACTTTGATTTCACTTGTATCAATTACAGCCACAATGGCATTGATAGAATGTTCTCTTAAATATTTAATATCATTGGCTGCATTGATGTTTCCTAAATACAATTGTCCAAAGCGAGAATTCTTGTAAAGATCAACAATCAGATTCATGGGACTACCTATTAGTTAATATTGTAGAATCATACGATTGCTGTACGTGTTGGCAACACTCTGGTTGAAGTTTAATTGGGTACAAGTTAGGCTCAAATCTAACCACTTAGACATTCGTTAAATTAACAAACAACAAATTAATGAATTTATTTATTTTGCAGCAAATGCTTATATATAAGAATTGTCCTCCTGAAGAGCAGATACCTATTAAAATCTCAATAATTCAACCAATTTCTTGGTAAATTCTTCTGCATTTCCAAATTCCACAAACAAATTCAATTGATTTTAAAAATACGAGATTTACAATTGGCTGACATCTGAAAATTGTGTCTCTTCCTTTTCTTTCTCTCATCTGATAACTCTGATACAGAAAGTATGGTGAATGCTGTGGAAAATAGAATTCACATGACAAATCATTTCTCTTGTGAATGGCTCTAAATTTAACAGGATGTTTGAATATTCAATTGTGTAATTATAAATTTTATTATTACAATCAGGTCAATTATGACTTATGTAACTGAATCATGAATGAAAAATAAGTATTGAAAAATAAAGTGAATAAAATATATTTTAATAATTAATTTAATGTTTAATATAATATTATTTGTCATCATAATTGATGTCATAAAGGCTTTGAATCGAGATGTGAACACTTTCAGTAATTATCATGAGATTTAGATCCACAAACTCCATATTGAATGGTTATTGGATTTAAATTAGAAGATAATCAATGGCACAGCAGAATATCATTTCAATGTCATCAAAAACAACATCAAGGAAATCCATCTTGATATCTATTAATTAGATATTATGATTGCTTATGATCAAGCCACTGGAACAGTCCTTAAACATGAAGTGGAAAACATGGGAGAACAATCCCTGAAACAAGGGGATCGATTGAAGATCTACCTTCCAAAATCTTACAATAATGGTGATCAAGTTAAATTGAGAATCAAATATGGAGTAACCGATAAAGCCAGAGCTCTAAGTTTCATGACTAAAGAACAAACTGAATCCAAAGGTAAGTATTCCTTATTATTTAGTCCTACCATATTTGTATTCATATTGCCAAGACAACAATTGCAGATCCATGATTCCATTATAAGACACTCCCAGTATCAAACAGTACTTCAGTGCATTGATATTGGTGAAAGATCCTAGAATCAAGGTTTACATGACAGGAAATCTCTTGGACGGAAGACCATTCAAAAGAATGAATTCATACTCTGAATCCTTAACAGAATATCATATCTCATTAGATATCAAAATCCCAAGTTACCTTTTGGCAATTGTGGCTGGTAACTTGGAATAAAGAAAAGTGGGTAATCAACAAACTAGTCGTTCATATGTTATAACTGAGCCAACCAGCATAGATAAAGTAGCCAAGGAATTGGAATTCTTATAAGACTATGTTGATGCTCTAGCAAATTACATTGGCCCATATGAATGGGGAGATTATAAGATAGTCATATTGCCACCATCATTCCCACTAGGAGGTATGGAACATCCACTTCTCACTTTTGCCAGTCCAACAATTATTGTAGGAGACAAATCAGGAGTTGGCGTTGCCATTCATGAAATTGGTCATTCTTGGGTTGGAAACACAGTCACTTGTTCAGATTGGGCTAACATGTGGATTAACGAGGGATTCTGTACATTCTTAGAAAGAAAGATCCTTGAATAATACAACGGAGAAGACTACTCAAAGATGTATTCATTCTTATCCAATGATACAATGTTTTAATAGATGGCCAGATATGGAATGGATCATTCCTATTCATCATTACATCCAAACACTTCAGGAGAGAATCCAGATGACAGTTAATCTGTAAGTGATATATTATCTATTGTAGGAAGTTCCATATAATAAGGGATATTAATTGTTGTTGTATATAGAATAACAACTTGGAAAACAAAACTTCCAAAAAATGTTACAATAGTACATCATCCAATTCAAGTGGCAATCAATTGATGAAGATGTCTTCTACAGATATTTATTGTCCTGGATATCCACAAATTTGGGCAAGGATCATGCATCCATCAAAGAAATAAAAACAGTCTACAAAGAGTGGGTGTATGTACCAGGAAAACCTCCAAGAACATTGGATTTCCACACTGATGCCTACGACCAAGCAATGGCTTTAGCCAAAGCATGGTTAGATAGTAAGGGTAACAAGGTACCAGATAATGCTGAGGATTATAAGAACTATATCTATTATCAAAAACAATAGTTCTTGAATGAAATTGCAACAAAAGTACATTGAATTAATTATAGTAGTATGTGGAAATGACTGATAAAAATTACAAATTGATGGATCAGACATATCAATTGTCAGATCTAAAGGATTCCAGACTTCTATACAGATGGTTGATTGGTTGTCTAAGAGGTAAGTTCTACGACAGAATGGAAGTAATTAAGCACTTCATGGGAAATCATGGAGCAAGATCTTGGTTAGTCAATATGTATGGTACTTTGTTCAAGGACAAGCCAGACGTAGCTAGGGAATGGTTTGCAGAATATAGAAGTTTCTATCATCCTTCTGTGGTTGATGCTCTGGAAAATGAAGTATTTAAAACCAGTGTCGGACTTAGCGTACAATGAAATTTATTAAATAATAGAATAATTATAATATATTTATTAAATGATTAGAGAGAGATAATTTGAAGTAATTAAAACATAATAAGTAAATTAACACCTATTATGCAGTATTTGCAGAGAAGTGTTTTATAATCCAATAAGAGCCACTTGTGGGTATCATTCTACTTTCATATCTAGGCATACTTTTTGTGGGACTTGCTTGGTTCGTTGGATTCAGATGAAAAAAAGTTGTCCTTTATGTCGACATAAACTTGAACGCAACTATCAATTCGACAAAGACATTCTAGCAACCAAAATTGTTGGTGATATTGAAGTCAAATGTCTAAGATGTTAATCTTGGGAGGGAACCTTGGCTTAATTTAAATAACACAAAAAATCATAATGCACTTATATCTCAACTAACAATGAAATCCATCAGGATGCTATTGAAATTGGAGATGATGAAGAAGAATTTACATTTGCTGGTCTAACAGAAGAAAACGAACCTAGATAATAAATCATCGAAAATATTGGGTAATAAATTTTGGCTTAGATTGATTAATCCTAAAATCCAGAATCACAACAACCACTCTAATAAAACCAGAATCTAACTACCATTCAATAGGATTCCCCTTAGGAAACTAATGCAAATAAAGATCCAATTTCTGATCAAGTAGAAAATCCAAATAACAGTGAAGAATTAAATATAGAGCTCTCGCAAAAGAATCCAGATAACATCGATAGTAATAATAATAAGTCCTAAAATGATGAAAATTAAATTAATAATACATTTGTTTAGGATGACTCAAATAATTAAAATAATTCAAATCAATAAGTTGAGTAAAAAATTAGCTAAGTTAGTGAAGTCATTAATCAGTAATAGGAATAACCTTAAATTCCAGACTCTAATCCAAAAGATATATAAATTGCAAATTAAATTAATAATTAACCTGATGTAATTGAACAATAAGGGAATGTACAATAAGAGAATGCACAATAAGAGAATGCACAATTAGCAGTAGTGGAGAATGAATAGAATTAAATTCAAAATGAATCAAAGGAAGATCAATCAAATTAGAATAACGAAACTAATCAATCTATAGTTGAGTAATTTAAAATAAATGATCCTGATGTTGAAATAATAAATCCTACTATTAAGTACTAAAACAATAAGGAACTTAAATAGGTCAAAGCAAATAAGAAATTCAAAATAAATATACTCAGAAATAATAATAATGTTAAAATTGCAGAACCTATGATGGAGGAAATAAATGATAACTTGTTTTATGAATTTGTTGATTAGATGAAAAAAGAAATGGTTAAAAAACTAAGTGACATCTAATACTATAATACTTTGCTTGGATGATTTTAATATAATTCATTTTATTATTAATGTAGTTTACACCAAAAATTATTCATCAAAAACTCAAATTCTTATTAAAAACTCTGTTTAAATTAATTAAATGAAGAAATATTTCAATTAATTCAATAAAAGGTTGTAACAGTTAGGATTGACCCTTAGAGATGTAGACGCTGATGGAAATTGTCTCTTTAGGGCTATTGCTGATTAACTAACTGGAAATGAAGAAAATTATAACAAGTATCGTTCTATGGCAATCCGATCACTCTAGAAAAATCGAAAATTTTTTTCTGATTTTCTTCCAGAAGGTTCCACATTCAATGAATATACTAAACGAATGTCTGAAGATGGAATATGGGGTGGGCATTTGGAACTGTAAGCCTTAAGTAATACTTTACAAATAGACATTGTTGTCCATACCTTGGATAATTATTACATCATAAAACATATCCCTATAAAGACCTGTTGGTCATCCTTCAAAGAAAAAATTCATCTCTATTTTAATAAGAAGCAAGTTCCCACTTAAAAATAAATACACATCGCTTTTCACTCAGGCAAAAAGATAATTAATCATTATTAATCAGTTAGATTAATTCATGATAATACAAATAAACCTGCCAAATAACCATCAATTTATTGTGAATTATCTGAATAATCAACAACCGATGAATCCTATTGAAAATTTTGCTTATTTTTGGAATTGTGATTTATGTTGTAATTTAAATCAAATATTTGTTTATATTGAAAATCATTCACCTTTATTTTTAAATTATTTATATCATAACCAATTAACATTGATTATTTCATATTAACTGAAATTTGATGCTCATAATTCAAATTGAATAAAATAGATTCGATGCATTTTAATTTATATTAAAATTCAAAATATGAAACTTCTTATTAATAAATAGATGTTACAATAAGATTATTTTTTAAATAAAATCAAATCCATTAGAATGATTATCATTAGAACTATTAAATCATGTACATGAATTGATTATAATTTAGTCTTTTTTCCATAAAAGTTAATCACAATTTCGGTTAAATTATTAAATTTTATACTATTATTATACATAAATTATACATAAAAAAATCAAGGGTGTAATACAATAATAATTCTTAAATCCACTACCATCTCTATAGATATCATTAGTTAATTAATAGCACATTTTATAGTATTTATTTAAGCGATAATCGAATGAAATAATTGATTTCATTTATATTTGAGATTTATATAAATAAAATATACAACTATAAATTATCCATATTTATATTTAATAATTTACAATATGTCACAAATCACCTCTTCACTTCTTAAAGTAGTGAACACTTAGATTTAAGGTATAGAGATTATTTAAGAGTAGACCTTGATTAACATATCTAAAAATAGGAGAGAATAATTAATGATTAAGCGAGTGAGATTAAATCATTAAAGAATAGAATCAATCAAAAGGATATAATGAGTTAACCAATATTTGATAATCCAATCGATCAATTATTAGCATATCCCAAATCCCTAAACGCTCTTGGATTATAGATTTAGGAAGAATTTGAGAAGCTAAAAAAATAATTATAAGAAAAGGAATAAGAATTACAGCAACTTAAATCAGGGACAGATAGTCAAAGAATATCCTACAAGCCAAACACTTCATAGGTTGATGAAGTTATAAAATAGCATGAGGAGTTGAACGATATTTTAATTGAGTTAGAGAAAAAGCTATATGATAAGAAGCAATAGTAATAAGAATTAGAATAGATCATGGAATCCTATGGGGAAGATGATAAAATATTAAAATAAATGAAATCATAAGCGTCTGTGTTGAATGAGCAATTAGCAGTGGAGAAAGCATACAATTAAGAAGTAAGAGTTCAATTAAAGAAATTGTAATAAGACACTTAGAGCTTGAATGCTTAATTGGAGAAGTAATTAGCAGAAAAATAAGAAATTGAAGATCACTTAGCCAAAACAAAAAATTAATTAGAATATTTAAGATCTTAAAATATTATGTTAGGAATTGGTACTCCTACAAAGGGTGAAACCGAAAAATTAATAGCAATTGATGACTTAGTAAAATAAAATTAAGCAGTGGATGATATGATGCATGAACTGTAAGTTAAATTGCTTGAAAAATAATAAGCTCACAATCTAATTTAAGACTAAATAAGCATGTTTGAAAACGAGCAACACTCTTCAACCTCGCTTAAACCCAAAAATATATCCTCAAGAAAAGAATTAATTTCATAATTAGAAGTAGAATAACATGAATGTGATATAATTCAATAACAATTGAAATTAAAATAAATTGAAGTTTAAGAGTTAAAAGTTAAATTGAAGAAAGAGGAATAGGAAGTTTTTAGATTATAAAACTAATTGCAAGAGGAAATAGAAGTCAAGGTTTCAGTTGAATAGCAAATCTAGAGTGTGTAATAAAGACAAATAGCAATTCAACCAACAGTAACTTCTTATATTCAGGAATTACCAACAATAAATATATTTGGTCCATAAAATGAATCAATTCCTCATGACTATTAATTTTAGATTGATTAATTGTAGGAGACAATAAAATAATAGGAATCACAAATTGAGTTCTTGAAATTTGAAATTCAGTAGAAAGATGAAATAATGAGTATGTCACAACATACTTATTTGTAAGATTTGAATTAATAGAATTTAGATGTTGAGAATAGGATACAAGAGTTGAAGTAACAATTAAGTTATAAGATAAAAAGAAGAGATCAATTGGAATCGATTGTGATTGAGGATTAGAAACCTAAGAGGAAATCATTTATTCAAAATACGGAGTTGATGGATATGTAAGAATAATTGCATGAGAAGAACATGAATATTGTTTAATTACATGAAGAAATATCTAAGTTGTAAAAATAATTATACGATAAGGAATAAGAGTTATAATAAAGAGATGTTGAATTAAGATATTAAGCATTAATGAAGACAAATGAAGATTAATGTGAGAAGGCAGATGAATTGGTGAAAAAGAATTTAGCAATGGATGAGTTGATTCATTAATTAGAGGTAAGGTTGGTGGAGAAAGAATCAAAATTAAAGGAATTAGAATATTTGAATTCATCAAAGAATTTTGAAATAGAGTCTAATCAAAATAATAATTCATTTTACAAAGATAGAGAAAGTATTGTAAGAGATAGTGGAATTAATTCGTATGATTAAGATTAAGATTATCAATTTGTTTAATAACAATAAATTTTGGCTGGATTCAGTAGTAATATGGATTAGTTAAAGAGTAGAGTGGAATGTTAAAAATATGAGTTGTAAGAAAAGGATAAGATTATTGAATAACTTAAACAATAATTAAGTGATCTGAAAAGAAGTCATTTCAATCAATAGATTTTGGCAACCTAGGATGTGTCTGTTATTAATAGACAAATCAATGTGTTGCAGGAATAAGCTGATAATTTAGTAAAATAGAATCTAGCCTTAGAAGATGTTATTCATGAATTAGAATTCAAGTTGTAAGAGAAGAAGAATAAATAAGAAGAAATATACAAGGTAATATAGAATATGATGGAAGAAGAAGTTCAATAAAGATAATAAAAATCAGATGAGATGGTTAAAAAGAATTTAGAATTGGATGAGAAGATTTTATAAATGGAATCAAGATTGACCCAAAAATAACTATAATATAATGAATTAGAATAAAGATTGTCTTAAAATCAAAGATCTATGCCCTGGCCTTTATAAGTGTTCCATGAGAATCAGATAATCTAGGATTAAAACTCTAATTTATCTGATTTAACTATTTAAATTGCTTAAATAACAGAATCAGTCAGATAATTAAGTCAAGATGATATTGAACTGGAGTTCTTATTGAAATAAAAGAAGGAAAAGTAATCATAGATTGAATAATTAAAATTATTTATCTAATCTTCTGCTACTGTGTTACAAGATTTGTAGACTGAACAATAAATTAAATAAGAATAAGTAGAAAAAATGAAATTACAAAATAAAGACATAGAATCAATGGTCAATGATTTATAAGCCTAACAAGTTACTTTAGTTGAGGATGTTAGTAAGTCATAATAAAATGTTCCAGAATGGTTGAGTTAAAATATAGAATCGTCTAAAAGGTTAAATGAACTTCAAAAGGGACAGCAGAAGGTTAAAGAGCAAATAAAAAATTTGGAATCCTTGATTTTAGATCTACAAATTGTTGTTAAGGAAAAAAAAGAGGAATTGTAGAGAATATCACAAGAAAATTATTAATTATCAATTCTAACAAGAAAATAGAAATAGAAGAGAGATCATTTATTAAGAGAATAAATGCCCTTGGGAGAGAAGGTAGGTCTACTCGAATAGTAAGTGAATGACTTGTAGGCAGAAATCACAAGATATACGCCTGAATTAGCTAGGTTATTCCAAGAGGTTGAATCAAAAAAATAAGTAAAGTAAACGAAGGAATAATAAATATCATCATTGAGTATTGAGAGTTAACAATTAGATTAAAACATTAACTAATTAAAGGATGATATTGAATAAGCAAAGATATTGGAATAATAATTGCTGGATCAATAAAATTAGTATAAATAAAACAATGCTTTGATAGAATAAGAAATTAAGATCTACACAGAAATGAATTTAGATAGTGCGAATATTAATAGAAAAATTGAAGATCTAACTGTTCAAATTTCAGAGGAAAAGTAGTTATTAGAGTAGTTGATTGAAGAATTACAAATTCAAAAGGAATAGGTTTTGTTGATTGTACCTTAGAAGGAAGAAATACAAAGATCATATTTATAGACCAAATAATAATATGACTAGAGTGTTGAGGATTTATCTGAATAATAGAAGTCATAATAGAAGGTACTAGATTAAAAGAATCAAGTGATTTAAGAAGTCAATTATCTGAAATTGTATACAGAAAATCAAGAGAAATAATTAGTTGAATTGCAGGCTTTAAGGGCAAAATTAGAGGATAGTATAAAATAAGAAAATACATTGAAAAATGCAATATAGGATAAAGCTGATAGGATTTAATAAGAGTTGGATCGAAACAAATAAGCAACTCAGGCATAAATTTAAATTTTAGAAAAGTAAAATAAAGAAAAGGAATAAAGATAGGAGTAGATTAAGAAAATTCAATTGGATATAGAAGATTAGAAGAATAATTTAAATAAACTTACAGATTAATAAATGAAACATTTGCATCAGTTAGATTAGATTGAAAAATTAGATAAGGATATGGAAAGATTGATGAAGGAAGTATTTGAGAAGGAAGAGTAGGTTTAATAGTATGCAGGATTAGTTTATTAGAAATAATAAAAAGTAAATGATTAAAAGTAGAAGTTCAATTAGTTGGAGGATGAATTGAAATTTTACGAGAAGGAAGAGGAAGAAATTAAAAAGAGGATGTCTGAATTAGATTAGAATCTAAGTAAATTGGAAAGAGACTTTTAAATAAAGTCAGAATAGAGGAGTAAATTTGAGGATGACTTAGCAAAGGCTGAAATGGATATTGCTAATTTAGAGGAGATGCTAAGAAATAAGGATGAAGAACTAAGAACTTTGAATGAATCTAAAGAAGAATTGTTGAAACTTAAATAGTAGTATTATAATATTCAGGGAGAGATAAGAGAAAAGTAAGAGTAGATCTAAGAATTTGAGAAATAGAGATCTAAGTTATCAGAGGAAATCAAGAAGGAATAGGAGCAATTGACAGAAATCAGTTAAGAGGTGTATCATATTGAAGTAAGAGAGGAAGAGATGAATTTTTAAATAAAGTAGAAATTGAAGAATTTTAAATTAACTAAATGATCAGTTTAGAAAATTGGATGATGATACTAAAATGTTGGAGGCTGTGATTTAATTGAAAGAGAAAGAGTTGAAATAGTACTAAGAGAAGAAAGAAACTTTGAAGAAGGATTTGGAAGTAACAAATTTGTAAGTAGTGGAAGTGAAGAAATAGTTGAATAAAAAAAAACAATAAAAATCATTAGTAACAGATCCTAATGAGGTAGAAGTAACTGAAGATGCATTATCTTAATAAATAAATAGTTTAAATACTAAAAACCTGAATTTAAAGGATGATTTGCAGAAGTTGGTGTAATCACAGAGTCAACCAATATTCTAAACCTTGTAATAGATTGAAGGAACTAAGACTCAATTAGAAGAATTACAATCAACAATTAAAGAAAAAGATAAGAAATTAGATATATTGGAGTAATAATTATAATAATTATCTATGCATCAATCCAGAGTGACTATTCAACCAACTTTTTATTTTGATGATGATCCATTGTTATTGGAATTGTAAGATAAATTTACAAAAGAAAGTGAGATGTTAGATGATCTATAATCGAAATTAAAGAGAACTGCTGAAAGACATCATGAATTAGCTATTAAATTATAGGATTGGGCAGAAAAAGAGCATAAATTAGCAATAGAATTAGATTAAAGAAGGTAATCAGTCGAGAAAATAGAAAAAGAATTAGAGGTATTATTTTAGAAGCAATCAGATTTAGATAGTGATAAAGTTAATATTCTATAAAGGATATACTAATTAGATTTGGACAATTAGGAGTTAAATGAATAAGAAATAGTTTCGAGGAATAGAATTAAGGAAAAGAAAGACTATGTTTAAGTGTTATTCAAGAATTTAGTAGAAATGGATGAGAAGATGTTATAATTGAGGAATAGGATGGCTGTTTATTCACGAGAAGGTAGACAATTAACAGAATAGGTGGAGAATTTAGAGAATGAGAAAGAAATGAAATAAGAAAGCTTGTAAGTTCGATTTAAGAGGAATTGGAAAGTTTGGAATTAGAAAAAGGAGAAAAATAACATATGATCTTATAGATTAAGAAGGAAATTTAGGAATAAAATGAGGAAAAGGAAAAATTAGAAATATAATATGCATTAACACACAGTAAGAACTAGTAATTGAAAGTATTAATTGGAGTTGAGGAAGCATTATATAAGAAATTATATACTGAACTTGAAATTCAATAGAAAAGAGATTAAAATAAATATGAGAATATGTTTGTTTGTTAAGGCACATAAACATATTATGAAGTTGATTAAATAGAAGTGTTGATGGATAATTTAGTGGAATAAAAATCTACTAAAAAAGAGTTGCTTAAATTGAAATAAGAATGCTATGCTGAAATTCAACAATTGTTTGTTTAAAATAAATGTCATATCTAGGATAATGTGAATTTGAGAAATCTAATTTAATTTTAATAAATTCTGATCTAAGTTTTAGAAAGTGAAAACATTCTGATATCTGATAAGATACAATCAACTAAATCATTAAAAATACAATCCGAAGAACAAAATACATTTGCATTAGAACTAGTATATCTATAATATTATTTAGATTGATATAATGATGAACTCATCAGTATTAATTGAGATCTCAATAAATGAACATAGCTTAAACATAGGAGATAAGAAAATACCTAGATAATGGATAGTTGATAAATATTTTGATTATAATCATTAGATTTATCCCTTGGGAATATTGTACATTGTTTACAAGGTAATGTTATATTGATATCTAGGTTTCACTATGTTAAGTGATAACTTTAGCATTAACCGGTACTAAAATAATCTAATTATATTCTTAAATTTGATTTTTTAAAATATATATATATAATAATTATGTCACAATTATTGGATCATAAATTTAATTTGTTCTGTTATTTATTAACTTTAATTTTGTGAAGCCATTGTCAAACTAGCAATCGATTTACCCTTTATCATATGAATATAAAAATACCTAAAATGCCCTTTTGGATTTTTTGTTTTTCAATTATATCACATTTCCACTAAAAACAATATTTTCTATATCCTCATACAAAATGGACCAAAGCTTTAAATGTAAATCCAAATCAAACAAGATTAAACTAGTGTCGGTTAGAATTAATCCAAAACTTTTCTTATCTCTCTCCATATTAACAACTCTAAGCAATCTGTGTTGTTCATATTTGCCTTTTTTGATTCCTTTAATTACTTCATAGCATTCCGCTTCAACCCAATTATATTCTTTAAAATATCCATCGCTTTCATAGAAAGGTCTCATATATCTAATTCTAGTATTATTAGGTTGTTCATCAGAGGATAATTGATTCTTAACACCTTCAGATGTCTTTGAGATGACATCTAAAACTCCTGCCACAGGCTTGATGATTAATCCTGATGTTCCTTGCCACAATCCCTTCAATAGACCAGATGCTCCATCCTATTGAGCCCCTTAAATAGGTTTACTAAAGAATCCAGCTATGCCGCCAGCCACTCCCTTAACCAAAGATACAGATCCTTCCTATATACCTGAACTGACATTCCTAGCCTATTGTTGATTCTAGATTTAACGTTGCTATTGATAATTGTCATCCATTGTAACTTTAGATAAACCACTTGAAATTGTGCCAACAACATTCTTAACACTATTAAAGACTCCAGAGACTGTGTGACTTACTAATGAAGTAGTTCCTGTTATAACACCCATGCCTCCTTCAAGAGGTCCTTTAGTGAACCCTTCAATGGGTCTTTCAATGAAATCTTACATGCCCGATACAAAGTTCTTCCATAATTTAGTAGGATTGCCTAGAACAGCTAAACTACCTAAAATGGCAGGTAATTATCCGTAGATATCAGGAAGATATCTTTTAGTCAAATTATTTCTCAAACCATCAATACTGTCAAAAACATCTTCCATTTGAATTCCTTTCAATACAATTTCAGCTTCATCAACAGAGACTAATTGAAATCCAACTCCTGACAAAAGTGATGTAAACATAGGATTATCTGCATCTTGATCCTTGTCCTTACGTCCCCATTGTACAGTGAGTTAGACTATGATAGGATAAATAGTTATAGTTCCAAAATAAGTTGGGATCAATTTATCTGGTAAAGGACATTTCCTCCAATCAAACTTTTATTATAATTGTAATTATAATTTTAATTTTTAACTTTCAATAATTGAAGTTATTTTATTAACAGTGCTGAGTAGAGTCTTGATGATTGTATCATTGATTTTAATTGCTAAACGATTAGTTTCAAGAGAGAATTTCTCAATCAATTGCAATTGTTTAGCCTGCAAATTCATCTAAATCAAGACATTTAAAATAGGTAATTATTATTTCACTTTACTACTTGGAAGTAGTGTTAATAAAACAGGAAATAGAGGGTGCAATTGAGAAGTATTATCTATCTACATTGCTGATAATTTAAATTGGAATATTGCTTTGTTTGACTTGTTTATCAATAGGATGGCTTCAGATTAGTACAACACAATATTAATTATTTCTTAAGGGTATGAAGCATGATTATCGATCAAACTTATGTTAATTTGAGGAATCATAATGTCAAATTTCAATTACTATGGTTCTTTTGCTATCTTTCCTGAATTCTCTTTATATCTCTAAAGTTCTTCCTCACTTGAATCAAAGAATTATGCATGTCTGGTAAAACCATTCATTTCTGATTTTAATTTTATAAAGATCTTGCCTGCATCATTTGGAATTCGAGATCGGATAACAAAGAATTTAGCCTCTGCAATCTTATCAATTTTAAATTAGTATTCAACAACCTCATATTAACTTACTTTAGGACAAATTACAAACTGAACTTCATTCTATTTATTTAGTTCATCCCAAGCAAAATAGCAGTCTTAGTTATAATCTAAAGAAGCAGGTATATTTAAGACAGTGACTTGAATCATTTTGCTTAAGTTAGTAATTCTATAAGGTGTTTGATCATGTTTGGTTTCACTAATAACTGCAAATAATATTCCATTGCTCTCATTGATATCAATTTAAGCAAATTTTCTGATCTCAGGGAATTTGTGACTTCTTAATTGTTGATAATAAACACCAATCATATTACATTCGATTTGCCCACTCCAACTCCAATTATAATCATCCATAAAAGTAAATTGGAATTGATAAATGCCCTCAGTTGATTCAGGTACTTTATCACCACAACAGATCTCCAAAGGCACTCTTTCTTGTGGTTTAATTTCAAATGCCTTCAATTACTTGATGCATATTGAATGTTCAGAATGATTGACTAAAATGATTCTATTTCTAACTGTTACAACCTTTTAGCAAGTCTATTAAATTAATTTAATCTCAGATACAACAGCTAATGGAGCTACATAAAAATGTTCATTTCTTTTTATAACAATATCACTAATTGAAGTACCTATAGAAATAATTTAGGCAGGTGTTAATGAAAGCACTTGAGGTGTATCTCTCTCTGAAAACACTAATTCATATTATTGAGCAGTGTTGTTCAATATCAAGGGTCTTTGCTTTGACCCTAGCTTTTACCCACCAATTGAAGTGTATTACTTATTCTTACCTTAAAATACTACATATTCATATTAAGTTTCATTTCTAATATATTCTTGAGCATACAATACGGCACTGCATAAACCACTTTGATTGAACAAAGTATTATTATATTCTAAAACTAATTCACTCTTGCCTCCACTACTTCCTTGCCATTCTCTACCAAATAAGTTGATGACATTCTGCTACGATTTGAAGTTCCTGCTGTTTAATAATGGGATAGGCTAAGAGGGCTTATATGCATCTATGGTTATTAACATAGCATGATTTTCTTTAATGCTTTTGAGTTGATGTTCATCCAAATATTGCAGCGGTTGTAATTTGGTTTCATCTCCCTATTTGGTTTCATACAATGTAGTGATGGTCACGGGGAATGGCAACAAATTCTAAAATCTGAAATTTGGTTAGATGTATATAATGTATCTACCTAGGAATTCTGGATCCTTACGCACATTCAATGTTATTATGAAGCTCTCATTCAACCACAGTTTCAAACCTTCCTTATTTTCAAAACACTTTTATAAATACTTAATATTATAGGCTTATGACTTCTCTTAATTGTTGTTTGCTTTTCTTATATAAAAATCACTGTATAATAAAAATTATGGAAGCACATATTAATTAGGTTAGCATGTTACTTGTCTTGCATTTTGGTCCTACATATAGGCTTGCAATTTAGAAATATGAAGATTGGCCTTAGAATCCTTGAATACTATGTCCAAATGAGTTTAAGTATTATTCTCAAAGATATATTCAGAACTCAAATAAATCACTCTCTAATTCTTTAATTGATCAACAAAGTTCTTAATCAGCACTGGACTATTATTTCCAATTTTCTTCATTTTCTATTACAATTTATCTATATTCCAATTTAGTATTTCAAATGGGTTTTTATCGCCTTAAATCTATAGGGAAACTGAATTGTTAGATTTAGGATTTTTGACATCAAAATCTTTTTATTCATTATGCTGAGCTATTATAATCGTATTATCTTAGGTTTCACATAGAACATCACTTCCTAAGAGATTATAAATTGAGTATTTAGCATAGGAGTTATTTTAACAATTGATTTGATTTTTGTCCTTAGCCTGTAATTTCTAAGTTAAGATAGTCAATGCTGAATAAACAGTTAAGATCATTTGAGTAGATACATTTATATTTACACCTTCTTTTATTTGAACATCTAATTGATTCTCTGCTACAATATCAAAACCTGTTAAATCTTTTTAATAGACAATTGATATGACACACTTTTCAATTATTGGTTCCCAAATTCCAATATTTTAATTGAAATAATGCAATTAGATTGGTAATTCTATTAAGAATTTAAAATTCCTAGATGTCTATTCTAATTTGGTTTGTGTTTAAAATAATTTGAAATTCATAATATACTAATAGTAATTCTCTATGTCATTCAAAATTATCACATCAATACCATCAATGACTAATTCAAAATTCTATAAACTATTTTATTGCTATTGATTTTTCTCTTACTTCTGTTATTATTTTATATCATTATTTGTTAAATCATTAACTATTTACAATTAATTATTAATCTGATTTTAGATAAACAAAACATCAGTGAATGCAATTCTGAATTGAAATTGACTTAATGACAACTTAATGCTTTGTTTTTCGACAAGAGAATCCAGATTTTCTGATAATACTAATTATTAACTCTGATTCAAGAGCATAGTGAATGGCCAAATGATTTATCTCTTGTTGTCAAGTAAATTAAATTATTTACTATATAGTTATTACTTTGATGCCACATATGCTTGAACTTATTCTATCGATACAGATGTTTTTATTTTGAAGTTCATTCCAATCAAATCGTATTCATTCAATCCTTTCTCTTTGATTATACAAAGAAGTTCATCAGCATTCATAGTGTCATGTGTATTCACAATGATATTGAATTTACCAGTGAATGTCAAAATGGATTCGTCATTCGATGGAATTGCAATTATTACATCACCTAAGGTAATAAAGATTTATGAATCAGTTGGTTACACTTCTTCCTCCTTTTGTTGGCTTCTCAAATATTAATCATATCTGCTTTAATACTCCTTTAAAGCTTCATTTACAAATGGATTTAATTACTCGCTCTCAAATATTGTCAAAGTCTATAAAATGATCTTTGTTTAAATAGTTAATAAAAATGAACCAAAAGTTAAATACAACTTATTGTGAGTTTTATTTTATGTTGGATTGATGTACATCTCAATTTTACCTGACTCCTATTCAGAACTCGAGGCATTCTTAATCAAATATGTGAGATCATTCAAATTATCATATTGTTTTTCCTCCTGTATTCCTATTAGAGGCTTACTCACAAAATATCCATTTATTTATTCATACACACAAGAATTGAAAGACGATATCTAAATAATCAACTCCTTTTTATCATCCTTTTTCATATTAAATTCTATATTACTATCCACTATTGACAGTCTTATTAAAGGTCTATGTAAACATAGGAATATAGAAATATTAACAATCTTCAATTTAAATTTCAAGAAGTAATCTTAATTTCTAATTTTCTTTTCAGCATCCTACTTTAATATTATCTTCTATTATTCTTAACTTATTTAATTTGATTTTTCAGAATTGAGTAATACATATTCATTAAAAGAATCATTAAGTGTGAAATTATAAGCAACCAACCTATTAATCAATTTCATAGTGTTTCTATCAATATTTAAGATAAATTCGCTCATTTCACAACTTATATGAATAGTTTCTTCAACTTTACTATGGATCTATTTATAATATTACACCAAATCAGGTAGAGTGACAGTCAATAGTAAATTGAAATCACTAGCAATAACACCCTTTTTGTTATCACATTCTCCTATGATATTAAGTTATGTTATCTAAATTGTATATATCTCCTTAAAAAATTAATTGATTTATTATTATTCATTAGCAACACTTATTTATCCTAAATTGATGATCATGAATTCATTTGAGAATTTGTTTCTAATGATGATTTAGGGATTGTCAATCTGAACAGTTAACTTCATTCTCGGAGGATTAGATGTAATCTTAATTGATTCCTCCTTTGAAGGTTAAATAGTGATTCTACTTGGTGGTTTCTTTTGATTCGCAACATTGTCTATTTAATAGCCTTAAACTTTAAATGAATTTGGATTAGTGAATGGTTCTTATAAATTCTGAATATAATCAATAATCCTTAGAATTGGTTGTTATTAATAGTCAGCCACAATTTGACTTATTTTTGCATCAACTCTAATGATATCTCTATTTAATTATGCTTTTTTTGATAATGGTTCGATTAAGATGATCTTAACAAATAGCAAAGACTCTCCCTTCTATTTGATTCCCACAATTTAATTTGATTTAATCAAGTGATAATCTTCTTCTTATGTTAATGTATATGGATGATTAGTTAAATCATTAATTTATAGGTTTCCTAAATTAACTTACATTTATAATTCATCTTGATATTTAAGCATTTCAATAAAAGAGTTTTAAAACTGAATATCTACAAATGGCAATTTGGTAATTTCATGAACAATAGACAAACTGATTTAATTAATTTACACATTCAATTTTAATAATAAAAATTGCTTCTCTGCTTCCAAAAACTCCTTTTCAATTTTATCTAATTTTTTCTCCTATTGATTCTAAATATTATCATTGCTATTTATGAATTATAATAGATAAGCAAATGTCTCACTTTTAAAATTGATATGCAATTTACCAAATTTCAATTCTATTTATTAATCAATATCTTAATACTTCTTGGAATTCCTACTAGTTTAATTAAATAGTATTTCAATGAGTTCTCCATTCTCTTTCTCGGATATAATAAGATTCTCCAATTGTTTATTATGATATTATCTCAGACTATCTTAAAGTTGTAATCCTGAAAGAGTAAGTTGAACCTATAAGAATTAAGAGTGTATTTTCATTCTTAATGACAAGTCCTTCGTTTTCATTACTAAAAATTACTTAGAATTGGAATCCTATAAGTTAATTTAGACAACTGATATTGTAAAATTGATAATTTATTCAAACTCAATTGGTTTGATCTGTTATTTCTCCTATTTATCTTCTAATTGTTTAAGTAATTCTAACTCTTCATCTCTCAATGATGAAATCTTTTGAATCCAATCTTATATTTGACTTTAATTTTATACTCCAATTTCAAATTAATTGTTTTCAATTTATACAACTAGAACATTCATTTTGTATTCATCCATTCCTTTTTCAATAATATTTGAATTTTTTAAATATTTAATGAAGTTAGGCTATTGCGATTTGGGACTTGAGTAAAAATATAAGTAAGAGCCACTCAAGACACAAGTGTATTTAACCCATTGATTCAATTAACCTTCCTTTATGTAAAGTGGGGCTATCTTTATAGCATTCTCTATTATTTTAGTTTTCTCAACTTCCTCCGACTTAGTTTATTTTTTGTATTCTTCAGCACTTACTGTTGGAATAAAACAATCTCCAATCTTAGTAAGCTTTTAATATATTTATGGATTCAAATTGGTGATAATATCTTGGATACTGGCATTCACAGTAAGATTTTAGTTCTTTTGATTTGGTAATAGGATATCCAGGACAATGGTAAAGTTGTCAATTACACTATATTGATTTTAAGACTAATGTTTCAATCCAATATTTGAAAGTTGAATTTTATACAATTCTTAACTATTCACAATACTACTATTAATGTTGACTAAACCTGGACAAAATAGCCAGGATTCCTATGAATTGTTTAAGGGGAGTTCAAAATAGAATTGATCCATCGTTATATTAACCCATCTATTCTTTTCTACAATTACTTAATTAGCTAAGGCTATTTGAGCATTCTGTTTAAGTTCTTGAATTGTGTCATCAGCCATATTTTTAATCTAATTTGATTTCAATTCTACATCACTAAAGTCACTTAATACTGTTATTAAATCTGGATGAAACCGTAATTTAGATGATCTAGTTTCTAATTAAATATAAGTAGTAATGGATTCGATAATTTTGAAATTCAATAAGAATATAGGTTTTGATTTATCATTACTTGTATTTGTAAGGAATTGTTAATCATTAAATAGAACAATCATATCGATTAAAGATAGATCCAATATTAGATCCTTATCTGATTTCAATTCGCATATTAAGTCTTAAAACAGAATCTTAATTTCATCCACCTTCTATTATCTAGGATTACTTAAAGTAATTGTTCCTTATCTCATTTTCCCACTCACTACTATTTGTGTCACCTTCCCTTAATTTTATTAAGATTCATCCTATGAGAAATTCTATTATAAAAATTTATAGATTTCTTCTGATTCTTCATCTAAAAGTGTAGGTGTTTCATTCTATTACTGTTATTTACCCCTTCCAAACCAATTCTATAAGAATCCTTATGGTTATTTCTTTTTCAGAGCCTTTTATTTCATGTCTTCATATTATTACTCCTTAATGACTTCCAAAACGATCGGTTTGATTTCTTTGATCTGAGTTTTCTCTAAAATAGCACAAAGTTCTAATTTCTACTCTTTATTAAGTCCATCATTATATTTTTTATCTAATTATACTAATTGCAATAATTGTTTAACTCTCTTTTGATCCATCTCATTCAATGGCTAGATCATTTACTATTATCTTTAGAAAGAGATCTTAGCTCTATTGTAAGAATTCAAATAGTCTGTTAGATTGAGGATTTATTAGACTTAAGGCTTTGAGAAATTAATATCAAATGATTGTAAATCCAAATCAAATTTATAGTCTGGTAGATTATCGCTCTGTTTTGGTGGTTGTACAACCTTGCTTTATAAGGAGAGTCTAAATAGATAATCATTTTTTGGTATTTCTACCTAAAATTTAGACTCATCATATTGAATTCCTCCTTTCCATTGCCAATAGAATCCAATATTGCTGATTTGTAAACTCTTGATCAATAGTTAATTTTTATTGGATGTCCTATCAATAAATTATTCAACTCCCTACTCGTTCACAGTAAGCAAGGTGAAATTCTACAATACAAAACCATAACTGATTTATCCATCTTCAACTCTGATATGAATATTTTAAATGCGTATCTATAGATTTTCAATCACTCTAATAATAATTCTTTGCATCATCCCATCTTATTATTCTTTATTAGCAATTCTTTCTAGTAATTTCTATTTGAATGAATCAACTTAAATTAATTTATCTGCTCCTGTAACACTTCCAAATTTCCAATCACTGGCTTGTTGAGGTGTTAATATTAAATATAATGTATCTAGGTTAGCTTTGATAGGAGCACTGGCTAAATTTTTCCAAGGGATGTTTAAATTAAGTGTTCCCAATCTGCTATACTTAACAATAAAAGGCAGGTCTAATTTGATAAAGGCTTCTGGTTTCAACCTCAGATTCTCAATCTTTGCATCTCCACTCCAAAGTCCAACCTTCAGGGATTGTTGATCCAAACCTTCAATGTATTCTCCTAAAATTGATTAAAGGAGATTCTCGATTATTTTCTCAAACATAAATAAATTTTATATAAATCATATGTCTTCCCTTATTCTTTCAAATACAGGGAATCTTGGTTTCCCGTCGTCAGTCAATCCATAATAACTATAAGAAACTCTAGAACCAATCTTTGGAGGATCTTTCCTTAATTTGCTATTGAATCCAACTCCAATCTAAAATGTTATACCTGCATCTGTCTACACTTTCAAAGCTCCCAATTAATCCTTAAACTTACCCATACCACTAATGTGATCTATTACAGTAGCCTCTGAGTCCATTGTAGTTTTGACTTTTAATAATGTGTTTGATCTTTTTCCTTCATATTTTGATTATGGGTCTCTCAACATCAATCCTTCTCCTCCTGCTTGTTAAGCAAGGGCTAGTTCTTCTTTTAAATGTTCATAACCTCTGCATACAACATGTGGAACATAAACCAGATGAGGATTCTTTATTTTTTCTATAGCCTTTTTAAATTTGGCATATCGATTCACAAAAGGTTCATCTAATAAAGGAGCATCAAAAACCATAAATTTGATATCCTTCCACGCCTTATAATCAGGTTGTTTCTTTTTGGCTATGCTAACCAATTTCTAAAATTATCCTCTGTCAAGCCATAATTCTCCGTCTAGATAGGTAGTTGGCCATCCTTCAACAAATGATGTAGGGAAGTTTAATGAATTACCATTTCTAGTAAACATTTCACATCCACTCCAAATTATACGCATGCCATCTAATTTCTCAGATAATAAATAATTTGTTGGATTAATATTCTCATTCCATTGTCCAGCCAATAAACAAGCAATAGGTTTTGTATCTCCAGGAGGACCAAGTTCCAATGTTTCTCCTAAATGAGTTCTGGCTCTATATTTTGGCCATTCACCCACTAACTTCCCCTATGTAGCATCATCTGTCAATGCCACCACCGGTTTCCGTTATTCTGGTAAATTCACCTTCTTCAAAATCTTTTATTACATTAAATCCTTTTTGGAAGATGCAACAGTTTTCTCTTAGAATTGTTACTCGTTTGCTTTCAATATATCATTGCTATTGATTTCTCGAAATCCCTTCTATAATTTTTACTAGATTTATTCACTCATCACTTCAATACCTCTTTCCATTGTTGGGAACTTAGTTAATGAAATTTCTATAGTCTCTTGTTTTTCTATATTGCCATTCAAAAATCCATTCCGAATTTGAATTGTTATTGGTTTTAACTATATAAATTAACAATGCCAAAATTGGTCATTCTTTATCAAGTACATCTCAGGACTTTACTATTTTTTCATTAATCTTATAAATTTCAACTATCTTTCGAACTTTTCTTTTACATTTAAAAATCATTTTAAAATTATTACTCTCCGTTCCCAAATTAATATAATCCATTTATTTATCAATCAATCAATTTGATAATAACATAAAATATTATCAATCATCTTTCTCCTCATAAACAACTGGAGTCATTGAAGATCCTTTTTGTTCAATTTTCTCAAACTTTCTCTAATTGGATGAATCTTAAGAATTATTTGAATTTTATCCCTCCAATCCAATTGAATCGTTGTCTACCATCTCATTATATTTAACGAAATGTTCGTATTTTCTGAACTCTCTACACAACAGAAAACTTAACATCATAAACCCAAGCCCCAACACAAATGCAACACCATAAATTAATATCAATTAAGAATATCCTGCTCCATTTTTTGGGGGAATGAAATTAACTGTATAATCTTTTTGAATCTAACATATTTCTTCCTTTGTAACATTGAGTTCATCAGGACATTTTGTTGATTTTTATTTATAAACAAACTTTGTCTAATGAACTTCAGTGTTGTTTGAAAAACAATAAATTACACTTGGAGACTAGTATATAATTAAATGTTTACTTCTCTAATGGAGGAATAAAAGAATTTATGTTTAGTGAATCCAAATATTATGGTCCTTGTTTTGTAATCAATATAATCTAATTATTATAGATTTGGTATAATTATTGAATTGGATGACTAATTATTGAAACTTTGGGGTAGGGAATGCCTTAATACTTAATGGCCATTCTTACCTAATATAACAACATAATGATTCAAAATATCAACATCCTGAACATCTTTGAAAGTTCTATATTTATTAAGTTATTTGTATGTATTGTTTGTTAAATCTAATGTTATTTCGTGTACAAAAGAAAAGGAGGGCTGATGCTCTATGATAATTAAAATAGACTATCTAATATCAAAGATGTCCCCAATCAATGGGATTGTTCCTAATTTAGTATTCATGGAGATCAAGGTTGTTATTGAATTATAAACAAATTATTAGACACCCAATTTCTTATCTAAAATATAAATTGTATAGATTTGATCTTAATTTTGTGAGAACACTTTAATGTCGACTACATCATGAAACTAGTTATTTGATTCACCATTCAATACCCAAGAGATTGATTGTAAATTCTTTTCTTTAAATTAATACATTTAAATGCCCTATCTACCCATTGCAATGAAAACCATATCATTTACAGTAGTTATACTTGAGATTTACTCAACGTTGAATTAGTCATATATCCTTAGTTTTTATGAATCTTGAAAAACATCTGTTTTGTTTGAAAGCTGAAATGCTTAAGTTTCTTAATCTGCAATTATCAGTAAAACTCTATTTCTGCTAAGGTATTTTAGATATACCTTTTTTGCAGTCTTAATATTAATCATTATTGAACTACCTAAAGTGATTGTATTAGTAATCAGTAAATGTTACAATTTTCCCTATTTGGTCAAAACAATTGATCCATTTTAAATAGTGACAGCTGCTATGACTTCATCAATTTTAGCATTTAAATGGCCTTCCTCATAATTCTGCTGGAAGAATGTTTCATTAAAAGATTCAACAATATCTATATTTAATCCTGTACTTTGAACTAACTTTTGTTTAGTGAAATGACATGGTTTGAATGAATTATTTTAGTAATCAATTTCCTAATAAAAGATTTCACCATATTGATCAAACTTGTCAATTACTTTTTCAGAATCAACCGAGATATTATAATCCTGACTTTGCACAAATATTAGTAATAAAAAAATCAGCATTATTTATTTATAATAATATAAATAATACGCTCATCAAACTTACTACAATCTGGTCATATTACTGATTATAGAGAACTATGAAGTATGTGCTCCTGTCTAATTGAATTTAATTATTTTAGTTGGACTTTCAAAAGTTTACATAGTTATTTCGTTTGATTTTGGACAAATTGGATCTAAATTATGAACAAATTCATGATATTTATTGAACTCTCTTATGAGAATTACTATTATGGTAATAAAGGCTAGAGCTACAAGGAATAAAATTAAATAAATTAAAAAATTTTATTCTGTCGTTATGATTGGTTTAATCGATTATATCAAATATTCTTAAGTGTAAGCACAAATTCCGGATTTATATTTCTTGCATTCTGAAATGTGTGAATAGGATAATTTAATCTATTATTCCTATTCAAAATAGCATTATAAGTAACTCTACTTTAATTCTAATTTAGAATAATAGAAATTATGAAGACTGACACCCAGAAGATACAATGAACTTTTTGATTTAATAAAACTCAATTTTTACAATGAAGGCATAATAAAGTGTTGCTATTTGATTTGGTATTATGAAGGAATGGAATGGAAGATAACTGTGTTTCCATTTTTACCTAGAGTGATTGCAACATGATCTAAAATATCAATATCTACTATAATTGAGTTAACAATATGTTTATTAACTTATTTCCAACTAAAATCGGTGTAGTTCAAATAGATTTCCTAAATTATTGTTTATTAATCTTAGTAACTGGCAATCATCATAATGTTATTATAAATATCAATAATATCTCCAGAATAGGGAATAGTATCTAGTCTCTCATTCTTGTATATTAAGGTAGATTTGGGGTTGTATATGAAGGATGAGACTCCCAAATCATAATCAAGTAAGTAAATATAATATACATCAAATTCATGAAAAACTTTGAGATCAGTTGCATTATTAATTTAATACTCGAAATCAATTGAACCTAAAATTTGGCCATTTAATTAGAATATTTTTAACCCTCCTACGCCCATAGCAATAAATAACATATTATTAACAACGGCTACACTCAAGATTTTATTCGTATTAAATGATTCGTAAATGCGAAATGATTTTGAAAATATCTTTTCAGATTTGATGTCTAATGTAATTCCAACAGTGTCTGAATACATGATAATAATCAATTGATTCCTAATCGTCTCCATAAAAACAGGATATTGCAATATAGTCACATTAATGTTTAGATTAATTTTGTCAGAAACAATGAAGGATTCATTTAGGAATCGAATGTAGATTAATTCTGCTTAATTTGTTAAAATAACCACATCGTTTTCTATATTGACAAATGAAATGATGTGGGGTATCAACCCTAAAAAGTGGCCATCATCAAAATATTGGGAAAACTACTCCGGCAAATATTAAGGTATGATAGGTAATGACTAGTCTAACATATTCTGATTGATTAGTTGCTATGGTACAACTTAACAAGGAGAAGTAGTTAACTCGATTTCTGATGAGGATGTGAGATTCTGTTCTATGATGATCCCTGAAGCAGAATAATACTCTATAATTTGAGGGTATCCTATCAGTATTTCGTATTACTAAAAGGAGTGCACGAGAGAGAGAGTTAGAAAAACCAACATCTAAGTATAGTTAATTATTTATATAATATGCTAATGTCACTAAATACATATAAATCAAATAGTAAATATATTCATTAGTTATTTTTAATTGAAAATATTATATTTTACCAATAAACTTTTTAATTAAAGTTTAATATGGATTAGCTCTAGGTGGTTCACATCTGAGTTAGATTCTTTAAGAATTTGTTCCAAAAACACTACTAATTTACCCAACCCAAATCCAGAATGAATTGATAGAAACTATGTGCTGATAAAATCATGCAACTAACTCCCAATATTGTCTTTCTTTTTAAATAAATTTTCAACTTTCTTAATCATTTCTAAGAAGATTTGCAATAGCTAACTTGAAGCCTTTTTTTAATCCTCTAGATTTCTCTCACTATATATTTACTTATTAATTTGGTATTTCAAGCTTTTCAATTAGAAATGCCATTATTTGTTATAGATCTCATTAGAATCGATAATATTTTTTATGCAATTTAATTAATACAGCAGCTTCTTTATTTAAATTAAGTCATCAACCTATTCTTGGAATTGATCTTGATTTAGCAAATTCTCAATATTATTATATTATAATCTATCGAATTCATATGCAATCTTTTTAATCCCTTTATATAACTAGCACTAAATTCTTTGAGAGTCTTTTGGATTCATCAGAGTGTTTTTCTCCTCTAGTCTTTTAAGATTATTAGGAGATAAAGGAATCTATCTTGTGATCTCATTAATCCTTGTTGTTTGTATCTTATTTTCTAATCCTAAATTATCCAACTAGGCCAAGCTCTATACTTTTATCGATAAAATATCATCACATTCTTCTGATAATTGTGATTTATAAAATATCTCATTTTTTGTTAGAATATGTTGAATTTCCACTTTTTAAAAGCCCTTTAAATACTTGTAGATAGTGAGATCATTTTTTAAATAATCTATTGGAATTAGATCATGGTAGTCTTTCTAAAATATAAACTCTGGAAATTTATAAATAAAAAATTTGACAATATAAATCTACCTTGTTAGAACTGCCAAATGTAAACAATTATGCTTTTATTTTTAGGTTTTCTATCTAAAATTGAATTTGTATTCTTTCTGTTTATAGATATACTCAATCACTTAGATGTATCCTTTTGATACAGCTAGGTGAATTGGAGTATAACCATTGTTATTTATATGATTACCATTAACTCCGTTTTTTAATAGTAATTAAAGAATCTTTTGAGCCTCCACTTCATTCATTTGATATACACAAAATAAGTAATGAATACAATTATTACCATATATATCCAATTCATGCATTCCTACATTTCGCTTGATTAGATCAAATACAAGATAATATTACAATTTTGATACTGCAATATTCAAACAACTCTTAGCCCATGAACTATACATAAATTATAAACATACGCTCCTTTATTTGGGTCAGCATTTGCATACAATAAGTATCTTGCTGCTAAGTATTTCTCTTCCCAAATCGACAATCCTAAAGGAGAGTAGTCTTCTTGATTGATTTCATCAATTTAAAATTTTTTTGGTTCAGAAAGGAATGTTCTCAGCATCCCAATGTCTTCATCCAAAATTGTCTAATGGATTTTATATTGGATCTATATGTCTTTATCCTGATACTTTAAGGCAAATTGTTTAAATGCAATTGAACTTAACAATTACTTTGCCGATATTGTTTCTCCTATGCAGCATAACTCTATTGTATGTAATAATTAATATATCAGATCTTAAGATTGAAACAACTCTTAAACTCCTGGATCCCCATACTTAAACCAATCTAATTAGAAAACATTTAAAGTGTCTACTTAAATCATTTTAATACATTTTAGTTTGGTAATGCTTTTAGGGATTTCTACGAAGCTGTTGTGGGAAATGAATAATTGGTCTAATTGCAACAAATCTCCTATTTCAGCGCAAATCTTCTTAATATGGTTTTGAGATAAATCTAGTTATTACAAATGCAGGAATCTCCCAAATTAGAATTCTTATAATAGATTATTTCTGATGAACAATATTTCTAAGTTCTTTAATCCATCTAAAATATTGTAATCTATTTATTTAATGTAGTTATCATTCAAATTCAAAGATATCAATTTTCTAAGTTTCTACAACCCATCTGGCAATTAGGTAATTCTAGTCTATTATAATGATAAATGTTTTAAAGATTCATCAAAATCTTGTTGGTTGTTCTAAAATGCAAACCTAGGTATTGAACTTTTTTGATTTATTTTACTACGGGTCACCTGTAATTACAAGTCATATTCCTAATCCATTTATTTATTAATATATTATAATATTATTCCAATAAAATTTATACTCAATATATCTTTGCTTAGTTGAGCATTAAATAAACTATTTTTATCACCTTCTCGCATATTCAATTCTTACATATATATTAATTTTTATCGAGGAAAATAATTTGAAATTATAATTATACAATAAAATGAAATAGTGGGAAAAACAATAAAGTTAGAAATTATATGAAAAATGAATACAACTTGCCAGAGCTAAAGTTCCTATCTCAAATAAAAACAAATCAACAAAAGTAAATGAAACAATGAACTTTATTAATTCATTCATTTCAGGATTCACAAATAAAGAAAAAGAAGACATAGAATCTATCCCTTTATACAAAATGTTGAGAATATATCAATAATAGCAATATGCATGACAACTAATAACAAGAGGAAATGGGTATAATTTAGTTAAATTTGCAATGCTTACTAAAAATGAAATTGAACATCTGTTCACCTATATCAAAGTGTTGCCAGGTCACAAAGTTAAACTTCTGAAACTAATAAAATACATTAAAGAAATCATTAAAACAACTTTGTCAACTCCTTTGAATTAATCTAAATTTCGAAAAACTATCTATGCAAAAAAATAGTAAAACTATTATGCAATAGAAACCTAAATTGAGTCAAACATAAAGAATAAAACTTTATTAATGATAATAATCAGTATTAAATAAATAAAAGCAAATGAAAATCACTAATATAGCCTTTGATTTTTTCTAAGAAAAGAGTGATTCTGAAAATGAATTCAAAAAAGTTTTTAATTAGATAATGGAAAAATATAAAGAGCACATAACTACAATTTTTAATTCTAAAATTTAAACTCTCCAAAATCTATTCAGTAAACTAATATTAACAAAAACTAATAATTTTCTAGAGCCAACAGCAGGACCCATACTACCTGATAGCAACAGAGTGCACAAAAAACAATAAGCCAAAGATGACATTATTCTTATCAGGAAATTTCAAAATGATAAATTGATTACAGAAATTAAGGAGAACAAGTACTATAAAATTATCATCTTAAGGTTGTTAAAGAATTTAGAAAAACAATTAAACTAAAAGAGAAGAATAAACAATTATGAAGAAGGTGATCATAAACCAGAATTGCAAATGTCATAAATTAGAAACATGTATTTATCATATGATACTGGAAAATTGACTTTAACTTTTGTGAATTTGAATATTGAAGAAATGAGTAATTGTCTAGCTTGGGCTATTTTGAAGCATATTCATTTTAGTAAAAGAAATAATTATTCAATGATGAAAAATTCTAGCATTCCTTTTTCCATGGATTTTAGATTTCGAGGCATATGTACGAATTAACAAGATACTTCTCAAAATCCCATCAAAGAACCATCTTAATTGCATCTCTATAGCGAATAATAGTAACAATAAATGGGATTATTTTAATCTTAATAGATCTAATAATTAGACAAAACCAACTTAACCAATAAATGGAATAAAACTTTTTTCTAAATAAGTGAGAAAACTCTTAGCAAAGATGAAAATGAGTTCGATATTAAAAGATAGGAAATTAAAGAAATATCGAAGGAAAGTTTTCCTCATTAATTACAATTTGAAAATGATGATTATTTGTAGAATGAATAAGATTGCGATATCTGTTCGGAAGAAGAAATTGATGATTAAACTTAAATCACAATGAATAATAAAATGAGGACGAATCCTTTAGTCCTATTAAACCTAAATATATGATACCACAGCAAAATAATTGGGTCGAGTTAATAGCATCTCGGAAGAATCTATACAGCAGATTGAGGATTTTCAAAAAATATGCAATTATTCTCAAAGCATGCCTTGCTAAGAGTAATAATCCTTGTTCTAATCCAAGTTTGATTTTATTGAAATGGAAGAGGATGATAAAGAGATTAAAATTTAATACTAAAAGATATATTTTGATTACAAAACTGAATATCAACAGCTGAAGTTGTAAGTAACTATTATTATTATTACATCAAAATGGAAAAAGAAGTTACTATCCTTTGACTTGTTTATATTGAAAGATTATTAACCTAAGCAAATATAGTCTAGAACCAAAACCTGGAGAAGAATAGTGTTAATATCATTAGTATTATACTTATTCTATCATAGATTATCGCATCAAAGATTTAGGATAATGAATCTTTTGAAAATCGACAATTTTGCTAAAGCATTCCCTCAATATTAACAAAAGACATTAACGAAATGGAAAGAATACTTCTTATCTTATAAGATTATAGACTCCAAGTATATCCTGCAGAATAATATTTTATTTTGATAATTTACACTGAAAGCAAAAAGAAGAATTTTCCATTACGTACTTGAGATTTAAATACTATAATAATGAAACTATAAAGATTTTCCAATTAAATAGAATATGGACTGAAATAAAATATGCATAGACTTAAATAAATC